ATTTTAGTCCGGAATACAGGTACATTATTTTAGTCAGTCCAGAATATAGGTAAATTATTTTAGCCCAAAATACAGGGACACTATTTTAGCCCAGAATACAAGTACACTATTTTAGTCCAGAATACAGGTACACTATTTTAGCCCGAAATACAGGTACATTATTTTAGTCCAGAATACAGGTACATTATTTTAGTCAGTCCAGAATACAGGTACACTATTTTAGACCAGAATACAGGTACATTATTTTAGCCCAGAATACAGGTACATTATTTTAGTCAGTCCAGAATACAGGTACATTATTTTAGTCAGTCCAGAATACAGGTACAATATTTTAGTCAGTCCAGAATACAGGTACAATATTTTAGTCAGTCCAGAATACAGGTACACTATTTTAGACCAGAATACAGGTACATTATTTTAGACCACAATACAGGTACATTATTTTAGTCAGTCCAGAATACAGGTACACAACTTTAGACCAGAATACAGGTACATTTTTTAGCCCAGAATACAGGTACACTATTTTAGTCAGTCCAGAATACAGGTACATTATTTTAGCACAGAATACAGGTACACTATTTTAGACCAGAATACAGGTACATTATTTTAGCCCAGAATACAGGTACATTATTTTAGTCTGTCCAGAATACAGGTACACTATTTTAGACCAGAATACAGGTACATTATTTTAACCCAAAATACAGGTACACTATTTTAGACCAAAATACAGGTACACTATTTTTGACCAGAATATAGGTACATTATTTTAGCCCAGAATACAGATACATTATTTTAGTCAGTCCAGAATACAGGTACAATATTTTAGTCCAGAATAGGAGGTACATTATTTTAGTCAGTCCAGAATACAGGTACACTATTTTAGCCCAAAATACAGGTACATTATTTTAGCCCAAAATACAGGTACACTATTTTAGTCCAGAATACAGGTACATTATTTTAGTCAGTCCAGAATACAGGTACATTATTTTAGCCCAGAATACAGGCACATTATTTTAGCCCAGAATACAGGTACATTATTTTAGTCAGTCCAGAATACAGGTACACTATTTTAGCCCAAAATACAGGTACACTATTTTAGCCCAAAATATAGGTACACTATTTTAGACCAGAATATAGGTACATTATTTTAGCCCAGAATACAGGTACATTATTTTAGTCCAGAATACAGGTACACTATTTTAGACCAAAATACAGGTACACTATTTTAGTCCAGAATACAGGTACAATATTTTAGTCCAGAATACAGGTACAATATTTTAGTCCAGAATACAGGTACAATATTTTAGTCAGCCCAGAATACAGGTACATTATTTTAGCCCAGAATACAGGTACAATATTTTAGTCCAGAATACAGGTACAATATTTTAGTCCAGAGTACAGGTACACTATTTTAGCCCAGAATACAGGTACAATATTTTAGTCAGTCCAGAATACAGGTACATTATTTTAGTCAGTCCAGAATACAGGTACATTATTTTAGCCCAGAAAACAGGTACATTATTTTAGTCCAGAATACTGGTACATTATTTTAGCCCAGAATACAGGTACAATATTTTAGTCAGTCCAGAATACAGGTACATTATTTTAGTCAGTCCAGAATACAGGTACATTATTTTAGTCAGTCCAGAATACAGGTACAATATTTTAGTCCAGAATACAGGTACATTATTTTAGTCAGTCCAGAATACAGGTACAATATTTTAGTCCAGAATACAGGTACATTATTTTAGTCAGTCCAGAATACAAGTACACTATTTTAGCCCAAAATACAGGTACACTATTTTAGACCAGAATATAGGTACAATATTTTAGTCCAGAATACAGGTACATTATTTTAGTCCAGAATACAGGTACATTATTTTAGTCAGACATAACACAACTGTCTACCAACGTCAACAAAACCTGGGCTGTTTGAACCCCCCCCCCTTCCACCTTCACTTGTTTAAAAATTTTCTATACAATCATTGTTTGATTGAATCATTTCATTTATATAAATCTTGTTTGATCGAAGACACCTCACTATGCAATGACTTTTATCATTCCGATATTTCTCTGTACGGTCATTGTTTGATTGATGTTATCTCTTATAAAATATTCTTTGATAAATCTCTACATACTGGGGGGGGGGGGAGAGGCACGGAATGGTGTTAGGGGAGGTGTTACATGTGGTGACAGTCTAGGTGTGGTGACTGTAGGTGTGTGTGTGTGTGTGTGACTGTGCAGATGTGTGTGACTGTAGGTGTGTGTGTGACTGTAGGTGTGTGTGTGACTGTAGGTGTGTGTGTGACTGTAGGTGTGTGTGTGACTGTGCAGATGTGTGTGAACTTTGTGCGTCTCTGATCTTGGACACTTCCGGTGTACTAATTTAATTTTTAAAAGTGTCGCCCGATGTTCCCCCCCCCCCTCCACTACCACCAAACTCCCCTGCCCCTCCTCTACCCACCCCCCACACACACATACACTACCACCAAACTCCCCAGCCCCTCCTCTACCCTTACCCACCCCCCCCCCCCCCACACACACTACCACCAAACTCCCAAGCCCCTTCTCTACCCTCACCCCCCCCCCCCCCACACATACACTACCACCAAACTCCCCAGCCCCTCAACTACCCTTACTCCCCCCCCCCACACACACACTACCACCAAACTCCCAAGCCCCTTCTCTACCCTCACCCCCCCCCCCCACACACATACACTACCACCAAACTCCCCAGCCCCTCAACTACCCTTACTCCCCCACACACACATACAGTACCACCAAACTCCCCAGCCCCTCCTCTACCCTCACCCCCACCCCCACCCCCACCCCCCACCCACATACAGTACCACCAAACTCCCCAGCCCCTCCCCACGCCCCCCACCACCAGACGCCGCTGTATGCGACACAAAAGATCTCCATTAGCACACGGATGTGTGGTGGTACGTATAGAAATTAGCATAAATCAATAGATATTACAGTCAGTATTGATCCTGTTCTATACAGACTTGCGATTATATATTGGCTTTTCGTGGCGTTTACCTTCAGATAACGGTAGAACCCGTTCCGCTGTGCTGGTTCCTCTAAATGCCGTGCTGGTTCCTTTAAAATAAAATACCGTGCTGGTTCCTCTAAATGCCGTGTCGGTTTTTCTAAATGCCGTGTCGGTTCCTCTAAATGCCGTGCTGGTTCCTCTAAATGCCGTGTCGGTTTTTCTAAATGCCGTGTCGGTTCCTCTAAATGCCGTGCCGGTTCCTCTAAATGCCGTGCCGGTTCCTCTAAATGCCGTGCCGGTTCCCTTTTAATGCAGATATCCGGACAGTTCAATGTGTGATGCCCTTCAATACCTGCCTGATGCCCTTCAATACCTGCCTGATGCCCCTCAATACCTGCCTGATGCCCCTTCAATACCTGCCTGATGCCCTTCAATACCTGCCTGATGCCCTTCAATACCTGCCTGATGCCCTTCAATACCTGCCTGATGCCCCTCAATACCTGCCTGATGCCCTTCAATACCTGCCTGATGCCCTTCAATACCTGCCTGATGCCCTTCAATACCTGCCTGATGCCCGTCAATACCTGCCTGATGCCCTTCAATACCTGCCTGATGCCCGTCAATACCTGCCTGATGCCCGTTAACGGAAATGTACACAATCGTGCTTGTGACTTTAGCTGCAAAGATTATAAATACGCCTTCTAATTATGAACTAATCAATCAGTCGAATCGATGTGTAGATCGAACTCCTTTTTACTCTAATAACAATCAACTATCAGACCCCACCCAGCGTCACCCCCCCTCCAATCTAACCCACATAGCACCAGAAGAATAGTCTGGCCTGCAGACACGCGTGGGGTGGGGGTGGTGGTGGGGGGGGGGGGAGTTATTTAGCGAGCGAAACAAATAGCAATAAAATTGCTCCGTGGAAATAGATCAGCATCGATTGATTGAAAAAAAATCGATTGGCTTATTTCATGCAGGCTTTAATTTGGACATGTATAAGGCGGCTCGTGGGGTGGTACTGTAAATACCATCTTCGCTGGGGACATTTTAAACTTGTTTTTTCGATGTATGTATGTATCTGAAATATCGTATTTATAAATAATCGTATTTACAAATATCGTCTACGAATATAGGGGTATATAGGCCTTTGTTTGCATGTGTGTGTGTAGTGTGTGAAAGTGTGTAGATGTGTGTTCTACACGCGTCCTTTATGTTGGACAACTTCGGTGTAAATAGGTCAACATGGTCCGCTGGTCATGCCTGTCAGTCATTGCTCGTCTGTCACTGCTGTCAGTCGTGACTCGTCTGTCATCCCCCCCCCCCACCCCCTCCCAGAGATCAGTGCCCACACGTTCCAACCTCAGTACTTCGTCAGAAAAATACAGCCCCCATTCACTAGAACTGTTTAACACTTCCAAATTTTAATGAATTACGTGCGACTTGGGGGGGGGGGGGGGGGGGGGTGATGGTCCAGCCAACATGACTATCGACCTCCCCCACGCTGACCCCCCCCCCCCCCCCCCCGTTTAAACAGCATAAGTCACCAGCAGCAGCATGAAGCCACCACAAGGTTACATTCAGCTTACAATTCTCACGTCTCACCAGCAGCCCTACTTCAAGATTACCCAAAGCCCTTAATCCCCTAATCAATAGCCGATAAATGATCGGTCGACCAGTAGCTGATCAGTCAAGCTAATCACGTGTGTCATTTTTTCAAAGCTTTACCGTAGGTGATCAGTCCAGCTTATTACGTGTGTTATTTTTTCAAAGCTTTACCGTAGGTGATCAGCCCAACTTATTACGTGTGTTCTTTTTTCAAAGCTTTACCGTAGGTGATCAGTCCAACTTATTACGTGTGTTATTTTTTCAAAGCTTTACCGTAGCGCCCAACCGTGTCATGCTTTGAGCGGGAAGATTTTTTCTCAACCCAAACAACACCTTTTCCAATGGGTTGCCAGATAGTCATTTGTAATACCCACAATTTCAAAAGCCAAATGAATAGCCCGCCGTGTCGACGGGTGACGATACAATTTACCGTGTTGCAATTTCAATTTCTGTGCCAACGTCTGCCTGGACTAGAGTAACGGCGGTCATCGAGTTGTGTTGTGTGTTTAAACGCTGGGTTGTGTGTTTAAACGCTGTGCTGTGCCGAGTGAAGTGTTCAAACGCTGCCAGCCATGTTCGTGATTCATCTAGTCTAGGGCCCTAATGTCGTGTTTCTGTGAGCGCCATGACGAGCTGTACACAGTAAGGACCGTCTGGAACACGGGAGTTTAAGACACGTTGCCATGGATACGCTGAGTGCCATCCCACAGAGGATTGTTGTCATGTACAACGCCAGGGCTAGCAGGCTCAAGTTTCTACAGGTCTCACTTTATGGTCTCACTCTATACATAGTCTCACTTCATGGTCTCACTTTATAAATTGGTTTTACTTTATACATCGGTCTCACTTTATACATCGGTCTCACTTTATACATAGGTCTCACTTTATACATCGGTCTCACTTTATACATCGGTCTCACTTTATGGTCTCACTTTATACATAGGTCTCACTTTATACATCGGTCTCACTTTATACATCGGTCTCACTTTATACATTGGTCTCACTTTATACATTGGTCTCACTTTATACATCGGTCTCACTTTATACATCGGTCTCACTTTATACATCGGTCTCCCTTTATACATCGGTCTCACTTTATACATCGGTCTCACTTTATACATCGGTCTCACTTTATACATCGGTCTCACTTTAAACAGTAATCTCAATTTATACATCGGTCTCACTTTATACATCGGTCTCACTTTATACATCGGTCTCACTTTATACATCGGTCTCACTTTATACATCGGTCTCACTTTATACATCGGTCTCACTTTATACATCGGTCTCACTTTATACATCGGTCTCACTTTAAACAGTAATCTCAATTTATACATCGGTCTCACTTTATACATCGGTCTCACTTTATACATCGGTCTCACTTTATACATCGGTCTCACTTTATACATCGGTCTCACTTTATACATCGGTCTCACTTTAAACAGTAATCTCAATTTATACATCGGTCTCACTTTATACATCGGTCTCACTTTATACATCGGTCTCACTTTATACATCGGTCTCACTGTATACATCGATCTCACTTTATACAGTAATCTCACTTTATACTCTCACTCTATACATAGTCTCACTTTAAACAGTAATCTCACTTTATACATCGGTCTCACTTTATAGTCTCACTTTATACATCGGTCTCACTTTATACATCGGTCTCACTGTATACATCGATCTCACTTTATACAGTAATCTCACTTTATACTCTCACTCTATACATAGTCTCACTTTATGGTCTCACTTTATACAGTGGTCTTACTTTATAAAAGTCTCACTTTATACATCGGTCTCACTTAAGAGTCTCACTTTATACAACAGTCTCAATTTATACAGTGGATTCACTTTATAGTTATAGTCTCACTTTATACATGCACTAGCTGTACTCTGTTCACACATCGCCCGTCTAGCTTTACTTTATTATTTGTCTAACTTTATTTCTAACTATTCGTGTCTCACTTTATTTCTAACTATTCTGTTCGTTAAATTGGGAGATGTAAAAAAATCTGTCTATACCACACCCACGCGAATGTAGAGACTGTAATCACATTAGATACCCCATAAAACTTTTTTTTAAAGCTAAAACAGATTTTTGTAACCCAAAATTAAAAAAAATGGCAGCGGTGGGATTCGAACCCACGCCTCCGAAGAGACTGGTGCCTAAAACCAGCGCCTTAGACCGCTCGGCCACGCTACCTTGTTGGTACTGTATCGACTGTTTTGTAATGACATTTTGATCTTCTACTGGCAGATAGGTGTGGCACAGCTGTTTAATTTGTTGACGTCAACACATCACTCGAGCAGACGAGATTTTTCTCATGCAATAAAATAAATAAAATCTAGATCTAGATCTATATAAAATCTCCTTTTAAAACTAAACTTTTTTTTGCTTGTACCAGAAATCCAGAGAAATATCAATTAGCTAATTGTTTTAAGTCATTATTGCCTAATAACCGTAAGATGTATGATTATATAGGCATATATATATATATATATATATATATATATATATATATATATATATAGAGAGAGAGAGAGAGAGAGAGAGAGAGAGAGAGAGAGAGCCTATATATATATAGGGCCTATATATATATATATAGGGCATATATATATATATATATATATATATATATATATATATATATATATATATATATATATATATATATATATATATATAGGCGTCGACATTAGTCGCCAACATTTTCTTTACTTAATATAACGTGAGACAAACTCGTTTGGACGATATATAAAGAAGGGAGAAGGGGGAAGGTTAACTCTTATATTTACTTTCTCGTATATATGAAGTATAGAGAAAGTATTGTAATCGTGCAAAAAAAAAAGATCGAGATTTTTACAAATTTCGACGTATTACACCTCACTGATACGGAAAAACATAATTTTGCAATCTTGTCCGTATGTCTGTGTGTCTGTCTGTCTGTCTGTGTGTAAACACGATTACTTGAATACCGTTACAGCTAGGTTGATGAAATTTCATATATAAGTATTTTATCAAAATTGTAGATCCGTATTAACTTTTGAGCGATTTCTGATGACCGGAAGTGGTACTTTTCCTACTTTGAATTTTTCAAAAGCGTATAACTTGAGTACTATTTCAGATAGATAAATGAAATTTTACATGTAAGTAAAAAATCTAATTCTCTACCTTCTGTCAAATTTAGAGTAATTTCCGTTGAGCGGAAGTACTAATTTACTTTATTTCCGATTTCTCAAAAAACGCATGTAAATTTATAAAGTACTAATAATATTGCGCACTATTATGCACATTTTGTTTTGGCGTTCGCTTGGTGCGCAATTCTTTTGTCTATGAGATTCTATTCTATTTTTAAAAGTTTAAATAATTAAAAATCATGTCTACATTCCAAGTTATATAAGAATATTCGAGAAAGTTTAGAGGAGATCACTCCCGGTTTATTTTAAGTCTACTCTTATAATTGTAGGTCTACTCTTATATTTGTAAGTCTACTCTTATATTTGTAAGCAGGGGCGTAGCGAGGGGGGGCGGGGGTGTGGACCGCACCGGGTGACACCATTTAGGGGGGGGGGGGTGACACCACGCCAAAAATAGTAAAATTTATAGAGAAAAATTTGATGGGGTGGGTGCAAATCAAAAGTTTGAGGGGGGTGGGAGGGGGGGGGGTGGTGCAAATCGAAAGTCTGAGGGGGGTGGTGCAAATCGAAAGTCTGAGGGGGGTGGTGCAAATCGAAAATTGAAAGTTTGTCCCCTAGGGGTTACACCATTAAGTGCCGCACCGGGTGACACCCGACCTCGCTACGCCACTGTTTGTAAGTCTACTCTAATATTTGTAAGTCTACTCTTAGATTTTTAAGTCAGATAGTTGCCCTATAAACTGTACATAAATGTCAGAACCTTTGTGTACTCAACAATGATTTATTCCCTAAACAAATGTGTATTCCCTAAACAAATGTTTTATTCCCTAAACAAATGTTATATTCCCTAAACACATGTTATATTCTCCAAATACATGTTATATTCTCCAAACAAATGTTATATTCTCGAAACAAATGTTTTATTCCCTAAACAAATGTTATATTCCCTAAACAAAAGTTATATTCCCTAGACAAATGTTTTATTACCTAAACAAATGTTTTATTCGCTAAATAAATGTTTTATTCTCTAAACAAATGTTTTATTCTCTAAACAAATGTTATATTCCCTAAACAAATGTTTTATTACCTAAACAAATGTTTTATTCCCTAAACAAATGTTTTATTCCCTAAACAAATGTTTAGAGCCGATCAAACCTGTCCACTCAAGACACGCACCTGGACATGGAATACGAACCCAACCCTGAGGTGGCGCCCTATAAACCCTCAAACTTCATGTGAGTTCTCTCTTCATACTTATTATACTACGCTTACATTTACTAGATAACGCTTACATTTTTTACATTATGTACCTACTTTAAAAAATACCGGGCTTCTCACTTTAATGTTATCTTGTATATAACTAAAGTATGTATATATATATTTATATTTGTCCGGAATTATGGGAAGGATGGGCATTTGTCCGGATGTGTTTTGGTTGACATTTAGAAAAAAAAAATCTCCGATTTCTCTACCCCTCCCGTCAAGAACATACCATCATGTGACCTATTATATATACGAACAGGTCTTCCACCATTTTGAAGAAGGTCCCGATCCCTGAGCGCCACCTGGAGACATTTGGCAGCTACGAATACAGCCTGCACTCTAAGCGTGGGATAATGCTGCACACAGACAGATATCACGTGAGTAGACAGACAGGCATACGGATAGAATGACAGTGGACAGACAGATACGTAGACAGACAGACAGACAGACAGACAGACAGACACACAGAGAGAAATACAGACTAAGCGACCTATGTAAAAACCAAACATGTAGGGGACGTAACTCTCAGTGTTAAAATTTATTTTTCTTCTGTTACAGCTGGATCTTCTCAAATCTATGGACGGGTGAGTTCCCTTTTGTCTAAGTATATGGGTGTACACACACATACACACGCAACAGGGGCGTAGCGAGGGGGGGGGGGGGGCGGGGGGTGCGGATCGCACCGGGTGACACCATTTAGGGGGGTGACACCAAGGCAAAAAATAGCAAAATATATAGAGAAAAACTTGAGGGGGGGTGCAAATCGAAAGTTTGAGGGGGGTGCAAATCAAAAACTTGAGGGGGGGGGGGATGCAAATCGAAAGTTTGAGGGGGTGCAAATCAAAAACTTGAGGGGGGGGGGGATGCAAATCGAAAGTTTGAGGGGGTGCAAATCAAAAACTTGAGAGGGGGGTGCAAATCGAAAGTTTGAGGGGGGGTGCAAATCGAAAACATGAAAGTTTGTCCCCGGGAAGGGTCGCAACGCCTCTGGGGGGGGGGGGGGTGGGGGGGGTGACACCATTAAGTGCCGCACCGGGTGACACCCGACCTCGCTACGCCACTGTATATATATATATATATATATATATATATATATATATATATATCTGTGTGTGTGACACATTAGACAGTACTCATCTCCCCCACAGTCCCACACAGCGTGAGAGGTTGCAAGCAGAAATGAAGTACATGGAAGCGATGAGAGGCACCAGACGACTCAGGGAGACGGTACCCCATAGAGCTGAGTTCGACCTCATTATGGGCGGCAAACAAATCGAATTTGAGGAAAGGTCAAGGCCAATTCTAATTATAATTAAGTTCATTTAAAGCTGTAGTCGTAGAAAGACGGAAGTAAATGTGTAGCTTAATCAGTTAATTAGTAGGTTAATGGTTATTGAGTTGACATCTTGAATTAAACAATTTGTCTAAACCAATGACGTTTTAGATCTAAACGAGATATGTCCATATAAGGTCTAGATCTTGGGGAGTCTAGACCAACACATGTAACACTATCCTTTGTTTGACCTCACAGATTCGATATCGGTCGCGAGATCCAGAAACTGAAGGCCATCGCCATGCCAACACACGCCAAAGATCTGTTCCACGGTAGGGGGATTCGATTACCCAGGTTTGTCCATCAGCTTCTTATTGTCTAGTCGATACCGTCCTGTCTAGTCGATACCGTCCTGTCTAGTCGATACCGTCTTAAATTAATTACCTCTGTGTTTAGTTAAACTTAATTACCTCTGTGTTTAGTTAAACTTAATTACCTCTGTGTTTGGTTAAACTTAATTACCTCTGTGTTTGGTTAAACTTAATTACCTCTGTGTTTAGTTAAACTTAATTACCTCTGTGTTTAGTTAAACTTAATTACCTCTGTGTTTGGTTAAACTTAATTACCTCTGTGTTTAGTTAAACTTAATTACCTCTGTGTTTGGTTAAACTTAATTACCTCTGTTTTTAGTTAAACTTATTTACCTCTGTGTTTGGTTAAACTTAATTACCTGTTTTTAGTTAAACTTATTTACCTCTGTGTTTGGTTAAACTTAATTACCTCTGTGTTTAGTTAAACTTAATTACCTCTGTGTTTAGTTAAACTTAATTACCTCTGTGTTTAGTTAAACTTAATTACCTATGTGTTTAGTTAAACTTAATTACCTCTGTGTTTAGTTAAACTTGATTACCTCTTTGTTTAGTTAAACTTAATTACCTCTTTGTTTAGTTAAACTTAATTACCTCTTTGTTTAGTTAAACTTAATTACCTCTGTGTTTAGTTAAACTTAATTACCTCTGTGTTTAGTTAAACTTAATTACCTCTGTGTTTAGTTAAACTTAATTACCTCTGTGTTTAGTTAAACTTGATTACCTCTTTGTTTAGTTAAACTTAATTACCTCTGTGTTTAGTTAAACTTAATTACCTCTTTGTTTAGTTAAACTTAATTACCTCTTTGTTTAGTTAAACTTAATTACCTCTGTGTTTAGTAAAACTTAATTATCTCTGTGTTTAGTAAAACTTAATTATCTCTGTGTTTAGTTAAACTTAATTACCTCTTTGTTTAGTTAAACTTGATTACCTCTGTGTTTAGTTAAACTTAATTACCTCTGTGTTTAGTTAAACTTAATTACCTCTGTGTTTAGTTAATTACCTCTGTGTTTAGTTAAACTTAATTACCTCTGTGTTTAGTTAAACTTAATTACCTCTGTGTTTAGTTAATTACCTCTGTGTTTAGTTAAACTTAATTACCTCTGTGTTTAGTTAAACTTAATTACCTCTGTGTTTAGTTAATTACCTCTGTGTTTAGTTAAACTTAATTACCTCTGTGTTTAGTTAAACTTAATTACCTCTGTGTTTAGTTAATTACCTCTGTGTTTAGTTAAACTTAATTACCTCTGTGTTTAGTTAAACTTAATTACCTCTGTGTTTAGTTAAACTTAATTACCTCTGTGTTTAGTTAAACTTAATTACCTCTGTGTTTAGTTAAACTTAATTATCTCTGTGTTTGTGTATTCCTGCAGCAACCACATGTCTGTACATCCACGCCATCCCATGCCCAACGATTTAGAGGAAGAAAGTAAGTTTTTAATGAATGACAGAGTTTGTATTCTGTCCTTCTGCATGCTATAGATTGTGTCGTCTGCCTGCAACAGATTATCTTCTTTAATAAATCAGTTGAGTTGCTTGTTGTGTTTTAATGTCACCCCCAAATGGCTGGTCGATCTATCATCCAACCGTGTAAACTATTCCCTCCCCCCCCCGCCAGTTTCAGCCTCCGCCCCTGTACCACTCAAGCACCTCCCCAGCCGGGCTCAGCTCCACCTACACCACGAGCTGCCCCACATCTACAGAGATCTGACGTCACTAGGCAGGGGCGGCCACTCGAGGGAGACGCCGTTCAAAAGATTGCCGCAGTTGCCCCAGATCCCGCCCAAAACAGACAGCGATGGTGAGTAGAGGAGGGCTTGATCTGTTGACTCGTTCATGGTCATCTTGTGTTTTCTACTTCAGACATGTCCAATTGTTGTGATCTACATTTTTACAGATTGCAGCAAAATCCAAAGACATTTATGCATCGAGAGCAGTTAGTAATTGTAACATTCTGCAGTTGGTTTATGTCCATAAAATAACATACAGGTTTGAAAACAAGAACAGAATGTCTTGCTTCTGTCCCGTTTTGTGCCCAACACACAACACATGATTTTACTCACAATTAACACAGTTCACAACATTAGCACAGCTCACAAATCACAACAGAACATCAGGGGACGCAACCTTAACAACACAGGATTAGTTCCCTTTTAGTTATTCAATTTTGGGAGTCGAATTTCTTGACGATGATGGTAGATGTGGTTCAGACGTTGTGTCAGCCAATTGTTTGGTCTGGCTTCTTGTCACCGCACATGCAGGATACAGTTCATAATCATTATCTGGAACTGTTGACAAAGGGTCTGAAACCGTACAGGGGTATACTTTGCTTCCCGCAAGGTCATTCCCTAGAAGTAGGTGTACTCCTGGGACAGGAATACTATCTATCACACCTAAAATGACCTCACCTTCGACGAGATGATGTTTCAGGGCAAACTTGTGTAGAGGGACGACAGTAGATTTCGTCCCTACTCCCTGGATAATGGAAATCCTTCCGGTGTTCGTCTCTGGTGAAATGTCCATTGAACTTTTCAAAAGGAGTGATTGTGACGCTCCTGTGTCTCTTAGAACGGTGATATTCTTCTGAGACAACGGATCACCTGGTTTGCTAATGATGGCTTCGGCAATAAAAGATGAAAAGTCAACTTTTCTCGATCTCTCGAGATCGGTAGACTCGGAAGAAACTGGATGGTGGCGAGAACAGTCAAAATGTGACTGCACATAATGTGTGGAGACTTGACTACCTTCTTGCGGACACTTAGGGTTAGAGTCCTTTTGAATTCTAGAGTTCATAGTTGAACTGGCTGCTTGAGGGGATAGAGCATAGTGCGCGGAAGTACGCACCACCTCTCTGTTATTCTGAAGACGTTTGTAACAGTCCTTGACAAGATGACCAGGTCTTTTGCAGAACTGGCATACTGCTCGACGATTGAGAGTTGATCTTGGTTTCTCTCTGGACTGTGATGCCTTCAAATGTTGGCCAACAGGATGATTGCTGCCAAAAAGGGGGAGCACGGGGTTGAGGCGGTTTCCTGACACTGGTGGTTTCTTATGCACCAACATATATGTGTCAGCCGACTCAGCAGCCTTCTGGATGTCAGTTATCTTGTTATCCAGAATGTGTAGTCGTATCTCTTCAGGCAGGGACGATAGGAATTCTTCCCTTAGGATAAGTGACCTGAGTTTCTCAAATTCAGAAACTTCCTCCGAGTGTAGCCACCTTGAAAATATTTTCTCCTTTTCAAAGAGAAATTCCACATATGATTGTGTGGGTAACTTGCGGAGTGTTCGGAATTTTGTCCGATAGGCCTCGGGCGTCAGTGCGTAGGCCTTTAAAATGGCAGTCTTGACCAAACTATAGTTATTTTGAACGTCGTGAGATAGTGCCTGGTATGTTTTTGCAGCTTTCCCAGTAAGGACAGAGCTCAATAAAGCAGTAATGGAAGTTTCGGGCCATTCACATGTCTTCGCTAAACTCTCAAACGAGTTAAAGAAAACGACCAAATCTGTTTCATCAAATTTAGGAACTAATTTCCCAAATTTGGCAATCACTTGCCCTACCGACAACTTTTTTGGATCTACCAGAGAAGTAACATCACTAACTTGACCAAACTCTAATTCCAACCTCCTCTTATCTAAAGCAATTTTAGCCTCTAACTCCTGTTTCTCTAGAGCAACTTTCTCCTTCTCTAAAGCAATTCTAGCTTCTAATTCTACTTTCTCTAGAGTTTTCTCCTCGCGGAGCAACACACCAGCCAACAAACTTTCATCAAATACTCCTTCATTAATGAAATGAACAACAATTTTATCTCTCAACACCTCTGACTTCTGCGTAACAGAATAATCCAATTTCAATTCCTTAACAACACTAACCAAAACTTTTCTACTCAACTTTTCTACATCTTCAACAGTAGGATTAGCCAAAAAAGACTCCATAACACTAACTTTCAAATCACAACAAGCCTAGATCCTTTGAATTAATACACAGCGTTGGGCCGTGTACTTGACCTCTAAATGTAGGACGTGACACGTCTGCTTATTTGACCTAGATACTCTAGCCTGAGCGCGCGTTGTAAGAACACTGCGCTACTGGATATAAAAACAACTAAATCCAACTAACCTTAGTATTCAACTGATATAACCAACAACTGGAACGACAGATTAAATCTCGGCGAGCTCCCACTTTGTAACGTTAACCTATCTATCAGCCAAATAGAAGGAGAACGTCCCCGGATTCTTTTTTCGGGGTCATATGTAAATACCTTACGGCCTAGGTGGATGAACCTTAACACAACGACACACTAGGGCTCGAATTCAATGTCTAGGGAAGCTAGTGATACTATTGTAATTAACACTCATCCAATCTACATATAACCTTTAATCAGCGAACACAGAAGTGGCAGAACACAAGGTTGTACTAAATAAAATATTTAATGTATAAAATATCAAAAACCCAACTTACACAATGTAGGAAAAAACACTATCACAGATTTCTACACTGTCTAAAGAACAGCCACAGGCCACACAACACTGCTGTAGCTTCAAGACTTACTTAGCGACAAGTAATATTAAACTAGAAGACTAAATCAACTTAAGAAAGCAAGGCACACACAGGTCTTAAGTACTCTCACGTTCAAATGGTCAGAGTCTATAGCCGGACAATATGGACGGCTGCCTGATCAAGGTAAAACTACCTCGTAGACTGCCAGGTCAAGATAAACTGCCTCGTGTTGCGAGTGTGCAGTGCAATTAAAGACTTCTGTGACAGGGGAGGTTATCCTCAACTCATGTCGCCATTGGTTGGGATAATCATCTGATCAGAACCATTCAATCAGGTTTTAATGGAAAATTTCTATGTCTCAAACACCTTAATAAGTCAGTGGAAAAACCCCAGGTGTTACACCATCATTCCATATAAGGAATTATACAATGTCAAAATAAAAATGACTCGACCTAAGTAGGTCACACAGTACATTTAAAAAAAAAACTCTTGAAATTTCGTGCAGATATTAATTAGTCTTAAATAAACTGTGAAAACTTAAACCATTTCTATTCTAACGCTCTACCATTCACCCGTAAAAGTACGGCAAGTTATTTATATCATCAGCACGTACAATCAGCCATATTTTTGTCTGGGTTTTCTACACAAATAAGCTGACCTTTGGTCATTAGAAAGGTCAGGACTCATTAGTTTATCGTCTGCGTAAATCTGCCCCTCGAGGAGACGTGAATAAAATTCTGCCAATGTCCCCCAACAGAGCCCCACCTGGCTGACGTGGGCGTGTCCATGTTGAGAGAGAGGCGGACAGTGTCCAATCTGTCTGCAAGACTCGGCTTTCAACCACGTTCGTTACATTTCATTCTGCTGTCTTAAATAACGTCGCTGCCTCACATAACGTCGCTACTTTAAATAACACCGCTATCTAATAAAAGACTCATTAAATTCATTTTCTGCAGAATGATTAACGACTAATTGATTTTATTTTAATGTCTACAGTCAGTCTAAAGTCTAAAAATAGTTTCTACTTAACAAAAATAATGCCTTTAAAACTAGATCTAACATTATTTATTACTCTACTTATATTTTGTCATAAAATTCATATATTTATTCAGTAAATTGATTCCATTTCAGACAACTTTTGCGTTTAAAAATATTGCATCTAATGATAACCGTAACGAGCCTATTTTTATAAGCTTTTACTTAATTCACCATGTCTGTCTGTTTGTTTGTAGATTTGTGGCAAATCTTGTCACTTTATTATGACCAGCTTCTAAAAAGCAATGTTCGCTGATGAGATCTCTTACTTAGCCTATTTTAGTGACCAATGTTTTTATTAAAGAAAGAAGTTTTCTTATTTCTGGTGCATTTAATAGCATATTATTATATTTTTTTTAAAAATAGTTTTGTTTTATTTTCCATTTTTCAATAAATTCGTTCTTAATGAAATTAACACAACATAGAATCTAGGATGTGACTAAAACTATAGTGCTGGTAAGTAGGTCAACAATCAGTTCTATGGATCATGCAGGTTTTATTGAGCCGTAGAGCTGGTTGGTGACCTACTTACCAGCCCTATTTGTGTTAAAACCTGATCAGTAAATGACGTCACACATATAAAATAATTGATTCGCTAAAGTTGACTGAAAATATTTCTTGACAGACTTTTCATTTCATAACTATTACCTTTGTAAATAAATTTTTTGCATTTAAAAGCTTGTTATATCAAATATTTTGTTCTTGTTTTATTAATTTGGCCTATAACATTATAACAAGTTAGCTGAGTTTAGCGATGACCATCTATTATATTACCCTATATATTTATTCACATGTCTATTATTACAACTTGATTCATTAACTGCTTTTGTAACATAATTTTAAGAAAATCGTTTTGAACAATGTGATTTTTTAAAAATAGTGACTGAATTAAATTTAGTGTAATTACGCGCCACGCTGGCCTTCAGACAGCCAAAGTTCAAGGTTAGGATATCTTAAGATTGAACTTTTCAATATTTCACTTGTTCTGTCTTAAGTAGGCCTGGGTATTAAAACTTATTGATTGTCAACAGTTTCAGTTCTAGATTTCAATACGATTTTAAAACAGTACAAATAAAATATATGTGCATATTGGAAGTATGCAGATAGTTGATTGGCAATGTTTGAAGACTAGCTGAGCAAAGGGCACACAACCCAGCACTAACTTGCTCCTCATTGATCGCTTCAGGTCTCCGTAGGGACTTGACCAGTCTGTCGCGGTCTAACGGTCAAGCCGTGATCACCAGCAGGGAGATGGGAGCTGGGGAGCCGGCAGTTGGAGCTGGGGAAGCTGCGAGATTTGTGTGAGTAGGGTAGAGATTTGTGTGAGTAGGGTAGAGATTTGTGTGAGTAGGGTAGAGATTTGTGTGAGGGTAGAGATTTGTGTCAGTGGGGTAGAGATTTGTGTGAGGGTAGAGATTTGTGTCAGTGGGGTAGAGATTTGTGTGAGGGTAGAGATTTGTGTCAGTGGGGTAGAGATTTGTGTGAGGGTAGAGATTTGTGTGAGTAGGGTAGAGATTTGTGTGAGGGTAGAGATTTGTGTCAGTGGGGTAGAGATTTGTGTGAGGGTAGAGATTTGTGTCAGTAGGGTAGAGATTTGTGTGAGGGTAGAGATTTGTGTGAGTAGGGTAGAGATTTGTGTGAGGGTAGAGATTTGTGTCAGTGGGGTAGAGATTTGTGTGAGGGTAGAGATTTGTGTGAGTAGGGTAGAGATTTGTGTGAGGGTAGAGATTTGTGTCAGTAGGGTAGAGATTTGTGTGAGGGTAGAGATTTGTGTGAGTAGGGTAGAGATGTGTGTGAGTGGGGTAGAGATTTGTGTGAGTAGGGATTTGTGTGAGTAGAGATTTGTGTGAGTAGAGATTTGTGTGAGTAGGGTAGAGGACAGGTTTAGTACAGGACCCATCGGTTTATACAGGACAAACAGGCTTAGTACAGGACAAACAGGTTTAGTACAGGACAAACTGATTTATACAGGACAAACTAGTACAGGACCCTTAACTGCAGGTTTAGTCCTCCTGTAATAAATCTGTTGTACAGAACCTACTACTTTTGTCCAACACCCACTGACTAGCCTTGATGTCATTGCTCCATCTATTCAGGGCTAAAGGGACGGCTGGACCTCTCAGTCCAAAGAAGCAGACGTCTAGAGATGTGAAGGCACCGACAAAACCTTTGGACAAAGATGTCAGGTTAGTTCACAGATGTCAAGTCAGTTAACATATACTAGTTGACATGTCAGAGGTTTATAAAGTGGTGTAGCTGTAGGACACTTCCTTTAGTCAGCTAACTCTGAAATATTTTCTACTGCTAGAGCTGGCATGTCAGACAGACTTACAACAACAGCAGAAGGTGCCGATGATGCTGACGTTTATGCAGATGGCGGGAAACCATTACACACACAGGGGTCAGGGTCAACAGCTGGGGTTCAAGGGTCAAAAGCTGCAGCAACTGGGTCAAGGTTACAGACAGCGCCTTTCTTGACCAGCACGGAGGAGGCTGAAGAGACGGAGGATCACAGTGCTGTCAGAGAACTATCTGAGGACCATGTCCAATCTGACGCTCCACATCCACTTAAGGTAGGTGACGTCACGTTCTGTGGCGACAGTCATGACTTGTCACAAAAAACGTGTCCTGACCGTCTTTATGACCCATGTTGTCATACCATACTGTGATCCATGTTGTCATACCATACTATGACCCATGTTGTCCTGCCATCCTGTGACCCATGTTGCCCTGCCATCCTGTGACCCATGTTGTCCCGCCATCCTGTGACCCATGTTGTCCTGCCATCCTGTGACCCATGTTGTCCTGCCATCCTGTGACCCATGTTGTCCTGCCATCCTGTGACCCATGTTGTCCTGCCATCCTGTGACCCATGTTGTCCTGCCATCCTGTGACCCATGTTGTCCTGCCATCCTGTGACCCATGTTGTTGTCCTGCCATCCTGTGACCCATGTTGTCCTGCCATCCTGTGACCCATGTTGTCCTGTCATCCTGTGACCCATGTTGTCCTGTCATCCTGTGATCCATGTTGTTGTCCTGCCATCCTGTGACCCATGTTGTCCTGCCATCCTGTGACCCATGTTGTTGTCCTGCCATCCTGTGACCCATGTTGTCCTGCCATCCTGTGACCCATGTTGTCCTGTCATCCTGTGACCCATGTTGTCCTGTCATCCTGTGATCCATGTTGTTGTCCTGCCATCCTGTGACCCATGTTGTTGTCCTGCCATCCTGTGACCCATGTTGTTGTCCTGCCATCCTGTGACCCATGTTGTCCTGCCATCCTGTGATCCATGTTGTTGTCCTGCCATCCTGTGACCCATGTTGTCCTGCCATCCTGTGACCCATGTTGTCCTGCCATCCTGTGACCCATGTTGTCCTGCCATCCTGTGACCCATGTTGTCCTGCCATCCTGTGACCCATGTTGTCCTGCCATCCTGTGACCCATGTTGTCCTGCCATCCTGTGACCCATGTTGTCCTGCCATCCTGTGACCCATGTTATCGTGTGACCCATGTTGTCCTGCCATCCTGTGACCCATGTTGTCCTGCCATCCTGTGACCCATGTTGTCCTTCCATCCTGTGACCCATGTTGTCCTGCCATCCTGTGACCCATGTTGTCCTGTGACCCATGTTGTCCTGCCATCCTGTGACCCATGTTATCGTGTGACCCATGTTGTCCTGCCATCCTGTGACCCATGTTATCGTGTGACCCATGTTGTCCTGCCATCCTGTGACCCATGTTGTCCTGTGACCCATGTTGTCCTGCCATCCTGTGACCCATGTTATCCTGTGACCCATGTTGTCCTGCCATCCTGTGACCCATGTTGTCCTGCCATCCTGTGACCCATGTTGTCCTGCCATCCTGTGACCCATGTTGTTGTCCTGCCATCCTGTGACCCATGTTGTCCTGCCATCCTGTGACCCATGTTGTCCTGCCATCCTGTGACCCATGTTATCGTGTGACCCATGTTGTCCTGCCATCCTGTGACCCATGTTGTCCTGCCATCCTGTGACCCATGTTGTCCTGCCATCCTGTGACCCATGTTGTCCTGCCATCCTGTGACCCATGTTGTCCTGTGACCCATGTTGTCCTGCCATCCTGTGACCCATCTTGTTGTCCTGCCATCATGTGACCCATGTTGTTGTCCTGCCATCATGTGACCCATGTTGTCCTGTGACCCATGTTGTCCTGCCATCCTGTGACCCATGTTGTCCTGCCATCATGTGACCCATGTTGTCCTGTGACCCATGTTGTCCTGCCATCATGTGACCCATGTTGTTGTCCTGCCATCATGTGACCCATGTTGTCCTGCCATCATGTGACCCATGTTGTCTTTCCATCCTGTGACCCATGTTGTCCTGCCATCCTGTGACCCATGTTGTCCTGCCATCCTGTGACCCATGTTGTCCTGCCATCCTGTGACCCATGTTGTCCTGCCATCCTGTGACCCATGTTGTCCTGCCATCCTGTGACCCATGTTGTTGTCCTGACATCCTGTGACCCATGTTGTCCTGCCATCCTGTGACCCATGTTGTCCTGCCATCCTGTGACCCATGTTGTCCTGTGACCCATGTTGTCCTGCCATCCTGTGACCCATGTAGTCCTGCCATCCTGTGACCCATGTTGTCCTGCCATCATGTGACCCATGTTGTCCTGTGACCCATGTTGTCCTGCCATCATGTGACCCATGTTGTTGTCCTGCCATCCTGTGACCCATGTTGTCCTGCCATCCTGTGACCCATGTTGTCCTGCCATCCTGTGACCCATGTTGTCCTGCCATCCTGTGACCCATGTTGTCCTGCCATCCTGTGACCCATGTTGTCCTGTGACCCATGTTGTCCTGCCATCCTGTGACCCATGTTGTCCTGCCATCCTGTGACCCATGTTGTCCTGCCATCCTGTGACCCATGTTGTCCTGTGACCCATGTTGTCCTGCCATCCTGTGACCCATGTTGTCCTGCCATCCTGTGACCCATGTTGTCCTGCCATCCTGTGACCCATGTTGTCCTGCCATCCTGTGACCCATGTTGTCCTGCCATCCTGTGACCCATGTTGTCCTGCCATCCTGTGACCCATGTTGTTGTCCTGACATCCTGTGACCCATGTTGTCCTGCCATCCTGTGACCCATGTTGTCCTGCCATCCTGTGACCCATGTTGTCCTGCCATCCTGTGACCCATGTTGTCCTGCCATCCTGTGACCCATGTTGTCCTGCCATCCTGTGACCCATGTTGTCCTGCCATCCTGTGACCCATGTTGTCCTGCCATCCTGTGACCCATGTTGTCCTGCCATCCTGTGACCCATGTTGTCCTGCCATCCTGTGACCCATGTTGTCCTGTGACCCATGTTGTCCTGCCATCCTGTGACCCATGTTGTCCTGCCATCCTGTGACCCATGTTGTCCTGACATCCTGTGACCCATGTTGTCCTGTGACCCATGTTGTCCTGCCATCCTGTGACCCATGTTGTCCTGCCATCCTGTGACCCATGTTGTCCTGTGACCCATGTTGTCCTGTGACCCATGTTGTCCTGTGACCCATGTTGTCCTGCCATCCTGTGACCCATGTTGTCCTGCCATCCTGTGACCCATGTTGTCCTGCCATCCTGTGACCCATGTTGTCCTGTGACCCATGTTGTCCTGCCATCCTGTGACCCATGTTGTCCTGCCATCCTGTGACCCATGTTGTCCTGTGACCCATGTTGTCCTGTGACCCATGTTGTCCTGTGACCCATGTTGTCCTGTGACCCATGTTGTCCTGTGACCCATGTTGTCCTGCCATCCTGTGACCCATGTTGTCCTGTGACCCATGTTGTCCTGCCATCCTGTGACCCATGTTGTCCTGCCATCCTGTGACCCATGTTGTCCTGCCATCCTGTGACCCATGTTGTCCTGCCATCCTGTGACCCATGTTGTCCTGTGACCCATGTTGTCCTGCCATCCTGTGACCCATGTTGTCCTGTGACCCATGTTGTCCTGCCATCCTGTGACCCATGTTGTCCTGTGACCCATGTTGTCCTGGCATCCTGTGACCCATGTTGTCCTGTCATCCTGTGACCCATGTTGTCCTGCCATCCTGTGACCCATGTTGTCCTGTGACCCATGTTGTCCTGCCATCCTGTGACCCATGTTGTCCTGTGACCCATGTTGTCCTGGCATCCTGTGACCCATGTTGTCCTGTCATCCTGTGACCCATGTTGTCCTGCCATCCTGTGACCCATGTTGTCTTATGTCCCCAGGGATCTGATCTGATTGTGGCGGTGCCCGAGGACGAGCAGGAGGAGTTGCGTCAGGCGTTCCAGCGTCTAGACACAGACTCTGACGGGTGATCACATTTTTCCAGTCACATTCTCCAGTCACATTCTCCAGTCACATTCTCCAGTCACATTCTCCAGTCACATTCTCCAGTCACATTCTCCATGTCAACTCACAGACACATCCAGTAGACACAAAATGTCACATTAACCTGCCCCCTATGTCACATTAACCTGCCCCCTATTTCACATTAACCTGCTCCCTATGTCACATTAACCTGCCCCCTATGTCACATTAACCTGCCCCCTATGTCACATTAACCTGCCCCCTATGTCACATTAACCTGTCCCCTATGTCACATTAACCTGCCCTCTATGTCACATTAACCTGCGCCCTATGTCACCCCACAGACACATCCAGTACAACCAGTTGAAGACGCAGCTCTCAACAATTTTCACAGAGGAGCAGGAGAAGTTCACAGAGGAGGTGAGCAGTTCACGCCATCTTTGTCTTCATGTACTCAACCTCACTTCCTGCATCACATCCAAATTTCTTCCATGTCATCACCTAGAACATCACATCCACATCTCATCCATGTCATCACCTAGAACATCACATCCACATCTCATCCATGTCATCACCTAGAACATCACATCCACATCTCATCCATGTCATCACCTAGAACACCACATCCACATCTCATCCATGTCATCACCTAGAACATCACATCCACATCTCATCCATGTCATCACCTAGAACATCACATCCACATCTCATCCATGTCATCACCTAGAACACCACATCCACATCTCATCCATGTCATCACCTAGAACATCACATCCATATCTCATCCATGTCATCACCTAGAACATCACATCCACATCTCATCCATGTCATCACCTAGAACATCACATCCACATCTCATCCATGTCATCACCTAGAACATCACATCCACATCTCATCCATGTCATCACCTAGAACATCACATCCACATCTCATCCATGTCATCATTTAGAACATCACATCCACATCTCATCCATGTCATCACCTAGAACATCACATCCACATCTCATCCATGTCATCACCTAGAACATCACATCCACATCTCATCCATGTCATCACCTAGAACACCACATCCACATCTCATCCATGTCATCACCTAGAACATCACATCCACATCTCATCCAGGTCATCACCTAGAACACCACACCCAGCTCTATACACCACACCCAGCTCTATACACCACACCCAGCTCTCTACACCACACCCAGCTCTCTACACCACACCCAGCTCTATACACCACACCCAGCTCTATACACCACACCCAGCTCTATACACCACACCCAGCTCTATACACCACACCCAGCTCTATACACCACACCCAGCTCTATACACCACACCCAGCTCTATACACCACACCCAGCTCTATACACCACACCCAGCTCTATACACCACACCCAGCTCTATACACCCCACCCCAATCCTTTATATCACCAGGTGTACAACCTAACCAACTCCGTCACCTACTTTGGTATTGACGAGTTTATGGTCATGAATCGTCTGGCAAAAACTGTCGAAGGCTTAACGTGAGTGTTGTCAAGTTTCTTCTTAATCTAGGACAGATAGTAACTTCATTAGACGTTTTACATTTTTATTAAACTAGATCTACTTCACAAAACACTGACCCTGATAAGTTTAGATCTACTTCACTCAGTGTTGTGTGAAGTAGATCAGCCAGTGTTGTGTGAAGTAGATCTAAACTTACCAGTCAGCGTTGTGTGAAGTAGATCTAAACTTACCAAATGTCTACAGGGGTAAAGCAAGAGAATCATTTGCAGTTTTGGATTTCTCCACGTTACAGCAGGAGCTGATTAAATATGTGGTGAGTACAACCATTCAGTGAACCAGATGTACGCTCAGCTTTCAGCACTAATTAGTACCTAGACTATAAAGTCCTACCCCTGCCCTGCCCCCACACATTTCTAAATTAGGTGGAAGGAGGGGGTGCATACAATGGGATTGTAAAAGTCTCACAGGTACAGTCACATGAAATAATGTAGCCGATAACTAACATTGAAACAGATGGGGGTTAATTTTTCCCAAAAAATGAAAATATCTTGTAGCCTAATTAGTTTAGAGGCAGTGCTTACTTTGATTCTAATTACAGGGTCAGTTTCAAAGTGTTGATACTGGCAGTACAGGAAGGATAAGCGTGGATGGTCTTAGAAAAGTTTTATCCAACACCATCTCATCAGCACTCTCATCAGATGATGCATTGTGGGAGAGTGTCTTGGAATCCATTAGTTTGGTAGGATATCAATATCATTCGTTATTATTTGTTACACTGGAGGCTTCTCTGTAAAATGTTTTAATTATGCTAATTAATGCCAGAAAATAACCACAAACTATACATTCCTGGTCATCACAAATATTTATGAAACATCATATAGAAGACAAATTAACTGTGTTGAAATTGAATCACAGCCTCAAATCAATTCGATATTAAAGGTCATCACAATCTGAGGTGGGGGTAGAATTTTGGTGGCCGTGTGCGATAAGGAAGGGGATGGGGATGAAGGTGCAACATCACAATTTGGCATTTCAAAAGTAACTTTTGAACTGAATTTTAGCAGCTGTTTCCTGCTTTAAAACAGTTTTTATTTGGGAAATAAGTTGCTCTATAAGAAAGGAGAATTGCAATTATGTAGGGAGAGGGGAGGTTTGGCTGAATAGTGACATCTCTAGAAGGGAATTGGGCAGTCAGACCATGTGCGACAAGGGTGCGTACATCAATGACACCACACTTACTGCAGAATTTTTGTTAATGTATGTCCGTGGGAAAGAGTTGAAAAACGTGATCGGCATTTATGTTCATGGGGAGGGCAAAAGGATAACAAAATTTTACATTTATGGACCCCATATATATATTTAATTTTTTTAACATTAGAGTTGAAAACCACAATAATAATTATTGTAATTATTAGTTTATTGGTCAAATTTACATTTTTAATTTTTTTTTTTTCAGGATTATTCGTCTCAAGTCAGCAAGGTTGTTTACATCGCACACATTCCATTATTCCTCAGTTTGGAAAAAGATCTGAATTCTTAGCATGTATTTTAACATTAATTTTTTTTTAAGGAAACCGCTGCTAGCATGTTATTGTTTTCTTTGTTTAAAAATTTGGCCACTTTTTAAACTTTTAAAATAGGAATAGGGGAGGTTAGTACATTTAAAAAAATTCTTTCTGATAAAATTACTACAAGATGAAAGTGAAAGAAAAAAAAAATGTATATTATAAGTCTATACATACAAATATACATTAGTAAATAAAATACATAAATCTAGATATTGGAGTAATGCTAAAAGAGAATAAATTTTCCCCTATTCTACTGGGCCATTTGCTAATTATTGAACTAAAATTAAATATTAATAATCAGCAGGGACTACCAAAAAATAAAAATAAACGTCATAAATATTATTATAATATTTAGTATTATTATAATAATCAATACAAATTTCTAGAATCAAGTAATACTAGATCTAGTATTTTTAATAATGCCATCTAGATCTATCTCTTAGAACTGTGTGCCTTTTAGAAAATTTAATTTTTTTAAATTTCCTTTTTTTCTTCAAGAGTATTATAGTAAAGTTGATGTGCTATCATCATATCATAGTGGATGATAGTAGAACTAGACCTAGTAGTCTAGTAGAAAGATGGCCAAATGATTTATTTTATGTATTGTTATCTATCTTGTTAGGAATTAACCATGCCCTACATATAAATATAATTATCTTGTAATTCAGATATTTTTTACATTTATATCTACTCAATTAAAACCTGGCTGTTGTCAGATTAAGTTCCTACCAATGTTAGTGTTACAGTTAAAAACAGGTGTAGGGTTAGAGTTAAGGTTGTCATAAGAAAATCAGTTGTTCAGTTGGGTTTAGGGTTAATATAAGAAAATCAGGTAAAAGATTGGTTTAAGGGTTCAGATTAAAAAAATCAAACGTGGGTTAGGGTTAATATGAGAAGCTCAGGTGTAGGGTTGGGATTAATATGAGGGAGAAGTTGATATTAGCAAGCAATGATTTTTATATGAACCTGCCAAAGCTAATTTGAAATTTTTTTTTTTAAGTCCCAAACACTTTGTAAATACTAATATTTGCTTGTAAAAGAACATACTAATGTGTTTTTGTATAGCTAATATATATTATGTATTATTTATATTTATTTGTGTATACATCTGTACATTATTCATCCATTCAAGTGAGAAGTTTGTTAATATGAAAAGTTTTGAAACGTGTTTTATTTATTGCTCAGTGGTAGGCTGCTGTCTCATTGATTCTGTACTATAAGTGTGTTCTTGTGCCATTTGGTAGATCTTTCTATTTTACACTAACACTGTTCAATTATTTACTAACAAGGTAATTACATAGACTGTATTCAACTACCAGTAACGTTTACAAACTAGCAAATAAGTGAAAAATATTTAGCAATAGTAGTAGCAGATTGTAGGAAATTCTTGCAGGAAGGATGTAAATAAAATCTTAGTTCCTTGTTCCCCACGACACAACAACTTGGCCATATGGCAGGGGCTTGATTTTTTTAACCAACATCAGTACATATTGCAGGGGCTTGATTTTTTAACCAACATCAGTACATATAGCAGGGGCTTGATTTTTTTAACCAACATCAGTACATATAGCAGGGGCTTGATTTTTTTTTACCAACATCAGTACATATTGCAGGGGCTTGATTTTTTTTACCAACATCAGTACATATGGCAGTGACTTGATTTTTTACCAACATCAGTACATATGGCAGTGACTTGATTTTTTTTAACCAACATCAGTACATATTGCAGGGACTTGATTTTTTTACCTAAGTTTTGATATCTGCAGTTTTACATTTGAAACAAAATCTAAGAATACACTCGAAATTTTGTTAATAAAAAAATTAAAATGTTTTCTATTGTAAATAAATTGTTATATTTTGGTTTAAATAAAGTGAATTACTGTTTTTGGTTTATTTTTAAATTATATATAAATCAGTTGCTTGAAGGTGTCCAAATGAATTCACAAAATGTGTGAGAAATGTTGGGACTCACTTTACACCAAGTATCAATAGCTTGGTTGGTAAATTACTTCAGTATTAATGAGCTATATTGTGTTCTTCATGGACTGCAGTATGTAGGGCCTGAGTGAGTACTCAGCATCCAATGCTTAGACTGATGAGATTCACATTTAGCAAGACACTGCTGTCATGGACATATTGAGAAGCCAACTTTGTAAACCAATTCATATCTTTATTGACCAGTCATGAATTTTTTGTGTACAAATGTCAATGGAATGTTGAAAGCAAACATAAAATAAGACCACACCATCACACAGTAACTGATATATTGGTCAACAACATTAACTGTCCCTTAATAAACCTGACTTAAGTCACTCTGGATGACAACAAAAAGTTTTAGTTAAATCTACAGTACAGCCACTCATTAAGTCATCAGGGTATAGTTCATGGAATGTTGATGTCAACACATTTCATGTGTTTAGTATACATGATAACACAGGTTATTTACAATACAAAACATATACTTCTATATGACATTTTTACACATTAGTAAACAGAGATTTACTACAGTGATAACTGATAATACTTGCCACTAAAATACTGCTGGGCTAATTTTTTAAAATATTTAAATTCAATACATCTATTAGCTTAGACAGCAAAAACTGATTTTTTAAAATCATAAAAATATACAATGATGATGGACGGATAGGAATTGCACAGAATAAAAAACCACAGACACAAACCTTTGATTCCAGAATGTTTTGAAAAAATGTGTTTTGTCAAAAAGCCTTATTTAACTGACTAAATATTTTCTGAATTAAAAAATGACATACATTCAAAACCTGGATTAAAAAAGAACATTGTAAGCAAGAGGGTTTACTTTAAAACAGATTACTCCAAAACCCATTCAGTCTGCTGGTTGGCTGCATTCAATATGTACATAAACAGTTTGAACCCAATGATGGGGGGGGGGGGGGGGGGGAAACAATCACTAACTCGTTCTAATTAACTAATTACAAAAAATGACATAAAATAAATATAAAACTAATCCACATGATAATATGGAAATTTTTGATCACACAATTAAGCATCACATTAAAAATAATAACCTTTAAACTTCTTTGTTACAAAAATATAAAAAAAGAACATGAAATAAAACAAAATATAAATTTAAAAAAATAAGCCCATACACAAATGTGTGGTTTCCAGCTGATCTTGGTGGGGTGATCCAAGTTTTATTTTCTTAACATGTCAGGTTTGTTTACATTTGACAGTATTTTCTTAACATGTCAGGTTTGTTTACATTTGACAGTATTTTCTTAACATGTCAGGTTTGTTTACATTTGACAGGACAAGGTTTCACTTGGAAAAAGTTTCTCTGACCTACATTTATAAATGTATGGCAATGATGGCAATACAAAAATTATTAAAGAAAAATCTTTGCACAATTTGTATCTAATACTGATTTCCTTAAAAAATGTGAAAGATGTAAAGTCACACTCTAATACATCATTTAACTTCATCTTCAAAGCATGGTGTCAGAAGACTGAAAATTACGTTGGGAAGTTTTAATTTGGGGAATTTGAGATGACATCAAACAGATGGATGAACTTTGAGTAAAAAAAAAGTCAGAGAACATTGATCCTGACCCCTTTTAAACAGATCTGAATTCTATTGGACACAAACGGCAAGAAATTTATAAATCTTTAAGTTATTACAATGTAGAATTACACATTTAGATATAAAATATTTAAAACATGATGTTAAATTTAGCAATGGCTAATACTGTAAACTGAATTACTAGTTTCACTTTTCTAATTATATTTTTAATATAAACATATTTTTAAATTCCATTTTTTTTAAAATGTGCACAAACTAAAAAGGTGTTAAAATCAAAATGACTAGTAAATTAAATTACTCATTTTAAAAAGCTATGGATGTATCACAGAAGAATAAATAGCAGCTTCAAATATGTCTGGTCTAAAGCTAGGATTAGAGCTATCTGCTCTCATCCAATCCACCTATTTAAGATGTAAACATGTCCTCCACAACAACAGGCCCTCAGATCTAATCAAACACTAACCACATTTGGCCAGTTTTATGGCCAACATAATCAGACTACAACAGACACAATACTGATATGGCTTTATACATACCCATGTTGCCACTCACATACACACACATATTGGCACTCTCTTATACCCAAGTTTACTTTTTGTGCATTGTTAGTTTCTCAGCAGTTGAAGAATTGTACATACATATATAGTTAAGACATAATGGTTCCCCTATCAGCTAGGAGAGATGTTTGATGTAGCTCAGTGGTAACTGGTACTAGCAGTCACAACAGTCGATATTGTCCACAGAAAACAAGGGGCACAACTCCCGCAGGTTACAACACACACCACTGCACCATCTGACCTCCAGGTGAATGAGTTGGTAGGGAAACACACGCCAGCAGGAGACTTGGGCCTTGACACAACCAGCAACAAAAGATGAGCACAATGTTTATTATCACAGTCCAGTGGTCACATGACTTTCTACAAGCAGAAAATCAAGCAGTGTAAAGTGTAGAGTGGAATGGATGATCAACAGGACTAGGGCTGATCATGACGGGGCTTCCAGAGGTTCCAAGGGGGACAAGTGTGAGACTATTCTCTTCCAGAGCTGGGTACCAACAGACAGGAACTCCTCATGCCACAGTTCTTCAATGTACTCTCTCATCTCCTCGTCTGTGGCAGCGGCCAGGGACTCTCCTAGTGCTGACTCCTTGTCTGGAATTTAGAAACAGATGCCACATTATAAATAATGCAACGTAAAAATGCAACAGTAAACATTGAATGGTTATGTAGCTTTAGTATTAAAACTGCAACAGCCAAGAGAACTATAGAGCTGGATTTACCTAAATATTCAGTGAGTAGCTCTGACAGCTCTGTGGCCTCCTCCTGACCAAAGATGTTGGCACTTGAGTGGATGCGGCAGCTGTAGTTGACCAGCACCTTACACACACAGCCACTCAGCTGCCAGTCCTCCCTGCCAAAGTCTCGGAGGACTTCAATCAACCTACAGGGGGCAAGGTATAGTCATGTGATGTTAGCCAGCAATTATCTCAGGTGATAAGCTCACAGTAACCAGATGATAGCCACAAAAACCTAATAGAAGCCTACAATTTTGTGAAAACTTAAACCAGTATTTGATGAGAGAAAGACACTTACTTCTTGATGCCTCCTTCTCTCTTCAACATGGGCCTCTTCTCTTCATCCAACATGAAGTTGATCAGCACACCACAGGCGATGTAGACCATTTCCCTGCTGTTGGAGTCCAGCAGCGTCACCATTATTGCATCAACTACAGCAACAAAAGATTCTCTCAATATTGCATCAACTACAGCAACAAAAGATTCTCTCAACATGTCATCAACTACAGCGACAAAAGATTCTCTCAATATTGCATCAACTACAGCGACAAAAGATTCTCTCAATATTGCATCAACTACAGCAACAAAAGATTCTCTCAACATGGCATCAACTACAGCGACAAAAGATTCTCTCAATATTGCATCAACTACAGCAACAAAAGATTCTCTCAACATGTCATCAACTACAGCAACAAAAGATTCTCTCAATATTGCATCTTGTAAAAGTGATCAGATGTAACCAACATCTTAAAATGGCTGAATATAACATCTTAAAGTGACTGAATATAACATCTTTAAGTGACTGAATATAACATCTCTAAGTTACCCTTGTTTTGAGACAAAAAATCTCTAATCTCTCGATGTCTGGTCAAATTGCCAAAAACCCTTGCAGCCTCTAGTATCCCATCCATGTTGTTGTTCATGATCAGCTTTAGTAAGGCTGGAGAGACAACAAAGACAGTTAACAACCCTAGTATCCCATCCATGTTGTTCATGATTAGCTTTAGTAAGGCTGGAGAGACAACAAAGACAGTTAACAACCCTAGTATCCCATCCATGTTGTTGTTCATGATTAGCTTTAGTAAGGCTGGAGAGACAACAAAGACAGTTAACAACCCTAGTATCCCATCCATGTTGTTGTTCATGATTAGCTTCAGTAAGGCTGGAGAGACAACAAAGACAGTTCACAACAAAGTCAGCTGATCAGTTTAAGGAAAGGGCTGGGCAATGACAACACTATTCTGTCTTATGCCGTTGTCACAGAAACAGATAAACTCTACTTCATCTGCCCTAAGATCGGAAAGTGTAACCTACTATGATATACATAACAATGGAAGGTTTTGATACAATATACAGTGTTGATGATAGCAGAAAAAAATGTGTGGTACAGAAAACATGTGTAGTAGAGAGAAAATGTGGATTACAGAGAAAATGTGTAGTAGAGAGAAAATGTGTAATACAGAGAAAATGTGTTGTACAGAGAAAATGTGTGTGACAACTCACTAGCTGCCATGCTGAGATGTGATGCCATCTGAGATTCATCTTGTGTGGTGTAGTAGGAAAGGTTGTTGATGGCCACTACAGCGTTGACCACTACCTCCTCATGGTGGACGATATCTTTTTGATCTGTTCACAGGAGGGTTATCAAGATTAATCATGTGTGGATACATCTAATAGACTGGTATCATTTCTTGTTACGATGAAAAGTGAAAGTTTAGGTTCGAAGAGGGCACTGACCTACAACCTTGAGTAGGAGTTTCATGAACTGTGAGTTGGCCCCCACTGTTGGCCCTACTTCCTCATTGATGGTCAGGTTGGCTAGAACTCTCATCACCTGGAGATTAGAACAAGCTCAGTCACCAATGGTGGTGTAACAAGCCGAGTCACCAATGGTGGTGTAACAAGCTCAGTCACCAATGGTGGTGTAACAAACTCAGTCACCAATGGTGGTGTAACAAGCTGAGTCACCAATGGTGGTGTAACAAGCTCAGTCACCAATGGTGGTGTAACAAGCCGAGTCACCAATGGTGGTGTAACAAACTGTGTCACCAATGGTGGTGTAGCAAGCTGAGTCACCAATGGTGCTATGTAACAAACTGAGTCACCAATGGTGGTGTAACAAGCTCAGTCACCAATGGTGGTGTAACAAGCTCAGTCACCAATGGTGCTATTTAACAAACTGAGTCACCAATGGTGGTGTAACAAACTCAGTCACCAATGGTGGTGTAACAAACTGAGTCACCAATGGTGCTATGTAACAGAGTCACCAATGGTGGTGTAACAAACTGAGCCACCAATGGTGGTGTAACAAACTGAGTCACCAATGGTGCTGTGTAACAAGCTGTGTCACCATGTCTACACCAATGGTAATGTAAAAGACAAACTGAGTCACCAATGGTGCTGTGTAACAAGCTGTGTCACCATGTCTACACCAATGGTGGTGTAACAAACTGAGTCACCAATGGTGCTATGTAACAGAGTCACCAATGGTGGTGTAACAAACTGAGCCACCAATGGTGGTGTAACAAACTGAGTCACCAATGGTCACCATGTCTACACCAATGGTAATGTAAAAGACAGAGTCACCAATGGTGCTGTGTAACAAGCTGTGTCACCATGTCTACACCAATGGTGGTGTAACAAACTGAGTCACCAATGGTGCTGTGTAACAAGCTGTGTCACCATGTCTACACCAATGGTGCTGTGTAACAAGCTGTGTCACCATGTCTACACCAATGGTGGTGTAACATTCATTACAATGTACCTCCATTCTTAAAATGACTATATAAATGAGTGTTATAGTTAGCCATAAGCCAATAGGAGCAAACCTTGATTAAAACATCCTCCACTTTGCTCACTTCACTTTCTTTCTCTCTCTCTACACCTCCATTGTTCTGTGGGCTTTCTCCATTCACACTTGCTGTCTTTTTACCCTAAAACAACACATAGATTGGATTAAAGTTTTGATAAAAGGAAACATCTATTCAATGCTTGTATTTTGTCTATGTGTACAAAAAAGGTACAACCACCAATACCTGCTGATCCAGCTCTAAATACGTCTGTAACAAAAGCAACAAGGTGTCCAGTGAATCTTTTTCCTGGAAAAGTTTCAGCCGAGCCACATCATTTTTTATTGTCAGGTTGCCAAGTACAAAACACAGTCGCACAATCAAGTCCTGTAAGGTATCCATTTATTAGAGTTGGGCTAGCAAAGGTTTTTTTTAGGTGAAAACACTTGACAATAATCATTATTGAATACTTTCAACTAATAGTAATGAAGTATATAGAAATAATAAACTGAAGAATTAAAATCCAACTCACATCTTTAGTTAAATGCTTTTTCAACAAGTTGACAAATACTTTGTAGCACAGTTGCTGGTTTGCTAACACCAAACAACAGTCAGAATGAAGGGTAATTTTGCTGAAAAATATTTAACAACAGTTAGAATGAAGGGTAATTTTGCTGAAAAATATTTAACAACAGTCAGAATGAAGGGTAATTTTGCTGAAAAATATTTAAGAACAGTTAGAATGAAGGGTAATTTTGCTGAAAAATATTTAACAAGTCAGAATGAAGGGTAATTTTGCTGAAAAATATTTAAGAACAGTTAGAATGAAGGGTAATTTTGCTGAAAAATATTTAACAACAGTTAGAATGAAGGGTAATTTTGCTGAAAAATATTTAACAAGTCAGAATGAAGGGTAATTTTGCTGAAAAATATTTAACAACAGTTAGAATGAAGGGTAATTTTGCTGAAAAATATTTAACAAGTCAGAATGAAGGGTAATTTTGCTGAAAAATATTTAAGAACAGTTAGAATGAAGGGTAATTTTGCTGAAAAATATTTAAGAACAGTTAGAATGAAGGGTAATTTTGCTGAAAAATATTTAAGAACAGTTAGAATGAAGGGTAATTTTGCTGAAAAATATTTAACAACTATCAAAATGCAGAATGATTTTAAGAAAAAATAAGTTAATATGAACCTAACTTAAGTCTGAAAATGTATTAGTATAAAAAAAGAAAATTTGTTAAAAAAAAAAAAACTAAATGTGTTCTGACCTCAATATTCTTGAGATGTACATCATGAGGTCGCTGTCTCCTGGGTAGGTGTCCATCAGGTGCACCAGCCCATCAATGACGTTGTGGGTGAGAAACCTGTCCCTACCTGAGCTGGTGTCTGCCAGATTTCTCAGGGCAGCTGTCAGCTAACAGGGGAGACAACTTTAGTACACTTACATCAAATGTTTAGCTTTAGTACACTTACAGCAAATGTTTAGCTTTAGTACACTTACAGCAAATGTTTAGCTTTAGTACACTTACATACAATGTTGAACTTTAGTACACTTACATCTAATGTTTAACTTTAGTACACTTACATACAATGTTATGCAATCAATTTTAAAAAGTGGCAGTTAACTACTAATTAAAGAAAACCCTATAGACTGACCTGTACTAAAATATGTCCATACTGGTCATATGGTTTACTGCTGTCTCTGTTCTACAAAAAAAATATACCACAATTATACTAACATTACTTGATTCATATTTTCAATACAATGTTATTATGTCACCAGTTCCACAAGGGATTAAGCTTAGCCAAGCAACTTACTAATTTATTTATAGAGTGCATTAAAGCGGCCAAAGTTTTCACACAATCTAGCTTAGCCAGCCTCTTCAAAACATCCCCATTGCCAGTGAGAAACTTGACACTCCCCACACAGTAGATTAAAGCCTCCCATGATGAGGTGGGGTCTGCGTTCCTGATTGTCTCCAGAAGTAGGTCTGAAATGTACAGTTAAACTTATGCAGCTTTGAAGACAGTCCCAATGCTCTAAAAGATGTCAAGATGAGACCACTATGTTCAAGCCACAAGTCAATGCCCTAAGTATATCACCCATAGGATTTGTTCAATATTAGCCACCATATCGGACATAAATAAATTTCACATGTTTTAAAACAACTTACTAAGAATGTTCTCCTCCAGGAAGAAAGCATCGTTCTCCTCGTTGCGGCTAACCTTAAACACAAGCTTGCACACATTGAGGAGATTCTTGCCACTGACTTTAAACTGAAACAAAATATGGAGAAAAATCAAGCACAAAAATCATCCATTTATTCTTAGTAGATAAATGACTTTGTAAGACTTCTAACAGCTAGGATAATCCTAGCCATTTGTCCAGCTATTCTTACAGCCAGAATGATCCTAGCCATTTGTCTAACTATTCTTACAGCCAGAATGATCCTAGCCATTTGTCTAACTATTCTTACAGCCAGAATGATCCTAGCCATTTGTCTAACTATTCTTACAGCCAGAATGATCCTAGCCATTTGTCTAACTATTCTTACAGCCAGAATGATCCTAGCCATTTGTCTAACTATTCTTACAGCCAAAATGATCCTAGCCATTTGTCTAACTATTCTTACAGCCAAAATGATCCTAGCCATTTATCTAACTATTCTTACTGCCAGAATGATCCTAGCCATTTGTCTAACTATTCTTACAGCCAAAATGATCCTAGCCATTTATCTAACTATTCTTACAGCCAGAATGATCCTAGCCAGTCTGAGTAGAACTCTGGCCTCGTCCACATCTAGGAGCCTGAATATGGTCTGCAGGAGTTTGGCTCTGTACTGGAACTGTTTGGTGAAGCAGTTCAAACTCTCTAGCAGTGTGTACAGTTGTCCTGCTAGCTCATAGATGTGATCACAGTCTTTCTCTGGGAACATACATCACATTCTTACAAAACTCTGGATCTTATAAGAAACATGACATTGATACAAAGTAGCACTCCCTCTTGTAATCCCTACTATTACAACAGCCAAACATGAGTATAAACAAGAGCTGTTTATAAGTGACGACCTACTTCTGGATAGTTGAGCCAGCTCTGTGACCAGAGGCTCTACTTGAGTGGTGTATACATCTTCTGGTTCAGCCACATCACGTCTGCCTGCACTGTCTGAAACACATTCATTGTCATGGCTATAGGGCAAACACAAGAGAGAAAGTTGAACGGAGAGAGGTTGGGTTTAACATGAAAACACAAGAGAGAAAGTTGAACTAAGAGAGGTTGGGTTTAACATGAAAACACCAGAGAGAAAGTTGAACGGAGAGAGGTTGGGTTTAACATGAAAACGTATCCTACTATTGCGACTTGATTTTCCAGCACTGGACTTGCGACTTCCTGCACTGCTCTCTCTGCTGCCAGCAACAGTGGGTGACTGGTCAGTCAAGACATCTCCTCTATCTGATGTCACAAGCTCAGCATGGACTTTATCCCGCGTGGACTCTCGGCTGGAGTAATCTTCAGTTCAGGAAAAACAAAGGGAAACATTCTTTCAAAGCAATTTCCATTTCATCTTTTTCAGTTCATTTTTCAATATGCTCTTTAATGAGTTGAGAGAAAATAAAAGAGATCCCAGGTACTTGTCTATCAAAAAAAAGAGTTGAGAGAAAATAAGAGCCTCCCAGGTACTTGTCTAACAAAAACAAGAGTTGAGAGAAAATATAAGAGATCCCAGGTACTTGTCTAACAAAAACAAGAGTTGAGAGAAAATAAGAGATCCCAGGTACTTGTCTAACAAAAACAAGAGTTGAGAGAAAATAAGAGATCCCAGGTACTTGTCTAACAAAAACAAGAGTTGAGAGAAAATAAAAGAGATCCCAGGTACTTGTCTAACAAAAACAAGAGTTGAGAGAAAATAAAAGAGATCCCAGGTACTTGTCTAACAAAAACAAGAGATCCCAGGTACTTGTCTAACAAAATCAAGAGTTGAGAGAAAATAAAAGAGATCCCAGGTACTTGTCTAACAAAAACAAGAGTTGAGAGAAAATAAAAGAGATCCCAGGTACTTGTCTAACAAAAACAAGAGTTGAGAGAAAATAAGAGATCCCAGGTACTTGTCTAACAAAAACAAGAGTTGAGAGAAAATAAGAGATCCCAGGTACTTGTCTAACAAAAACAAGAGTTGAGAGAAAATAAAAGATCCCAGGTACTTGTCTAACAAAAACAACGTACCATCTCCTTGTCCAGGTCTAGCTTCTGATGAACTGTTCTCTACACCTTCTAGGCTCAGTGTGGATGGAAGCCTCGCCCTGTTGCCTGATCCCCGTCTTGAAGCTACTTTAGAGGGCTCAGCAGATGGAGGGCGAGGGATAAGAATGTTCTCAACATCAGATGGTGTAATGGGTTTAGGGTGCTAAGACAACAAAGTATTTGGGCTTAGTGGCGACAATAATAACATCAACAAATTAATTTTTAGGTTTCATAGTTGGAAAATTTTTATTTTCCTTACCACAGAACACAAGTGTTTTAGATAGTGTTGGCTAAAATACACTAAAATGTGGTCAGGTTACATTACAGTCTACAAGCTAAATAAATCTCTTACATAATCTAAAGGTGATAATCTTGTCCCAGAAACTGGCCTAGAATCAGCACCTTCAAAATGACGACTTGTCAGACTGGAAGGGAAAACACAGAGCTAAAATATGACAATGAGCTTTACTGGTTGGTTTCAACAAGTGTTTTTGCTCAACCCAGGAAACTATTAAGTGCGTGCCAATTTTAGGGTAAGATACATTAGACTGAAATATCATTTAAACTTTCACTGTTCAGAAAAGCATACACACCTAAAGGCACTAGGGGGTCTAGTTTCAGGAGTTCGATTAGTAGATGAAGGGAATAAATGTCGCTGTTCGTCACGTGGAGTGTTTGGACGTCTGGTGTCAAAAGTGCGTAGAGATGAGCGAGCAGCATTAACAATCTGTGAGCTTGTCGGGGTCTTCTCTGGAAGTGCATAAAATGGCTTGCTACCCTTTTTGTTTTCCATGGTGATCAGGTCTAACTGTAAAGGAAACTTGAAAATTAGAGTTGTTGCGTAGATTGTACACCTTACTAAATTTTCTAAAAAAAAATTATAGGCCTACACTTCTAAAGAAAATTCTGTCAAAACGAAAACAGGAAATTAATGAAGAAGTTTTAGACAGATTTTAATGAAAGTTATCTTCTGTTTGCACCTCAAGTTAATCTAAATTACGTTACAGTATTATAGTGAGTTTAGTTTTTAAGTTTCCAGTATCCCTGCTCAGCCCATATTATTTATTATTTCAACAAAAAAACAAAAAATGGTTGACTCAGCTCAACTTAAAGATAGAAATCTAGACTAAATTATATGCAATTGCAATGTATACACATATGAACTTACTAATGTTGAAATAGACTCATATCAGAAAAATCAACGTAAAACCTCATTTGGCTATTGTGCTTTTGTAATACATTTTCAATAACGATAAACTAGATCTAGTGAGGTTTATTGAGTCTCAACAAATGTCAACAAAAAATCTCCAAAGACTCGGAATGCCTCACAGGATGTAGTCGTTGGCGCATGCGCACTATTTGATTGTATAACTCTTTATTTTTTGGAAATCAAAAGATTTCACTTGGTAATAAGGTTGTAAAAACGAAAGTTGATCTAAACACAGCGACAATGTCATTTTCGACTAATACTTCGAAGACAATACTAAAAAAGACAAGTAACTTGTCGCATTACTATTTAATCCCACGGAGATATCGCTATAAACCAAAATGGGTATAGACTCTTAATCTAGTTAACTAGATCTAGAGTCTAGTTATATTTTAAATTTTAAAAAGTCTCGTTTTTAGGGCCTACAACTACAAGTGTACTGTGTGTGTAGTGTAGGTAATCTATCGTTTTGGGTACGTAAAATCGCCCACGGCTATTAATGTACGAAAACGTTACCTCATTGTCAAGGCTGTAATAGAAGTATATTGTGATATGTTTGTGTCAAATATTATAGATAAATGAATAATAAACCTAAATCAATGGCTAAATATATCAATATTGGCCAGAAATTAACTTTAAACAGCTGTGTCTGCAAGCAAGATTTGCTATATAAACAGCAGCCATTTGTAAAATAGAGTGACTTCCGCCTGAATCTTGCGCTATATGTCTATAAAAATAAAACTTTAACAAGATGGCTGCTATAGTAAATGAGCGTGGTTGCATCTGTTGGAAATATCGCTGGTGTTCATTTATTACTGAAAAGTTTTAATTCAATTGTTTAAAAACAGGTACATAAATGAAACAAGGAAACATTTTTGTAATTTTCAAAACATAAATCCTCCTCAAAATGTGAAATAATTATTAAAATGTAAGGAGTCATCTGTTTTTCACATTACTAGTCGCGGCCGATTTTACGTACCTAAAACGATAGATTACCGTGTGTGTACTTGTAGTACAAGTTGTACAACACTACAAACTACAAACTACAAGTTAAAGTACAATTTAGTACAAGTTATCAAATATCAAGTAGTAATTTTTTAGTTTAGGGTAATGGGTAATCTATCGTTTTGGGTACATAAATTTAAAAATCGGCCGTGGCTATTAATGTACGAAAACGTTACCTCATTGTCAAGGCTTTAATAGAAGTATATTCAATATTGTCATATGTTTGTGTCAAATTTTATAGATAAATGAATAATAAACCTAAATCAATGGCTAAATATAGTAAATAATCGATGTAGGCCAGAAATTAACTTTAAACAGCAGTGTCTGAGAGCAATATTTGCTATATAAACAGCAGCCATTTGTAAAATAGAGTGGCTTCCCCTGAATCTCCCGCTACAAGTTTTTTTTACAAAAAAAAAAAACTTAACAAGATGGCTGCTAAAGTAAACGAGCTTTATTGCATCTGATGAAAACATCGCTAGTCTTTATTTATTACTGAAAAGTTTTAATACAACTGTTTAAAAACAGGTACATGAATGAAGCTTTGAAACATTTTTATAACTTTCAAAACATAAATCTTCCTAAAAATGGGAAATAATTACAAAAATTTAATGAGGCACCGTCTTTTCACATTACTAGCCTTGGCAGATTTTACGTACCTAAAGCGATAGATTACCAAATAAAAATATTAATATAAATAAAATTATAATAAAATGTTCAATTAATGTTGTTATTTAGGTTTTAGTTTCAATTTTTTTTACTTTTACATTTTTAGGCTTAATTACAATATATTTTAGACCTCGATCAATATTAGTATTACTCGCTAACTTGGAGGCGGGGTTGGTTGCTCATAACAATATGGCGTCCTTACCGGACGCATGACATCCGACGATTTTTTTGCCAAATTCCAGTGACATTCAATGAATTAATTTTAAAAATGTTTACCATGAGCAAAATGGCGGGGTTTTCACGTTATAACAACAAACTATAGGTGGCAGGGCTATATGTGCCAGAAAAGCATTTCAAAATTTGCGTTGGAGAATGAAGGCTAAATTTAAAAGTTGGTTTCATTAAAAATACTAGAACTTTTTAAATATTAATTAAAAATTTCCATAGTACAAAATTGATTTCCACACTGAAGCATTATTAGGTTATCAGTCTATGAAAAAATATCTTTGCCATAGTGGATTTTCAACTCTTCTCCAATTAAAAACAAATCAAAGAAATAAATTGAATGTTGGTAATGACATGAGGTTTGAGTTAACAAAATCTCAACTGTGAATTTTGAGACTAGTTAATAGCATGCAATTTCACCCATCGCATTAAAACAGTTATCAAAAATAATTCATATTGAAATTATACTAGAAAGTCTAATTTAGGTGTTTATTAATTTCCTTACGAGCTCAGACTTTTTAATTCTATGGGGGTTGCGGTTCACTTACATTTATATAAGGGGGGTGGCCACACAAAAAAGTTTGGGACCCATGCACTAGACTCTATAGAGTGACTAGAACTAGCAAGTGCCAGCTCAGTTTAGATTTCACTCCTAATTTATTTGTAGTGCACAAAAATGACTTCACTTAATTAACTCCTGACAGTATGTTTGCTTTGAAACACTCAACCACAGAATAATCAAAGTGCATTTATCTGGATTCCTTAAGGCCCTACACTAAACAAGGTCATCCAGTGAATTAGCAATAACTTACTACTCTACAATTATACATTTTTAAGAAAGATGATGCAAATTTAAAATGTTTTTACAGGCAGTAAATTTCAAGAAAGAAACCAATAGACAACTTGCACTCAGCAACTTTGATGCTTTCTATAAACCCTATTATGGAAAAGACTGGCCATCTATCCGTCTGTCATTATTATCATTACCAAAGTACACTGCAGTTTTAAACAGATATGGAAATGAAAAGTCCATACAATCTCAACTTGAAGACCTTGATGTCATTAATTTTACTGAATATGCAAGGATATTGTTAACTAAACAGGACAATATTTTAACAGATACTGAAAGTGTCTCTGAACCTCCTAGTGATAACAAGAAATTAGAAAACAGTGAAAATGTGGAGAGTGAACCAGACCCAGTGGGGTTCAACAAGCTGCTGGAGTTTGAAAGAGACAAGTACAAACAATACAGAGAAGATGGCCAAGTTCTGGAGCCATACAGCCAAGACATTTATAAAGATAGTTTAAATGTTTTTGTTCCTGTTGATCAAATATATACAGAAAAAGAGCACCTGCTTAAAGAGGAGGTTACCATGAACACGTTTCGGCCGCGGGATCTCAGTATTCCAGTTGTGCCCCTCAGCTCTCTCACCATACCCAGTTCTATTAATGCACTTGTTTATCCCAAGGGAAATGTTACACTGTTTCCTCAACCTAAGGCACATTCAAGAATTTATAGTTTGTGTTTCTACATTTTATACATTACTCACTTTCTTTAGTATTTATTTGATTATTTGTACTTAAGCTTTAATCTTTTGTTAATTAAAAAAACATCTTTCTTGTTTCCATATACTTTTAAATTATGAATAGTCAAGATTTTAGTTATCCTTTGATTGCACCCATTGTGACGACAATTTTATATATATATATATATATATATATATACATATAGTATTAGTCGTGCGCCTAAAGTGATAATGTTTCTGTATTCTTCTAGACTATTATCTGATGGACGCTGCCTCAGTTATGCCAGTTATTGCTTTAAATGTACAGCCAGCCGACCAAGTCCTAGACATGTGTGCGGCCCCTGGGGGAAAAAGTTTCTTGATACTTCAGTCTCTGGACTTGGATGCAGGTGGCTTTTTAGTTCAAACAAAATATACTGTTTCATTTTTTTAAATACATTGTATAATTTTGAAAATACACTGTATAAATTTGAAAATACACTGTATAATTTTGAAAATACAGTTTCATTTTAATTTCAATAAGCTTTTGATGTAGGCCAACAATACCCTGTTACAATTCATTTAATAAAGACAAAAGTTATTTTTTTCCACAGTTTCCTCCCCTAGCCTAGTCTAAGCTACCATACCACCCTTACACTTACCATCTGATGTATTATATTTCTACTTACCTCTTGTCAGATGGTTCAGGAGTTTCTGAGATTTTCTGGTTTCATTCAATAGAAACAGAAATATATTCTTCACTTTTGTTACCATACACTACACTTTGATTAAGTATCCTCATGGTGTTTTGTTCTGTTTGATTCAGGTGGCTCTTTGCTTTGTAACGACATCTCACTGAGTCGACTTCAGCGTTTGAAGAACGTTTTGTTCTCCCACTTGCCAAAAGATTTAGCTGCCCAGGTCCAAGTGAGAAAAGCAGACGGCTTTGAGGCTCTTCAACCTGTTTACAATAAAGTCAGTGCTCTGTTTTATCATTGAAACTTACAGATGGGCAGGGGGGGGGGGGGGGGCAGGTTAAATACAATACAATTTTGGCTCATCTACTCTTTGTGCATGTATTTTATTAGGAGTTGTCATTAGTTTTAAAGTTTATGTTGGTGGATGTAGTGATATTATTTGAATGTTTGTGCAGGTGTTGGTGGATGTGCCGTGTAATACAGATGTTAGTTTTAAAGTTTATGTTGGTGGATGTAGTGATATTATTTGAATGTTTGTGCAGGTGTTGGTGGATGTAGTGATATTATTTGAATGTTTGTGTTGGTGTTGGTGGATGTAGTGATATTATTTGAATGTTTGTGCAGGTGTTGGTGGATGTGCCGTGTAATGCAGATCGCCACGCCGTCACTGAGGAGGATAATGGTTTGTTTAAAATGTCAAGGACACGTGAGCGTCTGGATCTGATGAAGACTCAACAAGAATTACTCAAGTAATTTGTGTATACAAAAGTTATAGGATAACAATATAGGGTGTTATACTAATGTTGTGCTTGAGGTGATAAGTCATGACTGTTGTCATGTGTGTGACCTTTGTCCAGTCGTTTGAGACGAGAAATCTAACATTTGACCAGGGAAAGTAAACAGTATGTACTCACACTGGTTGTTAACATGCCAGTTAAAAAGTAAAGTGAGTGCAGGTGAAGTAGAGTTTACATGTTTCACTGACTTGGGTGTACGAAGGGATAGTGTGGTCAGTACTATGTCCAGCCATTTTCACCCATCAGAGCTGACACCAGCCCAGGATCCTAACTTGATACTTTTGGTTCGACCTCACAGTCCTTTGGCAGTGAAAGATATATTTCTTTAAATTCTGTTGCCGAAAGTATGTCATTTCAAAAGTTATGTAACTTTGTGCTTTTATAAACTTTCTCAATATCTATTATTATGCACCTTATTCTATAACATTATGGATCTTCTGTAACATTATGCAAATTTGTTCTGTAACATTTTATAACTTCTGACAGAACTGCCATCCATATGTGTGTACCAGGGGGGGACATTGTTTACTCTACCTGCACATTAGCACCTGCACAAAATGATGGCGTCATACAGGCTGTCTTGGAGGATTTGTGGCAAACTTCAGAGGTACAGTTGTCATTTACTAAGGTGGATTGACACCACATTTGTGGCAAACTTCAGAGGTACAGTTGTCATTTACTAAGGTGGATTGACACCACATTTGTGGCAAACTTCAGAGGTACAGTTGTCATTTACTAAGGTGGATTGACACCACATTTGTGGCAAACTTCAGAGGTACAGTTGTCATTTACTAAGGTGGATTGACACCACATTTGTGGCAAACTTCAGAGGTACAGTTGTCATTTACTAAGGTGGATTGACACCACATTTGTGGCAAACTTCAGAGGTACAGTTGTCATGTTTTAAGGTGGATTGACACCACATTTGTGGCAAACTTTAGAGGTACAGTTGTCATTTACTAAGGTGGATTGACACCACATTTGTGGCAAACTTTAGAGGTACAGTTGTCATTTACTAAGGTGGATTGACACCACATTTGTGGCAAACTTCAGAGGTACAGTTGTCATTTACTAAGGTGGATTGACACCACAATGTCCTGCTTTTCTGCCTGTAGCGGGCGCCTTTTCTTCCATCTCCCTCCACCACATTCCCAATTCATCCCCCCTCCCCTTGCCCTTTCGGTGCCATACATGTTCTAAACCTGTTGTTAAAAACTAAAGCTAACAAATGTTGCCCTAATGTAATTATGTTATTGACTAACCTGTGCCCTAGATCTGGTATAGATGTTTTGTTGTCATAAAAAAATTTCTGATCTAGACATTGTCTGAAAACTGTCTTAAGGCCCAGAAGTTGTGTTGTGACCTACAAGTTGTGTTTTGACCTAGAAGTTGTGTTGTGACCTAGAAGTTGTGTTATGACCTAGAAGTTGTGTTGTGACCTAGAAGTTGTTTTTTGACCTAGAAGTTGTGTTTTGACCCCTGTCCTAACCTTTTGTTTTCTGACCAACAGATTGAGGTTGTAGTGGAGGACTTGAGGCCACTGACCAAGCTGTTTAACCACATCTTCAAGTTCCATCAGCACTCCAGCTACGGACAGAACATTATTCCAACCATCACTAATAATTTTGGACCCTCTTATTTTGCTAAACTGAAAAGAATAAAGTGAATGAAATCAATATCTTTTGAGTTTAATATGTGTGGACATGTTGCAGGCGATAGAGACAGCTTTGTGGATTTATGTTTTGATAAGTCTTTATTAACTGCACATTGCAATGAAAGAACTTGAGTGGGGAGTCAGTGTGTTTAAATTTGTGTATCAGATTTCTATTCTTGAGTGGGGAGTCAGTGTGTTTAAATGTGTGTATCAGATTTCTATTCTTGAGTGGGGAGTCAGTGTGTTTAAATTTATGTATCAGATTTCTATTCTTGAGTGGGGAGTCAGTGTGTTTAAATGTGTCTATCAGATTTCTATTCTTGAGTGGGGAGTCAGTGTGTTTAAATTTATGTATCAGATTTCTATTCTTGAGTGGGGAGTCAGTGTGTTTAAATGTGTGTATCAGATTTCTATTCTTGAGTGGGGAGTCAGTGTGTTTAAATGTGTGTATCAGATTTCTATTCTGTACCAACCCTAGCACAAATCAAACTATAATTTGCATAGCCAAGGCCAATAACTCAAGCACCAACTAGCATCTCATTTGTGTTCATAGCACTCAACAGTAACTGCTCTTGTATTCTGAATGATTGGCAGTGATAAATTAAAGTCAGTCGTTATAATAACATCTCATGTGAAGGGGACTTGTATTTATTTCAAAACTTTTTGTTTCAACAAATCAAATATTATTACATAAGGGCAATGTAATGTTCGCAAAAACATTACAGAACAAATATGTATATATATATATATATATATATATATATATATATATATATATACAAATCATATGTATGGAAAGAAAAATCAGGTCTAAACTGTATTGAAAAAGTGGTAAATTTTAGATTTCTTTTTCAATATTAACACTTAGGTCTATAATAATTATGTTATCATTTATGGAATCAAAAATTGCGGTTTTTTTTAAAAAGTTATTCCAAACATGACTGTATTAAGCCTAAATCTATATGTCATACACAGGCCTGCTGCATAAAAATGATTTAAGCCTACAACTACAAGCAGTGGCGTAACGAGGTCAGTTGTCACCCGGTGCGACCCCCCAAAGGCGTAGCGACTTCCCGGGGACAAATTTTCGATTTGCACACACCCTCTCAAACTTTCAATTTGCACCCCCTCCCCCCAAGTTTTCGATTTGCACCCCCCCCCCCCTCAAACTTTAGATTTGCACCCCCCCTCAAGTTTTTCTCTATATATTTTGCTATTTTTTGCCTTGGTGTTACCCCCCTAAATGGTGTCACCCGGTGCGGTCCGCACCCCCCGCCCCCCCTCGCTACGCCCCTGACTACAAGATATGTTTGGTTTCTTTAGCTTTTGGCTCCGTATGTGGCTCATCTTGATCTGCTGCAAGGTCTTTAGAATTAGATGGCCACTTTTTTGCAATGGGGGTTCCATTTTAGTGCCAGCCCGATGTAGATTTAGTAGACAGTAGTTAAAACATATTGTATTCATTTTACTTCACTGATTACCACTCCCTCAAGGCGCTAGATGTAATTATTTTTTTAATGAAGTGCTGCACTAAATTGCATCTTAGTTGTCCGTGTGCATGACGTCACATGTTTGTTTTTAGAGGTAAATTCCTCTGGAACAAATCATGTTTGAATAAAAACAAACATTGAGCAAGTGTTAATGAATATAATTAGTAAAAGAAAATAGCGTTTTATTGTGCAAAGCAATCAATTTTGACGATACTTTAAAGTTTGTGATTTACAAAAAGAAAATTGTAAAAGTAGGTAGATCTAGATCTAGAGATTTAAATCAGTCAGAATAGATTAATTTAATTAAGATATAGATTAGGCCATTAGGCGGTGATATAATAAGTCTAGATCTATGATTCAATCAAGTATTTTTTTAGATACCGGTAAGTCGCAGGTGAGGGAAAGGGAAGAAGCCGTAGAATTCTAAAAGGTGGGGTTAATAACAACATTTCTCTACTAATAATGTAATTTTTAATATATTTCTATTTCTATACATGCGTGGGAGGGGAGCCTCCGCAAAAGGAATATTGATCTAGATCTAGATCTAGATCTATATCTATATACTACTAAAAGTCAAGTTTGTTTACATGTTTGAATATTTATTTGTTTGCCTGATCGAAAATTGTGATATGTTCGACTCTATCTGGAAAGCTGTAAAATGGTATGCAGGTAGAGAATAATTTTTTAATGCAGACAGACTGTTGATCACAAATTTATTTAAAGACGTTAATTAATTAATTGATTTATTCATATGCAGATTAACCCATTTTTTTAAAAAAGATTTGAAAAGCCACTAGACTCGACGGAAACAGTGACGTCACATGATGTGTTTATTTTTTTACATCGATAATGGCGGCCTATCGAAGAAGATTGTGTTCCCATTCCAATGTTTAACGCGTTCTAAAGCTAATTTTCTGTCGGCTTTAACTTTAACAATACGTCCGTTTGCTGTATTTATTACGTTCCAACACTTATATCAATTTTCAACTGTCTTTTTCATTTAGTTTTACAATAAATTTCTCTAGGTCTAAAGATCAGCTGTCGAAGGAAAGTTATTTATAGATCTAGATCTAGAATCTAGAATCTAAAAATCTAGGTCAAATCCAAGATTTATTAGTTATAAATACAATAAAAAAAACGAAACTTTAGCAAACCAGTCGTAGATCTAGAATATAGATAATTCTATCTAGATTTAGATAATAATGAGTTTCTATATACTAAACTATTTTAGACCTTTATTATTTTATATAAATCTTTTTTTGTATAGCTATGAAATATGCTAATTAGGAAATGCTGGATGCGGGACCTATTTGCATAACTTAAGATTCATACGCGGCTTCTATACCGCTAAGTGTGCAAAATTATAGACGTAAACTCTAGATAGAGCTCAGTCGTAGATCTAAAATATAGATAATTTTCTATCTAGATTTAGATAATAATGATTTTCTATATACTAAACTATTTTAGACCTTTATTATTTTATATAAATCTTTGTTTGGAATATGGTAATTTTGAAATGCTCGCTCCGGGCCTATAACTTATAAGCGTAGCTAATGATTAGATCTAGATTCTAGGTCTAGCAAGAAAAACTAAACATAAGAAGACTTAAGCAAAAGAGTCGTAGAATCTAGACTAGATCTAGATAATTCTATCTAGATCTAGATAATTTCAGACCTTCTTTATTTTATATAAATTTTTGTTTGGCTAATTTAAGATAAAATTTAATTTGAAAGTTACTACTACTAGAGTTAGATGTAGATCTATGCGCGTAAGGAGACTCAAAGTATAGTATAAAACTTCACTTGTAATGTCACGAGTAAATAGCTAACTTGGTAGTGAGGTCGGCTCTCATGTGGGTGGCACAGGTTCTAGACCAATTCGTCAATGATTTTTTTTTCAATTTTTTTTTTTTTTAGATGTGAATAATAAAGTTGCCTATCTGAACTTGGCAGGATACAGGGCTGGTGAAGTAGAGTTTGTCTGTTTCTTTGTCCTAAGCATATGAAAGGATAGTGTGGTCAGAGACATGCTCGGCTGGAATCGTTTTTTAAACGATAAAAACATGTTGTCTGAGACTTGGCGGGACACTGGGCAGGTGAAGTAGAGTTGAGTAGGTCACCTATGAAGTCAGTATATGAAGGGATAGTCCGAAATCGGTGTTTTCGGTGTTTTTAAAAGATAAAAAACAAATTTTTGAAAGTGGGGTCTGTTTTTTTGTGACGATAAGTGACACTGCAGTAGCGTAGCGAGGAGGGGGGGGGGGGGGGAGGTGGAGGGGGGAAGGGGGGGGGGGGGGCGGGGGGACATATGTTGGGGCGCCAAAATGGTTTGGAAAAATAAATTGAAAGGTTGAGGGGGGGGGGGTTCAAATCGAAAATTTGAGTGGGGGGGGGGGGGGGGGTGCACATCAAAAGTTTGAGGGGAGGAGGTTGAAAATTGAAATCTTGGGAGGTGGGGTTAAAATCGAAAAGTTTGTCCCCGGGCGCCAGGAAGGGTCGCTATGCCTCTGAGTGACAGACGTGATGTTTTTTGATGGATGACCCCCGAAACCCACAGTTATCCAACGGATGACGGGTATTCTAGTTAAATATTAAAACACGGAGTCGGAAAATCAACAGAAAACAATCACAAATGCAGACGAATGTTATTATTATTTTAATTTTTTATTTAAAAGAAAATTAACAAATGACAGCAATTTATGGCAAAAAGTTTATGCATTAACTGTCTTCGCCTTCTCATTATCACACATCAAACAATTTTCTAGCAGGAAATTTAACGTTCGAGCTACTCTAGATCTAGATTTCTAGATCTAGATCTAGATCTAGATTCTAGAGTAGTAAGAGTAGTCTAGATGCGCAGCCCTGCGCAGACGATAGTTTTTCCCACCTGTTGGTGAAGGAAATACGAATGTAACAGAAACGGTTTCAAGAACAAGTTATTATTGAAGTTATTGAACTACAAGTCCAGTGTACTCTAGATTACACCCAGTGTACAGAGTTTTAGTGTTTGAACCTTAATAAAGGTCCTTTTCTTAACAATATAAAAAAAAGAAAGCAAGTTACTTTACTTCAATCTTTTATTCTTATCTAGAAATTCTAGATCTAGACTAGATCTTAGATCTAGATCTAGAATCTGTTAGTTTGTTACTACTAGATCTAGGTCTAGATCTAGATCTAGACCTAGATTTAAAATTTAGTTTGAAGAGACCTAGAGCTAGAATCTAGATCTAGCTGCTAGCTAGCAGTGTTTCTTCCAGGCATCTCTTCAAGACCACTTCAAGAGTATCAACTTGAGTCTACCCCCCCCCCCCCCAAATGAAATGGAATTTATATAGATTATCTCTATATACTATAATCTATAATACTTTTAACAGTGTCCAACCCCCCCCCCCCCCCCAAAAAAAAAAACTTTAGTCCGCCGCCACCCCGCCGCCCCTCCATTGCCCCCCCCCCCCCCCCCGGAGTAAAAAGTCTGGAAGAAACATTGCTACCTGGAGTGTCAGTAGTAGTAGACTAACTAATATTAAACTAAGGTATTAGTACTAGATCTATATTAACTATATTAAAGTCTAGATCAGGGGTTCCCAACCCTGTGCCCGCGGGCACCATGGCGCCCGCTGAACGATTTGTATGTGCCCGCCTCTCACTATTCGACAGAGACAGAATTTTTTTCATGAACATTATTTTAAAATATGATTTATTTTTATTCATTTGTTACAGTTTTAATTTTTTTTTGACTGCCTAGGTTTATGAAATATGTTTGATACTTGTCCCAACTTGTCTAGCGGCGAGCCAGACTGCACTATTTACGTTTTGTAAATAAATTTTTCTGTGTATGCAATTTGAAAAAAATGCCAAATAATTTAATTATTTTGAAACATTTTTCTTTATTATTTATTAATACATTATGACTATAAGAAAATAAGTTAATAAGAAAATAAATTATGGGAAAATGACAAGTTATGAAAGGAGTTTTTCGATTTAAAATAGGTGGTGCCCGTCACCCTACCGATATTTTAGAATGTGCTCTAGAGTAAAAAAAGGTTAGGAACCCCTGGTCTAGATTCTTTAGATCTCTAACTAGCCGGCCAGGCCTTGCACTGGCTTTTGTGAAAAACCTATCTGTAAAGGACCATGACTTGTGTGTTTATGCCCGTCAAATTAGATGTTTATCTTCAAATATGGACGTTTGAGAAAATAAAACATAACCTTAAACCTAACTCTTAACTTAACCCTAACCACAACCAACCACAACCGAAAACACAAATGGGAGTGTAGCGCAAACACTAAAGGAAATGCAAAAACAAAAGTAAAATCCAACGAAAACACAAACACAAATGTAACACCAACCCAAAAACAGACGCAAAAGTAACACAAACAAAAATGTAAACAATAATGCAAATGGAAACATAACTGTAAATATAAATGACATTTAGGAGTGCCTTCTACACTGTTATTGAGCAAAAATAATAATTAGTATTCATTCAGTGTATACAATTTTTTTAAAAGTTGTATTTAAAATACCTGTGTTTTACCTACCACACTTCCCTTTATTAAACCATGCTAATTAGATATTTTTTTCCAACATCAGAACAAACTAAAAAAGAAGTACTTTTTTTCCTGTTTTTTTATTTATTTATTTTTGTAAGTCATATAGAGTGAAGTAATAGGTACAAAGATATTACACAATGTATATATATATACAATATATATATATATATATATATATATATATATATATATATATATATATATATATATATATATATATATATATATATATATATATATATATATATATATATATATATATATATATATATATATATATATATATATATATATATATATATATATATATATATATATATATATATATATATATATATATATATATATATATATATATATATATATACATACATACATACATAAAGCCTATATACATTTTCAAAATCTTTAGATTAGATCAACATGTCATACTCAAGAGCCCGGTTTATGGCAGCAGATAAAAAGAGATCTACATTGATAAATAAACTAAAATATGGAGAAACAAAATATCCTCAGACTAAGGCTAGAGGTTACTACTCTGATTTAATAACCCAGGGAGCAGATCTTGGTGAATTAGAGGTAATTACATTTCTGATTATTACATGACTATAAAACACAAACAATAAAAAATATTTTTGTGAATTCTCTTTTGGCTCATATAAAGTTAAAATTCATATGACATGTAGAAACAATAATTTTGTCATGACATGGTTTTTTCATTTATTAAAAGTTAACACCACATCTGTTTATATTTTAGCTAATTACAAAGTCTGGTGCTAAAACATATCAAGATTCACTCTGGAAAATCAATACAGAAAAACATACACCACTCAGTAAGTTCTTAAATCAAAAGTTCAGTTAAGTAAAAGTTATTAACTTGATGTTGTAACATAGGAATGTTGTTTTGTTTTATCACTGGATGAATGTTTGCTGGTTTTTATTTGCAGCCAACACATTTGAAGTGACTAAAGAACAAGTTGATAAAGATTTAGAGACTCAAGTTTTTGGCCCACACACTGGGGTTTTCATTAAAAAGGTAACTTTTAAAACAAAACAACAAAACTTGAAACATTTCTAGCTATTACATTAAACAATATGCTGGACCAAATGGGCCTGTAAAAGTTTCTCCATGATACTGTATATAAATTTCGTTTTATTTTCAGGCTAAACCTGGGGAGAGCTGTGCCAGTGGTTGTGTGAGTTGACAACTTTTGTTTGGTATTACAGCTGTTTTTTGTTTTGTTATCACAGCTGATAAAGTTCAAAATACTATGTATTGTTTCTTCTGTGAAAATGCAAGCAAAGAATTTTTAAAAAGTGTATTTAACAAATGCCCAACATAAATTATTGGCTTAAAAGCACAATTAGGGTAATGCTCTAGCTTTGATAAAAAAATTTTTTTTAAAATTGCTTGTGCTAAGCTTTCATTGCTTTAACTTTTAATAAATTTCAAACAAAACTTGATAAGTTTTAAACAAAATTTGATAGATTGCAAACAAAATTTGTTAGATTTAAAAAAACTAATAAATTAAAAACTAATTTCTGTGCCAGGATTTCAATGCTCTAGCTTTTGAACCAAAAGTTCAGCTCCCTGTGTTACATGTTCCTGGTGAGAAGCCCCGAAAAGTTGAAGTAGAGAGGTAATGTTTGGTTGTTAAGGGGATATGCTATGTTTTTTCCTATTTTTTACAATCTAATATCTAAAGCATTTTGAATACTTTTATCATGTTTGGCATATAAAAGTAAGTATTAAACAGCAAAAAAAGGGTTGAAAACAATTTTGGTTGTCATGAAAACCCGAAATAACCTCCGCCATTTTGAATTTTTTGGTACTTTTAAAAATGCTAAGGCTTTTTTATTTATGCACCTAGAGCAATCAAATTTAAACTGCTTGTATTTCAGGATATATTAAAACTTTTGTCACGACAACTTTTTGAAATAGCTACTAGTAAGAATTTTACAAAGTCTACAAAATCGTACCATTTCTAGTGTTCAAAATTGTCAGAATTTGCAATTTAATTACCAAATACTTTTTTTCTATGTAAGCCATCACAATTCCCTCGTGACAAAAGTTGTATTTTTGCACGAAGAACAATTACTGAAAATATGGTTGCGATTGTTTAATAAATAAAAAAGTAGTAGGCTTTATAGTGTTAAAAACATTCGAACTGAGAAAAACAGCCAAAAGTAACGAAAAGTAGGTCACGAAAATAGCATATCTGGGTAAACTGCAAAGCCGATTGTAAGCTTTGGGTGTTTCCCAGATGATGGAAATTAAGATTATCAAATAAAGTAGAAATCCAGCTTTCCAATGATGCCAAATTCAATATGATGAGAGATATACAACTTTTCATAGAGAGCGTGTAAGATTGGGAAAAATTGATTATTTTTAATTAACAGGGTCATAAAAATGGTAATTTAAACACCTAAAAAAATTTTTTTCTCATTAAAGTTATTATTTTCCTAATACAAAAATGGACAAAGTATCCAAAAGTGCAAGAAACCCATCATGACGAAAAACAAGAAATTTTGTGGTTTTTTGTCGCGCATATCCCCTTAAAGTAGAGAGGGAATGCTTGTTTGTTAAAGTAGAGAGGGAAAGCTTGTTTGTTAAAGTAGAGAGGTAATGATTGTTTGTTAAATTAGAGCGCTAATCTTTTTTTGTTAAAGTAGAGAGGTAATGCTTGTTTGTTAAAGTAGAGAGGTAATGCTTGTTTGTTAAAGTAGAGAGGTAATGCATGCATATTAAAGTAGAGATGCAATGCATTTGTATTTAGAGTTAATGAATAAGCCAATATGTTGGATAAATTTAGAATTTTAAAAATTAGGTTTATAATGAATTATTGATCTCAAAGCCATTGAAGGGTTAATACAAAGAATGTGATTTAGGTATAACAATCTCTTCACTTTAGAGAATTAGAATAGGTCTTACATTTCAATCCTAATTTCTTGAACTGACACACTTTTTTTTTTCCACTTATGCCATCTGTGTCACAACAGCAGACTGAAATATTTATGATACCATTGTTAAAGTAACTGTTGGCTTATGGAAAATCTTTTTTTTCTCTTGCTACACCAAATTCTTTAAGAGATTTCTTCTGTCCTATTCAGGCTGCGACGCCTGTATGCAAGGCTAGACTTGCCCACTCTGCTGAGGGAGAGGGGAGTGAAAACAGAACTCTTGATGCCTAAACAGCACACAAACCTGAACATAATTCTTATGATGAACCCAAATGATCCAGCACCTTTTCCTCCTTACCTACCCCTTGGCTTGTTTGACAACGCAGAATTTGACAACAGGACTCCCAAGGAGTGGATGCGCCTAGGGTACATGAGCAAGGGTCAGGCGCCAATACCAAGCGTGTGTTTGTTGCCAACTAAAGATGAAGATGGTGACAGTAAGTGTTTGTAGCCTAATTAAAGATATTGAAACTGTTTATTTGTTGCCCACTAAATGGTGATACTAAGTGTTTGCTTTTTGCCCATTAGAGATGGTGACAGTGTTTGTTGCCCACTAAAATGGTGACAGTGTTTGTTTCCCACTAGAGATGGTGACACTGTTTGTTTCCCACTAGAGATGGTGACACTGTTTATTGCCCACTAAAATGGTGACAGTGTTTGTTTCCCACTAGAGATGGTGACACTGTTTGTTTCCCACTAAAGACGAAGATGGTGTGAGTTAGTTGTTGACTAGTTCAATCTTTGTTTACTTATTACAGAAGATCCAACAGACCCTAGCATAGAATATGATTGGTATGATGCTGGTGTTTTGGATTATGATGCTGACACAAAGAAATATTTTGTCCAGCGAGTGGACGAAAACTGCCGGATAGTTGACCCCAATGGGGAGATGGTGATTAATGGATCTATCGACCCTGTCACTGGCAAGAGAAATATTTACCCAAATCAGTTTTGGATTGAGAGATGGAGGCTCATGTTCAGAGCAGAAGATCCCAGAATATTTGCAGACAGGGTAGCGTTTGCTTACCAGGCGAGGAAGCAGTGTGAGGCAGAGCTGCGCTACACACTCTATGTAGACTGTATGCCCATGGATGGCTTGGGGAACCTGACTGAGAAAAACTTTGCAGAGATAGAGAAGCGTGCACACTCCACCCCTGGCCTCAGCAAGTTTAAAAAGTTTGTAGCCTGGCTTTTTTTTTAAAACTTATAAATAACTAGAATTTGTAATTTTAACTGTAATTTTAACAAAATATTAATAGTAAAAACAATAGAAAAGCTAAATAATTTTAAGTGTATACATTTTTTAATTTTATATGTGTTCTGTTTTAGGCTTCGAGAAGCAACAACGAAAATCGAGGAAGAAATTACCTTGGACTACTGTAGAGTGATGAACCAATTTATACTTGAGAAAGCTGTCCGGGATGATCCATCGACATTTGCTTTTGTCACATTACCCATCCGCTATGAGAGGCCAGCCCCCATGTACTGTAAGGACATTTTATTTACATCCTCACCCTTTGCTTTTGTTACATTACCCATCCGCTATGAGAGGCCAGCCCCCATGTACTGTAAGGACATTTTATTTACATCCTCACATGGTGGTATGGCCATGTTAAAAGTGCTGTAAAGTTTTTGGGAGGTGGAGCTTGTTTTTGTACATAGGATGTCACAGTTGTAATAACTAAGATTTGACAGTTTTGTTGTAACATTTGGTGTGTGTTTACCTTTCCTCCATCCAGATGTCCAGATGTGCCCCCTTACCCCTATGAGAGACAGAGTGACCGTTGTAACATTTGATGTGTATTTACCTTTCCTCCAGCCAAATGTCCAGATGTGCCCCCTTACCCCTACGCAAGACAGAGTGACCGTTGTAACATTTGATGTGTATTTACCTTTCCTCCAGCCAAATGTCCAGATGTGCCCCCTTACCCCTACACAAGACAGAGTGACCGTTGTAACATTTGATGTGTATTTACCTTTCCTCCAGCCAAATGTCCAGATGTGCCCCCTTACCCCTACGCAAGACAGAGTGACCGTTGTAACATTTGATGTGTATTTACCTTTCCTCCAGCCAAATGTCCAGATGTGCCCCCTTACCCCTACGCAAGACAGAGTGACAGTTTTGCCTACAGCTCAATCTATACCATCACTGAGAGCATAGAAGCCATGTGCCTGGTCAGGACAGAGTGCAACCAGCTGCTCAACAACATGAGCTTTTTCAACTTTAAAATCACAAAGATGTTCAAGGTGCAGGAGTTTGAGAACCTGCAGGACCAGGCCATCACAATGGTGAGTGGGGGGTGTAGTGGTCCAGACCATTACAGTGGTGAGTGGGGGGTGTAGTGGTACTGGCCATTACAGTGGGGGGTGTAGTGGTCCAGACCATTACAGTGGGGGGTGTAGTGGTACTGGCCTTTACAGTGGGGGGTGTAGTGGTCCAGACCATTACAGTGGCGGGTGTAGTGGTACTGGCCATTACAGTGGGGGGTGTAGTGGTACTGGCCACTACAGTGGTGAGTGGGGGGTGTAGTGGTACTGGCCTTTACAGTGGTGAGTGGGGGGTGTAGTGGTACTGACCATTACAGTAGGGGTGTAGTGGTACTGGCCTTTACAGAAGGGGGGTGTAGTGGTACTGGCCACTACAGTGGGGGGTGTAGTGGTACTGGCCATTACAGTGGGGGGTGTAGTGGTACTGGCCTTTACAGTGGTGAGTGGGGGGCATAGTGGTACTGGCCATTACAGAAGGGGGGTGTAGTGGTACTGGCCACTACAGTGGGGGGGGGGGTGTAGTGGTACTGGCCATTACAGTGGGGGGTGTAGTGGTACTGGCCATTACAGAAGGGGGGTGTAGTGGTACTGGCCACTACAGTGGGGGGTGTAGTGGCACTGGCCGTTACAGTAGGGGTGTAGTGGTACTGGCCACTACAGTGGGGGGGGGGTTTAGTGGTCCAGGCTATTACAGTGGTGACTGGGGGTATATATATCATAAAGGATAGTTGAAAACACGGAGTTGATTGGAGTGTCACTCCAGTCATTACAGAAAAACATCAAGGAATTACGCTGTACTAATTAATTCTTTAAATTGACCTTCATTAGATGAGCAACTACTTGCGTGAGCAGTGGTTAAATCTTTTGAAAACTCACATCCGCAAGTCATTCATGGGGGTGAGAAAAGGCTGGTTCAACATTTATGAAGACAACTGGGCCATTTATCAAATCTCAAAAATGAAAAAATTTAATGAAACTGTCAAGTTTATCATGCAGGTGGGTAAAAGTTGTCTGACGCTTAGGTAAGACGTTTAGGTAAGGTATCTCTGAGAGGACTCTGGACCTGTACTTATTTCTCCAGCAGGACTCTGTATGTCCTCCAACAGGACACTGTATGTCCTCCAACAGGACACTGTATGTCTTGTTGTTTCTCCCTTAGGACACTATACGTACCCTTGTGTTTGACTCACTGAGAAACTTCACCAGCATGATACTTGACGCCTGCTATGCTACCATGGATGTCAGACCACATTATCGATGGGGCAACAACCTGCAACACAGTCCCTTTGTGTAAGTCCAGCCACTGGTCATTTGTGTCAGTTGTCCAGCCACTGGTCATATCTTTTGTGTCAGTTGTCCAGCCACTGGTCATTTGTGTTAGTTGTCCAGCCACTGGTCATTTGTGTTAGTTGTCCAGCCACTGGTCATTTGTGTTAGTTGTCCAGCCACTGGTCATATCTTTTGTGTCAGTTGTCCAGCCACTGGTCATTTGTGTCAGTTGTTCAGCCACTGGTCAGTTGTCCAGCCACTGGTCATTTGTGTTAGTTGTCCAGCCACTGGTCATTTGTGTTAGTTGTCCAGCCACTGGTCATATCTTTTGTGTCAGTTGTCCAGCCACTGGTCATTTGTGTCAGTTGTCCAGCCACTGGTCATTTGTGTCAGTTGTCCAGCCACTGGTCATATCATATTTTATCGGTGTATTGTTTAGTTTTTTACCCTACCTCGTCTGATGAAAACATTTGTATTCCAGACCAAGAAAAGCACCAATCTTCATCCTGGACCTAATCCTTGATGAAAAAGTCCACTTCAATGCTGACCCAGAAGGCTTTGCTGACATTATGGAGAATCTCTTCAACAATGCTGTCTTTGGCACCTGGAACATTCCAGTGCTGGAGAAAGTAGGTTTGGGTTGATCACTTTACTGGACAGTGGAAGTGGGGAGGTCACTACTGGACAGTGGGATTGGGGAGGTCACTACTGGACTGGGATTGGGGAGGTCACTACTGGACAGTGGAATGGGGAGGTCACTACTGGACAGTGGGATTGGGGAGGTCACTACTGGACAGTGGGATTGGGGAGGTCACTACTGGACTGGGATTGGGGAGGTCACTACTGGACAGTGGGATTGGGGAGGTCACTACTGGACAGTGGGATTGGGGAGGTCACTACTGGACAGTGGGATTGGGGAGGTCACTACTGGACAGTGGGATTGGGGAGGTCACTACTGGACAGTGGGATTGGGGAGGTCACTACTGGACAGTGGGATTGGGGAGGTCACTACTGGACAGTGGGATTGGGGAGGTCATTACTGGACAGTGGGATTGGGGAGGTCACTACTGGACAGTGGGATTGGGGAGGTCACTACTGGACAGTGGGATTGGGGAGGTCACTACTGGACAGTGGGATTGGGGAGGTCACTACTGGACAGTGGGATTGGGGAGGTCACTACTGGACAGGGGGACTCTTGTAGTCACTTTAATAAACAGGGGTATTTTATCGCTGATTTTTCATCAGCTGGTACCAAAGACTATATCTGCAGTTTAAACAAATTATTGTGAATGTGTTTACATGTCTAGATAGTCTCTAAATTAAAAAAAAAAATTTTTTTATAAAAGATATGTTTTTGGATGATTACTATGTACTACTCCATTGTTTCTTAAGTTCATCATGCAAGACATATCCTGGTCTGAGACGCCACTCCTGGAAGCTGTGGACAAGAATGAGACAGAGATCAGAGAGTTGAGGCACACCCTACGGGACGCCGTCACCTCCTCCATGATCCCACTGCTGGCCTACGCCAAAAAGTTTGAGCAGTTTCTACCCATTGTAAACTTGGACATCAAACAATTCATCACGTAAATCAATATTGAGACTATTTCTTTTATTATGGGTTGTACGCAACGACACCACTAAATGTCATTCAGAAATTCAGATAAATAACAGATTAAAGTGAAAAGTAGATTGCAAAAATATTTGTTGACATTTTAAGTAGTTAGTTGAAAAACAAAGATAGGTACCAATGTTTCAAACATTAGATTAGGTTTAGATATGTGTAATACAGTAGCTAACATAGCAATTTTCAACTATTGATTTCTGAATTTAAAAACTGTTGTAGTGCCATAGAAGAGGAAGACAAGACTACCAAGGAAATGGACAAAGAGGCCCAAAAACATCTGAGAGAAAGGGAGACAATCCTAAAGATTTTACCCTACAGCATTGCTATAGGCCCTTATTTAGTCAATGTTGAAGGGGTGAGAGATCAGTTGAGCACCAAAAGATTGGAGTTGGCCAGCTCAATTCTTTCACTTATTGCCAAAAAACTGAGAAAGATGGCTGATGAGGTATGTCCATGCAAATCTAAACAGTTTACAATTTTCTGCAGGTTTTCTTTGTAGATGATCAAACATGTTCATTTTAAGTTTGTCTGCTCTGAGTGTTTTCTAATTGATTTTTTTCATTTCCTTAATACACAGTAATGCAACAACAGTTTTTATTTATACTTTCCTTCCCTGCTTTAAAATCCAGCTAATAATAGAGTTCCGAGACATGCTTTCACGAATCACTGATGTTCCAGCCTGCATTGAGGAGCTTTTTAACCTGAGAGAATGGATAGGGGAGGTCCCCTTAAAGCTGGACAAGATTAGGGTAGGTGGCTCATCACATTTGGCTAGAGTAGGATTCAGTAAGGCTAGATGAGTGAGTTGTTGATAGAACTCAGATTTGATGTTAGCCTGAGAAAACACACTGACCACCCTGGTCCAAAATGAAAAGCAGGCTGCAATCAGAGCCATTTGCCTGAATGGCGCATAACAAGTTGACACGTAATACTTAATTATGTTGGGGCAATCTCTTCCAGCATTAAAAATGAAAAACAAAAAAAAAGAAAGAAAAGAATAATTTGAAAATGTTGTCTTCTCTGAACCAGGAAAACATGGCTGTTGTGTTATCTCAGTATGACATTCTGGATGACTACAACTACAGTCTAAGTGATGAGGACTTTCTCACCAAGTAAGTTAGAGGACTTTCTCACCAAGTTAGTTAGAGAACTTTCTCACCCAGTAAGTTAGAGGACTTTCTCACCAAGTTAGTTAGAGGACTTTCTCACCAAGTAAGTTAGAGGACTTTCTCACCTAGTAAGTTAGAGGACTTTCTCACCAAGTAAGTTAGAGGACTTTCTCACCCAGTAAGTTAGAGGACTTTCTCACCAAGTAAGTTAGAGGACTTTCTCACCTAGTAAGTTAGAGGACTTTCTCACCAAGTAAGTTAAAGGACTTTCTCACCCAGTAAGTTAGAGGACTTTCTCACCCAGTAAGTTGATATTGATTTTCTAAGACTAGTGTTATGGAACTTAATTTTGATGTTTAATTGAAACTAATTCTTGACTTGCCAGGATCCTAATGATCAGCTGGCCATTAAAAATTGAGCAAATGTGTGAGAAGAAACTGGAAGCTCTAGAGGAAGATGAGGACCGCTACTTCAGACAACTGGAGTCTGACACCATCACACTTAATGAACGCTTGGACACAAACCAGGTGAGTTTGTACCTCAGTGACACCATCACATTTAATGAATGCTTGGACACAAACCAGGTGAGTTTGTACCTCAGTGACACCATCACATTTAATGAATGCTTGGACACAAACCAGGTGAGTTTGTACCTCAGTGACACAATCACACTTAATGAACGCTTGCACACAAACCAGGTGAGTTTGTACCTCAGTGACACCATCACACTTAATGAACGCTTGGACACAAACCAGGTGAGTTTGTACCTCAGTGACACCATCACACTTAATGAACGCTTGGACACAAACCAGGTGAGTTTGTACCTCAGTGACACAATCACACTTAATGAACGCTTGCACACAAACCAGGTGAGTTTGTACCTCAGTGACACCATCACACTTAATGAACGCTTGCACACAAACCAGGTGAGTTTGTACCTCAGTGACACCATCACACTTAATGAACGCTTGGACACAAACCAGGTGAGTTTGTACCTCAGTGACACCATCACACTTAATGAACGCTTGGACACAAACCAGGTGAGTTTGTACCTCAGTGACACCATCACACTTAATGAACGCTTGGACACAAACCAGGTGAGTTTGTACCTCAGTGACACAATCACACTTAATGAATGCTTGGACACAAACCAGGTGAGTTTGTACCTCAGTGACACCATCACATTTAATGAATGCTTGGACACAAACCAGGTGAGTTTGTACCTCAGTGACACCATCACACTTAATGAACGCTTGGACACAAACCAGGTGAGTTTGTACCTCAGTGACACCATCACACTTAATGAACGCTTGGACACAAACCAGGTGAGTTTGTACCTCAGTGACACCATCACACTTAATGAACGCTTGGACACAAATCAGGTGAGTTTGTACCTCTCTCTGTTCTACTCATTGCCTACAGTGATTGAGGAAGGTACTCAATATTTTTATAGGTCACCCTGTCTGTCTTTTATTTTGGTAGTCAAACTTGTTAACTCAATTTTGAACCATTTCTTTCAAAAAATTTATTTGTAGTTAGGTATTAAATTAGTCATCAAAAATTAATTTATACATTACTATGTTCTATAACAAAAGTTAGTTAATAACATTAATTAGTAGCCATACTCTTACTGATGTTTTTATAATTGCTAACCAATGCTGCCTCTATAAGGGGAAGAAAATGGTCATTTAAAGTTACTGATAACAAATTTAAATAAATAATTTTAGTCTTTAGAATAAATTGAATGGAGAAACTATTTTGTGTACTGATTATTTTCCAATTTTAAAAATCAATTTAGTCATTAACTCTACACTATCAAAGTTCAACAAATTAGAAAATAAAAACAAGTATAAAAAAACCTTTATTATGACATGCTTACAAATGGTTTAAAATAATAAGAAACAACTTATATTTTCTTTAGTCTTAACTGTAAAAATTGAAACATGGCTAGCAAAATGTGTAGAGATTTCCAGAGTAACCAGTGCTTTTAGCATCACTTATATCACTTATATAGTGGAAGAAAATTAGTTTTTATATTTTATTTTAATGCTGTTTAAAGCTTTGTTATTTTTATGTTTGTTTAACTTGCTTATTTGATTACTTGTTTTCTCCCAAAAAATTTTCCTAAAATAAAATAAATAATTTAAAAATGTCTCTGATTGTTGTAGATTGTTGTGGCGGCTATGGCTGAACACTCTGAGATGGACAAAGCTCATGAATATGCTAATGAGATGAGAAGAATGTACAAGAACCTGAGAGACTGCCAGGATCTGGCGCAGCTCTACAACAGCAGGGAGAAGCTCTTTAAGCTCAAGCCTACCAATGTAAGCTCCCACAAGTTCAGCTTTTATTTGACTAAGTTGGGGACCAGTTATGTGACTGATTTTATGTTGCTGATGTCATGAGACTGAAGCCATCTGACTCATGTCATGTGACTTGGACTGATGTCATGTGACTTGTAACCAAGAATCTCTGTGTTACAGTACAGCCGTATAGGAAAGATCATGAAGGAGTTTGAGCCGTTCAGGAAGCTGTGGATCACCACGTCAGAGTGGGTGCGCTGGCATGAAAGCTGGCTCACTGATCCCATGAGCTCCATCAATGCTGAAGAATTGGAGCGGACTGTCACGGAGTCTTGGAAAACTATGCAAAAGTCTGTTCGATATTTCAGCAACATCCCAGGTAAGTTGGTGTAGTTGTGGCTACCTCACTGGTAAGTTGGCGAAGTTGTGGCTACATCCCTGGTAAAATTGGTGTAGTTATGGCTACATCCCAGGTAAGTTGGTGTAGTTATGGCTACATCCCAGGTAAGTTGGTGTAGTTGTGGCTACATCCCAGGTAAGTTGGTGCAGTTGTGGCTACATCCCAGGTAAGTTGGTGTAGTTGTGGCTACATCCCTGGTAAAATTGGTGTAGTTATGGCTACATCCTAGATAAGTTGGCGAAGTTGTGGCTACATCCCTGGTAAAATTGGTGTAGTTATGGCTACATCCTAGATAAGTTGGCGAAGTTGTTGCTACATCCCTGGTAAAATTGGTGTAGTTATGGCTACATCCCAGGTAAGTTGGTGTAGTTATGGCTACATCCTAGATAAGTTGGCGAAGTTGTGGCTACATCCCTGGTAAAATTGGTGTAGTTATGGCTACATCCTAGATAAGTTGGCGAAGTTGTTGCTACATCCCTGGTAAAATTGGTGTAGTTATGGCTACATCCCAGGTAAGTTGGTGTAGTTGTGGCTACATCCCAGGTAAGTTGGTGCAGTTGTGGCTACATCCCAGGTAAGTTGGTGTAGTTATGGCTACATCCCAGGTAAGTTGGTGTAGTTGTGGCTACATCCCAGGTAAGTTGGTGCAGTTGTGGCTACATCCCAGGTAAGTTGGTGCAGTTGTGGCTACATCCCAGGTAAGTTGGTGTAGTTATGGCTACATCCCAGGTAAGTTGGTGTAGTTGTGGCTACATCCCAGGTAAGTTGGTGTAGTTGTGGCTACATCCCAGGTAAGTTGGTGCAGTTGTGGCTACATCCCAGGTAAGTTGGTGTAGTTGTGGCTACATCCCAGGTAAGTTGGTGCAGTTGTGGCTACATCCCAGGTAAGTTGGTGTAGTTGTGGCTAAATCCCAGGTACGGTTGTGCCTTATATTGAGACCTCTGATTTCTATTTTTATTTCTCTACAGCCGTACAGGAAGTTGCAAACAACATCAAAAGTAACATAGAAGATTTTAAGCCTTATGTCCCACTTATACAAGGCCTGACTAACCCGGGACTTCGCAAGAGGCACTGGGATATTGTAAGTTCATGGGATAAATACTTGGGATATTGTGGGTTCCTGGGATAAACTCATGGGATATTGTACGTTCATAGGATAAATTATTATGTTGTATTAATGTAAGTTCATTAAATTTATAGGATATTGTAGGTTCATGGGATATTGTAAATTCATGTGCTGTTGTAAGTTCATGGGATAATTATGTGGGGGTGACCAGAAAGATGTGCAAACAGAAAAAAGCGCACACAGAAAAAAACGCACACAGAAAAAATGCAAACGAAAACAACGCTTTTTTCCGTTTCCCATCTTTCTGAGAACCTTATGTAGGATATTGTATGTTCATGGAACAAATACATAGGATATTGAATTAGTCAGTAGTAAATGCCTTTGTTTATATTGTTATTAGGGGTTGAATTAATGATGTCTTGAGTCGCCCTCATTTTGCAGCTGTCTGAAGACATTGGGATGAAGCTGAAGCCAAGCCCCAACCTGACCTTCACTAAAGTGCTGGAGCTGAAACTGGATGAGCACATTGAGGTCATCACACGTGTTTCTGAGGTGGCAGCCAAGGAGTATGCTATTGAGCTGGTAGGGCTTCTGTCTTCTGTTAGGACAGGGTTGTCATTCAATTTTTGTTGGCCACAAACCTTAAGCCCCTAAAGATATGTTTTATGCTGGCTGTCATCCTTTAGTCTGTAGAGATCTGTTTTATGCTGGCTGTCATCTTTTAAAGATCTGTTTATGCTGGCTGTCATCTTTTAAAGATCTGTTTATGCTGGCTGTCATCCTTTAGTCTGTAGAGATCTGTTTTATGCTGGCTGTCATCTTTTAAAGATCTGTTTATGCTGGCTGTCATCTTTTAAAGATCTGTTTATGCTGGCTGTCATCTTTTAAAGATCTGTTTATGCTGGCTGTCATCTTTTAAAGATCTGTTTATGCTGGCTGCAATCTTTTAAAGATCTGTTTATGCTGGCTGCAATCTTTTAAAGATCTGTTTATTCTGGCTGTCATCTTTTAAAGATCTGTTTATGCTGGCTGTCATCTTTTAAAGATCTGTTTATGCTGGCTGTCATCTTTTAAAGATCTGTTTATTCTGGCTGTCATCTTTTAAAGATCTGTTTATGCTGGCTGTCATCTTTTAAAGATCTGTTTATGCTGGCTGCAATCTTTTAAAGATCTGTTTATGCTGGCTGTCATCTTTTAAAGATCTGTTTTATGCTGGCTGTCATCTTTTAAAGATCTGTTTATGCTGGCTGTCATCTTTTAAAGATCTGTTTATGCTGGCTGTCATCTTTTAAACATCTGTTTATGCTGGCTGTCATCTTTTAAACATCTGTTTATGCTGGCTGTCATCTTTTAAAGATCTGTTTATGCTGGCTGTCATCCTTTAAACATCTGTTTATGCTGGCTGTCATCCTCTAGTCCCTGAACAAGATGGAAGCTGACTGGGAGAACATAGAGTTTGATGTCCAGCCCTACAAGAACACTGGCACTTTCATGCTCAAAACATCAGATGAGATCTCTCAAATGTTGGATGACCACATCGTCCTGACCCAGTCGATGGCTTTCTCACCCTTCAAGAAAGAATTTGAGGAGCGCATCGGTATATGGGAGCAAAAGCTTAAGCTAACCCAGGTGACCTTCACCTTTTAAGTTCATTTTCATTAATTTATAAACATTTTATAACAAATAAAAAAAATGTGTAAAGTCTTGAGTTAAATAAAAAAAAGATAAACCACCATTGTAAACCACCATTTGCAGGACGTACTTGATGCCTGGCTGAATGTCCAGAGGTCATGGCTGTACCTAGAGCCTATCTTCTCCTCTGATGACATCACCAAACAGCTGCCCACAGAGAGCAAGAGGTACAACACCATGGAGCGCGTGTGGAGGAAGGTCATGAGGATGGCCAAAGCTGAGCCACATGTAAGTCATGGCCAAATTTGAGCCGCATATAAGTCATGGCCAAAGTTGAGCCGCTTATAAGTCATGGCCAAAGTTTAGCTATATGTAAGTCATTGCCACATGTAAGTCATGGGCAAACCTCATCCACGTGAGATCACTAAACACTGTTGTAATTTGCTTTTGGAGTATTAGAGTTGAGCATCATGTCATCATCATGTTTGCCTGTCGTCCCTACTGGGACATAGGCCGCTGACAAGAGCTTTCCAGACGTCTCTGTCCAGGGCTAGTCTCTCCAACTGTCCCCAGGTGTATCCAATCTTCTTGGTGTCTTCTTCCAGGTCACGTCTCCAGGTCTTTCTTGGTCTGCCTCTCTTCCTCCTGCCTTGTGGATTCCAGGTGAGGGCCTGTCTTGTTATGCTGGATACAGGCTTCCTGAGTGTGTGGCCAATCCATTTCCATTTTCTCAGAGTTGAGCACAATTGTCTTATTTTTATTGCCAGTTTGTTTGTTACCAGGTCTGACACTGCTGACTGCCCCATGTGGTTTGTGTGTCACCAGGTCTGATACTGCTGACTGCCCCATGTGGTTTGTGTGTCACCAGGTCTGATACTGCTGACTGCCCCATTTGGTTTGTGTGTCACCATGTCTGATACTGCTGACTGCCCCATGTGGTTTGTGTGTCACCAGGTTTGATACTGCTGACTGCCCCATGTGGTTTGTGTGTCACCAGGTCTGACACTGCTGACTGCCCCATGTGGTTTGTGTGTCACCAGGTCTGATACTGCTGACTGCCCCATTTGGTTTGTGTGTCACCAGGTCTGACTGCCCCATGTGGTTTGTGTGTCACCAGGTCTGATACTGCTGACTGCCCCATTTGGTTTGTGTGTCACCAGGTCTGATACTGCTGACTGCCCCATGTGGTTTGTGTGTCACCAGGTCTGACACTGCTGACTGCCCCATGTGGTTTGTGTGTCACCAGGTCTGATACTGCTGACTGCCCCATGTGGTTTGTGTGTCACCAGGTCTGATACTGCTGACTGCCCCATTTGGTTTGTGTGTCACCATGTCTGATACTGCTGACTGCCCCATGTGGTTTGTGTGTCACCAGGTCTGATACTGCTGACTGCCCCATGTGGTTTGTGTGTCACCAGGTCTGACTGCCCCATGTGGTTTGTGTGTCACCAGGTCTGATACTGCTGACTGCCCCATGTGGTTTGTGTGTCACCAGGTCTGATACTGCTGACTGCCCCATGTGGTTTGTGTGTCACCATGTCTGATACTGCTGACTGCCCCATTTGGTTTGTGTGTCACCAGGTCTGATACTGCTGACTGCCCCATGTGGTTTGTGTGTCACCAGGTCTGACACTGCTGACTGCCCCATGTGGTTTGTGTGTCACCAGGTCTGATACTGCTGACTGCCCCATGTGGTTTGTGTGTCACCAGGTCTGATACTGCTGACTGCCCCATTTGGTTTGTGTGTCACCATGTCTGATACTGCTGACTGCCCCATGTGGTTTGTGTGTCACCAGGTCTGATACTGCTGACTGCCCCATGTGGTTTGTGTGTCACCAGGTCTGACTGCCCCATGTGGTTTGTGTGTCACCAGGTCTGATACTGCTGACTGCCCCATGTGGTTTGTGTGTCACCAGGTCTGATACTGCTGACTGCCCCATGTGGTTTGTGTGTCACCATGTCTGATACTGCTGACTGCCCCATGTGGTTTGTGTGTCACCAGGTCTGACTGCCCCATGTGGTTTGTGTGTCACCAGGTCTGATACTGCTGACTGCCCCATGTGGTTTGTGTGTCACCAGGTCTGATACTGCTGACTGCCCCATGTGGTTTGTGTGTCACCATGTCTGATACTGCTGACTGCCCCATTTGGTTTGTGTGTCACCAGGTCTGATACTGCTGACTGCCCCATGTGGTTTGTGTGTCACCAGGTCTGACACTGCTGACTGCCCCATGTGGTTTGTGTGTCACCAGGTCTGATACTGCTGACTGCCCCATGTGGTTTGTGTGTCACCAGGTCTGATACTGCTGACTGCCCCATTTGGTTTGTGTGTCACCATGTCTGATACTGCTGACTGCCCCATGTGGTTTGTGTGTCACCAGGTCTGATACTGCTGACTGCCCCATGTGGTTTGTGTGTCACCAGGTCTGACTGCCCCATGTGGTTTGTGTGTCACCAGGTCTGATACTGCTGACTGCCCCATGTGGTTTGTGTGTCACCAGGTCTGATACTGCTGACTGCCCCATGTGGTTTGTGTGTCACCATGTCTGATACTGCTGACTGCCCCATTTGGTTTGTGTGTCATCATGTCTGATACTGCTGACTGCCCCATTTAGTTTGTGTGTCATCATGTCTGATACTGCTGACTGCCCTATTTGTTTTGTGTGTTACCATGTCTGATACTGCTGACTGCCCCATGTGGTTTGTGTGTCATCATGTCTGATACTGCTGACTGCCCTATTTGTTTTGTGTGTTACCATGTCTGATACTGCTGACTGCCCCATGTGGTTTGTGTGTCACCAGGTCTGATACTGCTGACTGCCCCATTTGGTTTGTGTGTCACCATGTCTGATACTGCTGACTGCCCCATGTGGTTTGTGTGTCACCAGGTCTAATACTGGTGACTGCCCCATGTGGTTTGTGTGTCACCAGGTGTGATACTGCTGACTGCCCCATGCGGTTTGTGTGTCACCATGTCTGATACTGCTGACTGCCCCATGTGGTTTGTGTGTCACCATGTCTGATACTGCTGACTGCCCCATGTGGTTTGTGTGTCACCAGGTCTGATACTGCTGACTGCCCCATGTGGTTTGTGTGTCACCAGGTCTGATACTGCTGACTGCCCCATGTGGTTTGTGTGTCACACCAGGTCTGATACTGCTGACTGCCCCATTTGGTTTGTGTGTCACCAGGTCTGATACTGCTGACTGCCCCATTTGGTTTGTGTGTCACCAGGTCTGATACTGCTGACTGCCCCATGTGGTTTGTGTGTCACCATGTCTGATACTGCTGACTGCCCCATGTGGTTTGTGTGTCACCATGTCTGATACTGCTGACTGCCCCATGTGGTTTGTGTGTCACCAGGTTTGATACTGCTGACTGCCCCATGTGGTTTGTGTGTCACCAGGTCTGATACTGCTGACTGCCCCATGTGGTTTGTGTGTCACCAGGTCTGACTGCCCCATGTGGTTTGTGTGTCACCATGTCTGATACTGCTGACTGCCCCATTTAGTTTGTGTGTCATCATGTCTGATACTGCTGACTGCCCTATTTGTTTTGTGTGTTACCATGTCTGATACTGCTGACTGCCCCATTTGGTTTGTGTGTCACCAGGTCTGATACTGCTGACTGCCCCATTTGGTTTGTGTGTCACCAGGTCTGATACTGCTGACTGCCCCATGTGGTTTGTGTGTCACCAGGTCTGATACTGCTGACTGCCCCATTTGGTTTGTGTGTCACCAGGTCTGATACTGCTGACTGCCCCATTTGGTTTGTGTGTCACCAGGTCTGATACTGCTGACTGCCCCATGTGGTTTGTGTGTCATCATGTCTGATACTGCTGACTGCCCTATTTGTTTTGTGTGTTACCATGTCTGATACTGCTGACTGCCCCATGTGGTTTGTGTGTCACCAGGTCTGATACTGCTGACTGCCCCATTTGGTTTGTGTGTCACCATGTCTGATACTGCTGACTGCCCCATGTGGTTTGTGTGTCACCAGGTCTAATACTGCTGACTGCCCCATTTGGTTTGTGTGTCACCATGTCTAATACTGCTGACTGCCCTATTTGGTTTGTGTGTCACCAGGTCTGACTGCCCCATGTGGTTTGTGTGTCACCAGGTCTGATACTGCTGACTGCCCCATTTGGTTTGTGTGTCACCAGGTCTGATACTGCTGACTGCCCCATGTGGTTTGTGTGTCACCAGGTCTGACACTGCTGACTGCCCCATGTGGTTTGTGTGTCACCAGGTCTGATACTGCTGACTGCCCCATGTGGTTTGTGTGTCACCAGGTCTGATACTGCTGACTGCCCCATTTGGTTTGTGTGTCACCAGGTCTGATACTGCTGACTGCCCCATGTGGTTTGTGTGTCACCAGGTCTGACTGCCCCATGTGGTTTGTGTGTCACCAGGTCTGATATTGCTGACTGCCCCATTTGGTTTGTGTGTCATCATGTCTGATACTGCTGACTGCCCCATGTGGTTTGTGTGTCACCAGGTCTGATACTGCTGACTGCCCCATGTGGTTTGTGTGTCACCAGGTCTGATACTGCTGACTGCCCCATGTGGTTTGTGTGTCACCAGGTCTGATACTGCTGACTGCCCCATGTGGTTTGTGTGTCACCAGGTCTGATACTGCTGACTGCCCCATGTGGTTTGTGTGTCACCAGGTCTGATACTGCTGACTGCCCCATGTGGTTTGTGTGTCACCAGGTCTGATACTGCTGACTGCCCCATGTGGTTTGTGTGTCATCATGTCTGATACTGCTGACTGCCCCATTTAGTTTGTGTGTCATCATGTCTGATACTGCTGACTGCCCTATTTGTTTTGTGTGTTACCATGTCTGATACTGCTGACTGCCCCATGTGGTTTGTGTGTCATCATGTCTGATACTGCTGACTGCCCTATTTGTTTTGTGTGTCACCATGTCTGATACTGCTGACTGCCCCATGTGGTTTGTGTGTCACCAGGTCTGATACTGCTGACTGCCCCATTTGGTTTGTGTGTCACCATGTCTGATACTGCTGACTGCCCCATGTGGTTTGTGTGTCACCAGGTCTAATACTGGTGACTGCCCCATGTGGTTTGTGTGTCACCAGGTGTGATACTGCTGACTGCCCCATGCGGTTTGTGTGTCACCATGTCTGATACTGCTGACTGCCCCATGTGGTTTGTGTGTCACCATGTCTGATACTGCTGACTGCCCCATGTGGTTTGTGTGTCACCAGGTCTGATACTGCTGACTGCCCCATGTGGTTTGTGTGTCACCAGGTCTGATACTGCTGACTGCCCCATGTGGTTTGTGTGTCACACCAGGTCTGATACTGCTGACTGCCCCATTTGGTTTGTGTGTCACCAGGTCTGATACTGCTGACTGCCCCATGTGGTTTGTGTGTCACCAGGTCTGATACTGCTGACTGCCCCATGTGGTTTGTGTGTCACCATGTCTGATACTGCTGACTGCCCCATGTGGTTTGTGTGTCACCAGGTGATCCAGATCTGCCCTGATGAGAACATGTTGACTGACCTGAAGAAGTGCAGTGAACTGCTGGACCATGTGTCCAAGGGTCTGAGCGACTACCTGGAGACCAAGAGAGGCAGATTCCCACGCTTCTTTTTCTTGTCAGACGACGAGCTGCTAGAGATCCTCTCACAGTCCAAGGACCCCAGGGCTGTACAGCCACACCTGCGAAAGTGCTTTGAGAATATTGCCAGTGTAAGCAGTCAAAAACATTTGACACCCTGATTTATTTAAGGTCTCACCACTGTTATTTAGATGTCAATAAAACACTTTTAAATTTCCCTTCCAGCTGAAGTTTGAGGACAACCTGAGAATTTCCAAGATGTATTCTGGTGAAGGAGAATGTGTTGATTTCTGTGAGGAGCTTTTCCCCATCGGCAACATTGAGGACTGGATGCAGGAAATAGAAAGAGTCATGCGAGACACTGTGCGGGCTGTCATCATGGCGGCCCTGCCTGATTATCTAGAGGTTAGGTTGTGTCATTTGGTTGTGTTGTGGAACTGAGTGTTAATTAAGGGATGAGGGTAAAGCTAGAGCACCTATTGATGTGAAGTGTGCTGATTGGTTACAATGTAAATCCCAAGATTGCCAGGACAGACTTTGTGTTGAAGTGGCCGGGGCAAGTGGTGATAGCTGTGTGTCAGACCTACTGGAGCTCTGAAGTGACCAAAGCACTAGAAGCCAAGAATTTGGCCAAGTATTTTGCCCGCTTGCTGGAGCAGTTGGACGCCCTGAGAGAGCTGGTCAGGAAGGACATTTCAAAGTATGGCTCACTTTAGCTGCTAGTTAACTAAGTGCTCACTATTGCATTATAGGCAAATCTACAATAGATAAACATTGGACTTAGAACGCCATGCAATTTTTCTGAATTAAAATTTGAAGATTTAGGCCCATTTTGAAAAACTTTATCCTAACAATATGGAAAGGAAATCTAAAACTTGTATTCTTGTGTTCAAATCATGCCAGTATTGGACGAATGACTCTGTCAGCCCTCATTGTGATAGAAGTCCATTCAAGGGATGTTGTTGATAAAATGGTGCAGGAAAATGTGAGTGACCCCAACGCATTTGAGTGGATCAGTCAGCTGAGGTAAATTCTGCTTCTGAGCTTGTCTGAGCTTTTTTCTTGTCATGTTTACCAATACAACCAAAAAAATATTTCTTAGGTAGACTACTCTTTGCTTACCAAATTCTCAGTTTACTAGACATAATTAGAAAAATGCATCACATACTGTAAATTTTGTCACCCCAGGTATATAGAAAAAAATGTGTTACATACTGTAAATTTTGTCACCCCAGGTATATAGAAAAAAATGTGTTACATACTGTAAATTTTGTCCCCCCAGGTATATAGAAAAAAATGTTACATACTGTAAATTTTGTCACCCCAAGTATATAGAAAAAAATGTGTTACATACTGTACATTTTGTCACTCCAGGTATATAGAAAAAAAATATAAAAATATGTAACATACTGACATACTTTTGTCACCCCAGGTACTACTGGCTAGAGGATGAGAACCTCTACCAAAGAGCTGTCAATGCACAATTCCCCTACGGTTATGAATACCTGGGCAACACACCTCGGCTGGTGATAACACCCCTCACTGACAGGTACAGTTTTCACCTGTATAACACCCCTCACTGACAGGTACAGTTTTCACCTGTATAACACCCCTCACTGACAGGTACAGTTTTCACCTGCATAACACCCCTCACTGACAGGTACAGTTTTCACCTACATAACACCCCTCACTGACAGGTACAGTTTTCACCTGCATAACACCCCTCACTGACAGGTACAGTTTTCACCTGCATAACACCCCTCACTGACAGGTACAGTTTTCACCTGCATAACACCCCTCACTGACAGGTACAGTTTTCACCTGCATAACACCCCTCACTGACAGGTACAGTTTTCACCTGCATAACACCCCTCACTGACAGGTACAGTTTTCACCTGCATAACACCCCTCACTGACAGGTACAGTTTTCACCTGCATAACACCCCTCACTGACAGGTACAGTTTTCACCTGCATAACACCCCTCACTGACAGGTACAGTTTTCACCTGCATAACACCCCTCACTGACAGGTACAGTTTTCACCTGCATAACACCCCTCACTGACAGGTACAGTTTTCACCTGCATAACACCCCTCACTGACAGGTACAGTTTTCACCTGCATAACACCCCTCACCGACAGGTACAGTTTTCACCTACATAACACCCCTGACACCTGCAGCCTACCACTGTGACCAGTTACGGCAGTTTGATTGTTGAGGAGAAGAATATAAAAAACTGTTTCAGTGTTTTAATTGTTTCAGATGTTACTTGACCTTGACCGGTGCCCTTCACCTTCTATTTGGTGGAGCTCCCGCTGGGCCTGCAGGAACTGGAAAAACAGAAACCACCAAGGTAGGCAACTCTCTACATTTTTTATTGAAACCACCAAGGTAGGCAACTCTCTACATTTTTTATTGAAACCACTAAGGTAGGCAACTCTCTACATTTTTTATTGAAACCACCAAGGTAGGCAACTCTCTACATTTTTATTGAAACCACCAAGGTAGGCAACTCTCTACATTTTTTATTGAAACCACCAAGGTAGGCAACTCTCTACATTTTTTATTGAAACCACCAAGGTAGGCAACTCTCTACATTTTTTATTGAAACCACCAAGGTAGGCAACTCTCTACATTTTTTATTGAAACCACCAAGGTAGGCAACTCTCTACATTTTTTATTGAAACCACCAAGGTAGGCAACTCTCTACATTTTTTATTGAAACCACCAAGGTAGGCAACTCTCTACATTTTTTATTGAAACCACCAAGGTAGGCAACTCTCTACATTTTTATTGAAACCACCAAGGTAGGCAACTCTCTACATTTTTTATTGAAACCACCAAGGTAGGCAACTCTACATTTAAAAAAAAAATTGAAACCACCAAGGTAGGCAACTCTACATTTTAGTTGAAACAACTAAGGTAGGCAACTCTCTACATTATCTTTATATATAACATGTATACTATATGTACAGCTTTGTCTTCACTCTCTCAAACTGTTTTATCACATTGGTTTCTCCTTGAAATGAAACTATTTCTCTACAGGATCTTGGCAAAGCCTTTGCCATTCAGTGTGTGGTGTTCAATTGTTCCGATCAACTAGACTTCATGGCCATGGGGAAATTTTTCAAAGGATTGGCCAGGTACATACAAACTTATTCAAGCCAAACATTTTCTCCACTGTTGTTGTATAATGTTCTTTAGTATGACATTAAATTATATTTTTTAATGTTTAAAATGCTGCTTTGTCTAAAGCTCTGGAGCGTGGGCATGTTTTGATGAATTTAACAGAATTGATATTGAAGTGCTTTCTGTGGTGGCCCAGCAGATTGCTACAATACAGAATGCTCAAAAAATGAAGGTAAGGTTTTTCTTTTATATACTTGCCAAAACAAATTATGCCTTTTTTGTGTTATTGTATGCTGGGTTATTGCTAGTTGTGTGCTACAGAACATGAAGAATTTCACTGTAAAATGTCTTAGCTATGTTGTTCTATATCTTGGCTCATCAAACTGTTCAGCTGATGTAACAATTGGCTCTGACTTTACACATATGTAATTATATTTTTTACAAATGACTTGAAAATGAGAATACTAGCTGGCAAACTGTTCCATGGGTTATGTAGTACCTGGCCATTTATGCATGTACTCTGACTTGTATTGGTACAAGTTTTATGAAGTTGGTCACTCATGTATGTATTAAATTTCAGATGGAAACATTTTTATTTGAAGGGGTAGAAATAGCTCTAAAAATGTCCTGTGCTGTTTTCATCACCATGAACCCAGGCTATGCAGGCCGAACTGAACTGCCAGATAATTTAAAGGTAATTCAGCATGAGATACAATTGTAAAAAATGATATGATCATTCAGTAACCTGTAAAATATATATTTTTAAAGTAAAATTTAACGTGATATTTCTCAATGTTTAAAAAATGTAGGCATTGTTCCGACCAGTTGCTATGATGGTGCCTGACTATGGACTCATCTCAGAAATAAGTCTGTTTTCATTTGGATTCTCAAATGCCAGAAGTCTGGCACAAAAAATTGTTTCCACATTTAAACTTTCATCTGAACAACTTAGCAGCCAGGTTGGTGCACATTGTTGGTGTAACATTCATGAAGATTTTATTTCCATTTCTAAACTGTAGCCTACAGTTTAGAAATGGAAATAAAATCTTTTTCAAGTCTTTAACCAAATCTTTGAGCTGAAACAATGACTGTAATTAGTTAAAATATACAGCTTGTAATCATGTAACCATCCTGCCAGGACCACTATGACTTTGGTATGAGAGCTGTGAAAAGTAATTAGTTAAAATATACAGCTTGTAATCATGTAACCATCCTGCCAGGACCACTATGACTTTGGTATGAGAGCTGTGAAAAGTAATTAGTTAAAATATACAGCTTGTAATCATGTAACCATCCTGCCAGGACCACTATGACTTTGGTATGAGAGCTGTGAAAAGTAATTAGTTAAAATATACAGCTTGTAATCATGTAACCATCCTGCCAGGACCACTATGACTTTGGTATGAGAGCTGTGAAAAGTGTGATCAGTGCTGCAGGAAACCTGAAGAGGACATACCCGGACATGGATGAGGTCAGTCTTTTCTACATGGATGGGATGGGGCTGTTGGTTCTACTTGGGTGGGGTGGGGCTGTAGGTTCTACATGGATGGGGTGGGGCTGTTGGTTCTACTTGGGTGGGGTAGGGGCTGTTGGTTCTACTTTGGTGGGGTGGGGCTGTAGGTTCTACATGGATGGGGTGGGGCTGTTGGTTCTACTTGGGTGGGGTGGGGCTGTAGGTTCTACTTTGGTGTGGTGGGGCTGTTGGTTCTACTTGGGTGGGGTGGGGCTGTAGGTTCTACTTTGGTGTGGTGGGGCTGTTGGTTCTACTTGGGTGGGGTGGGGCTGTAGGTTCTACTTTGGTGTGGTGGGGCTGTTGGTTCTACTTGGGTGGGGTGGGGGCTGTTGGTTCTACTTGGGTGGGGTGGGGCTGTAGGTTCTACTTTGGTGTGGTGGGGCTGTTGGTTCTACTTGGGTGGGGTGGGGCTGTAGGTTCTACTTTGGTGTGGTGGGGCTGTTGGTTCTACTTGGGTGGGGTGGGGCTGTAGGTTCTACTTGGGTGTGGTGGGGCTGTTGGTTCTACTTGGGTGGGGTGGGGCTGTAGGTTCTACTTTGGTGGGGTGGGGCTGTAGGTTCTACTTTGGTGTGGTGGGGCTGTTGGTTCTACTTTGGTGGGGTGGGGCTGTAGGTTCTACATGGATGGGGTGGGGCTGTTGGTTCTACTTGGGTGGGGTGGGGCTGTAGGTTCTACTTTGGTGTGGTGGGGCTGTTGGTTCTACTTGGGTGGGGTGGGGCTGTAGGTTCTACTTTGGTGTGGTGGGGCTGTTGGTTCTACTTTGGTGGGGTGGGGCTGTAGGTTCTACATGGATGGGGTGGGGCTGTAGGTTCTACATGGATGGGGTGGGGCTGTAGGTTCTCCCTGAATGGGGTGAAACTGTATAGAGTATTTTGCCAATCATGTAAAATTAAAAAAAAAAAATGTCTGTGTTAATTTCAGCTTTAACTTTTTAAGAAACAGTTTAAAACAGAAAGAAAATTAAAAAGTATGATGTTAAAGTAGAAAATATATGCACCAAGTTGTGTTCTCTCTACAGCAAGTGATTTGCTTGCGAGCCATACAAGATGTCAATGTGCCGAAATTCTTGGCTGATGATTTGAAACTTTTCAATGGTATCGTTTCTGATCTTTTCCCTAGTGTCAAGTAAGTCATTGTCATATGTGTGGTCTAAAATATCATTGGTATAGCTCTTCTAGATGTTATTTGTGTGTTCTAAATGACATGGTCTTTTATCAAGTCTTCTTTCTGTAGAAGGTAATAAGTTGATGTGTTAAAATAATGTGCATGTTATTTTAACATCTGCTCCAGTCACATTTTACTAGACAAGCAGCTGAACCAAAAAATCTTTATCAAGACAATTTCATCTGTAACATTTACCTGTGTGGTCATGAAAAGTTCTTTTATTAACTAACTTAAAAAAAAAATTTCTCTCATAGAATGGAGCCTATTGACTATGGTATATTAGACATGGCTTTGAGATCCAACTGTTTGAAGAATGGTTTGAAAGATGTGGATGGTGAGTGGAGATTATAGGCAACACATTGGCTGTTTCTAGATCATTCTTTTATCTTATTATGGCAGTCTCTACAGATATCTTTGTTGCAAATTCGTTATTGGATTGTCCTAAGCTGCTGTTTGGCTGTCACTAAGCTGTTTGTTTGGCTGTCACTGTTCTGCTGTTTGGCTGTCACTAAGCTGTTGTTTGTTTGGCTGTCACTAAGCTGTTTGTTTGGCTGTCACTGTTCTGCTGTTTGTTTGGCTGTCACTGTTTAGCTGTCACTGTTCTGCTGTTGTCCCCAGAGTTTATCCACAAGTGCATCCAACTATATGAGACGACAGTTGTACGTCACGGCCTGATGTTGGTGGGGCCAGCTGGTGGTGGCAAGACAGAGGTAAACCCATAAATTGTAACTTTGTAGTCCTACACATAATTGTCCTGTAACTTTGTAGTCCTACACATAATTGTCCCGTAACTTTGTAGTCCTACACTTAATTGTCCTGTAACTTTGTAGTCCTACACATGAATTGTCCCGTAATTTTGTAGTCCTACACTTAATTGTCCCTTAACTTTGTAGTCCTACACTTAATTGTCCTGTAACTTTGTAGTCCTACACATGAATTGTCCCGTAACTTTGTAGTCCTATACATAAATTGTCCTCTCAATTTTCTAGTCCTAACAAAAAATGTCCTGTAACTTTCTAGTGTTACAAGAACCTGCAAGCAGCCCAGACAGAACTGAAGGGACAGCCAAACCCGTCCCTGTCTTTCTTCTGTGCCACTCATACATACGCACTCAATCCAAAGTCCATCACTATGGGTCAGCTGTATGGCGAGTTTGACCTGTATACTCATGAATGGTCAGTGAACTTTATACACACTGTAATGGTCAGTTAGTTTTATAACATGTTGTCAGCTTCTATTCTCTTTATATATTCTCTGTATATGCTGAACATGAGTCAGAAATCTGGTTCCTGAGATATGTAGCATGTTTTGTAATTGTCTCATATGGCTTGTGATGTTTGCCAATATGGAAATGTCAGGATAAATTTTAATAATTGGTCACAAATTACAAAATCTCAACCCCACTCCACCCTCCATTAATGTGCGACCCTGTATAAGAAAACCAAAAATTTCTGCCACTTAACCCACAATGTAATCTGCTGTAGGACTGATGGCATCCTGTCCACTTTGATTAGAGTGGGTACAGCTGCCACCAACAATGACAAGAGGTGGTATGTTTTTGACGGGCCAGTGGACGCTGTGTGGATTGAAAACATGAACACTGTGCTGGATGACAACAAGAAACTCTGCCTCAGCAGTGGGGAGATCATCAAACTAACAGATGTAATATGGACAGGTTTTTAGATCAAACTAACAGATGTAATGTGGACAGGTTTTTTAGAACAAACTAACAGATGTAACGTGGCCAGGTTTTTAGATCAAACTAACAGATGTAATGTGGCCAGGTTTTTAGATCAAACTAACAGATGTAATGTGGACAGGTTTTTTAGAACAAACTAACAGATGTAACGTGGCCAGGTTTTTTAGAACAAACTAACAGATGTAACGTGGCCAGGTTTTTAGATCAAACTAACAGATGTAATGTGGCCAGGTTTTTAGATCAAACTAACAGATGTAATGTGGACAGGTCTTTAGATCAAACTAACAGATGAAATGTGGCCAGGTTTTTAGATCAAACTAACAGATGAAATGTGGCCAGGTTTTTAGATCAAACTAACAGATGTAATGTGGACAGGTTTTTAGATCAAACTAACAGATGTAATGTGGCCAGGTTTTTAGATCAAACTAACAGATGAAATGTGGACAGGTCTTATTGTTGTTTAGATCATATTAAAATGTGTCCAGATTTTTGTAGTTCTCTTATCATACTACTTGAGAACACACTCTTTTTTAAAAAGCTGATTAAGTGATGTTATTTTAAAAAATGAATCTTTTTATTTAATGGTCTACATTAAATAACCATAGTCAGACATATATATTTAGCTGAAGACTGACTGAATGTAATGACATGATTCCAGCACATGACCATGATATTTGCCAGACATATATATTTAGCTGATGAGTGTAACGACATGATTCCAGCACATGACCATGATATTTGCCAGACATATATATATATATATAGCTGAAGACTGTAACGACATGATTCCAGCACATGACCATGATATTTGCCAGACATATATATATTTAGCTGAAGACTGTAACGACATGATTCCAGCACATGACCATGATGTTTGCCAGACATAAATATATTTAGCTCAAGACTGTAACGACATGATTCCAGCACATGACCATGATGTTTGAAGTGGCTGACCTGGCAGTGGCCTCCCCTGCCACAGTCAGTCGCTGTGGTATGGTGTACATGGGCACCACAGTGCTGGGGACCTGGCCCTTTGTGGAATGCTGGCTCAAGACCATCCCACAGATACTCAAGGCCAACATAGAACTCCTGGAGAAACTTTTCTCTGAATTCCTGCTGGTAAGTTCTGTCACAAGCTGATAAACCTTTGTTGTCAAGCCACCCCCCTGATTGGATTATCCCCCTCCACCCCCAGCCAGCCAAGTACTAATTGTACCTCTGATTGTCTACAGCCTGGCTTGCAGTTTGTCAAGTCTAACCTGACAGAGATTGTTCCTACAATGGAGAGTGGCCTTGTCTTTAGCCTCTTTAGGATAATGGATTGTTTCATGGCCCCTTTAAAACTTAAGGTAAAGATTGTTTCATGGCCCCTTTAAAACTTAAGGTAAAGATTGTTTCATGGCCCCTTTAAAACTTAAGGTAAAGATTGTTTCATGGCCCCTTTAAAACTTAAGGTAAAGATTGTTTCATGGCCCCTTTAAAACTTAAGGTAAAGATTGTTTCATGGCCCTTTTAAAGCTTAAGGTAAAGATTGTTCCATGGCCCCTTTAAAACTTAAGGTAAAGATTGTTTCATGGCCCCTTTAAAACTTAAGGTAAAGATTGTTTCATGGCCCCTTTAAAACTTAAGGTAAAGATTGTTTCATGGCCCCTTTAAAACTTAAGGTAAAGTTTATTTCATGTCCCATTTCAAGCTTTAAGGAAAAGATTGTTTCATGACCCCTTTAAAACTTAATGTAAAGTTTATTTCATGTCCCATTTCAAGCTTTAAGGAAAAGATTGTTTCATGACCCCTTTAAAACTTAATGTAAAGATTATTTCATGGCCTCTTTAGAGCTTAAGGTAAAGATTGTTCCATGTTCCCTATTAAGGCTACATGTATAGCTTGCCACTTATCAGTTATGCCACTGGTTGCCTACCCATTGTCTCTGGTTTTGTATTCATGTTTTTTTTTCTAACAGTGAATAAAACAAGTTAATTAAAAAAGTCTAGTGACATTTATGCGCAATTTCCTTATGTTATCTAAAAATAGCTCTGACGTATAATGCTGGGGTGCGTTCAAGCTAGAAGAACGATCGGTTTGTAGGTGTTTATGTAATTTTAAAATTTGTGACCGAACGAGAGGATATTTTTGAAAACTTTTTTCGGCAATATTGTTCTAAATTATGGCAGGAATCGATTGGTACATGTTTCAAGTCGCTAAGTTGTCTGGTTGCCGAGATATGGGCAAAAAACTGAATTTTTTCGAGGTTTTTTTGGCTTTTCCGGGAAATACATGAAAGAAACCCAGAATTTTTATGGCCTATGCTCATTCTCGTAACTTGCTTAACATAATTGCTTTTGGAACTAGTCATCGATATTGCTTCGTTGAGGAGGAGATACGACTTAAAGCCCGGACACACATTCATCCATACATTCATTCATTCATCCATCCATTCCCAGAAATGACGAGTTAATAAACGCAATTCTCCAGAATGGAAATTGCGCTAAAAAATGTATATACAAAATGTTACCTACGCTGTATGATTTTAATTATTGCATTTTTTCCATTTGATTGACTCAGCCCAGCCAGAAAATAGTAAGTAATCTTACAATCTTTTCATTTTTTCTTCATTTTATCATGCTTCTAATTCTGTTGGTTTAAAATCATAAAAAATGTTTTCATCCATATAGCTTTAAATATACTCATATAGACTACATTTGTATGTAGTTTATAAAAAAAACTAGTCGCTAGTACCATATCTAGTTTAGTAGTGTGTTATTTAATGATAAGTTTTTGACATGAGCCCAAGCATTATTGTGTGTGTAGAGTGATGTCATCTCTGAAGATGACATACCCAGGCTAGCTGAACTGGTGGAGCCGTGGTTCATGTTTGCACTGATCTGGTCCCTGGGTGGATCCTGTGACAATGACGGGCGCATCAAGTTTGACGTTTGGCTCAGGGAGAAGATGGACTCCAACAATGTTGGTCTCATTTTAAACATGTTTTAGATGTGTTCATTCATCTCATGGGATGTGTCTTGTTGTGTGTGATGTGGTGACCACATGTTTCATCTTGTGGTGACCACATGTCATCTGTGGTGACCACTTATGTCATCTTGTGGTGACCACTTATGTCATCTTGTGGTGACCACTTATGTCGTCTTGTGGTGACTACATGTTTCATCTTGTGGTGACCACATGTTATCTTGTGGTGACCAAATAGTTCACCTTGTGGTGACACATGTCATCTTGTGGCGACGACACATTTCATCCTGTGTTGAACATATACCTGATGTATCATGATGTATGTGATGTGGTGACCACCTATCTTGTCTTGGTGTGACTGAAGTGTCTGCCCTAGTGACTGTCTCAAGTTGACTTTGTGTGTCTTCAGTCAAACCTGAAGTTCCCAACCACTGGCCTTGTGTATGACTTTAAACTGGATGAAGGTGGGATACTTGGTCAGTCAGAGGAAGAAGAAGAATCTAATAAAGTAGGCTCGTGTTCACATTGATTTTTCTGATTTTTTTAACAATTATTTTCTAAGATATATTTTCTATAAACAAGAGTTGAAATTAAAAAATAAATCTTTTTTAATTATATGATATATTAAAAAAATATTTGATACATGTACACATGATTATATTTTCTTATATTTGAGTGTGTTCCCACACTTAAATTTGTACCTGCGCAGACATGTGAAATGAATACTTGTACAAACCCTAACTTGTGATTGACAAACTTAGTCACACAAACACTAACTTGTGATTGATAAACTTAGTCACACAAACACTAACTTGTGATTGACAAACTTGGTCACACAAACACTAACTTGTGATTGACAAACTTAGTCACACAAACACACTAACCTGTGATTGACAAACTTAGTCACACAAACACACTAACCTGTGATTGACAAACTTAGTCACACAAACACACTAACCTGTGATTGACAAACTTAGTCACACAAACACACTAACCTGTGATTGACAAACTTAGTCACACAAACACACTAACCTGTGATTGACAAACTTAGTCACACAAACACACTAACCTGTGATTGACAAACTTAGTCACACAAACACACTAACCTGTGATTGACAAACTTAGTCACACAAACACACTAACCTGTGATTGACAAACTTAGTCACACAAACACACTAACCTGTGATTGACAAACTTAGTCACACAAACACTAACCTGTGATTGACAAACTTAGTCACACAAACACTAACCTGTGATTGACAAACTTAGTCACACAAACACTAACCTGTGATTGACAAACTTAGTCACACAAACACTAACCTGTGATTGACAAACTTAGTCACACAAACACACACCTGTGATTGACAAACTTAGTCACACAAACACTAACCTGTGATTGACAAACTTAGTCACACAAACACACTAACCTGTGATTGACAAACTTAGTCACACAAACACACTAACCTGTGATTGACAAACTTAGTCACACAAACACACTAACCTGTGATTGACAAACTTAGTCACACAAACACACTAACCTGTGATTGACAAACTTAGTCACACAAACACTAACCTGTGATTGACAAACTTAGTCACACAAACACTAACCTGTGATTGACAAACTTAGTCACACAAACACTAACCTGTGATTGACAAACTTAGTCACACAAACACTAACCTGTGATTGACAAACTTAGTCACACAAACACTAACCTGTGATTGACAAACTTAGTCACACAAACACTAACCTGTGATTGACAAACTTAGTCACACAAACACTAACTTGTGATTGACAAACTTAGTCACACAAACACACTAACCTGTGATTGACAAACTTAGTCACACAAACACACTAACCTGTGATTGACAAACTTAGTCACACAAACACACTAACCTGTGATTGACAAACTTAGTCACACAAACACACTAACCTGTGATTGACAAACTTAGTCACACAAACACACTAACTTGTGATTGACAAACTTAGTCACACAAACACACTAACCTCTGATTGACAAACTTATCTGACCAGGGTGTACACTGGGCCAGCTGGCTACATGGACGTGATGAGTACCATGTCACATCGGAGATGAAGTACTCCGACATCATGGTGCCCACCATAGACACCATCAGGTCCACCTTTATACTCAATATGTTTGTTGTAAACAAGAAGAGGGTAGGTGCTTCATATACACATTGGGATAAAAATTTGCTTTGTTAAAATTTAAATTGAAAGTCTATCATAATCTCATGAGAGCTTATAGCCTGAACTAAAAAGGAATACTGCTTTTGTTTCTGTCACTTGATTAGTTCTGGGTAAACTTGTCCTTCACATTCATGTTACAGCTGCTTTGTGTCTGTCACTTGATTAGTTCTGGGTAAACTTGTCCTTCACATTCATGTTACAGCTGCTTTGTGTCTGTCACTTGATTAGTTCTGGGTAAACTTGTCCTTCACATTCATGTTACAGCTGCTTTGTGTCTGTCACTTGATTAGTTCTGGGTAAACTTGTCCTTCACATTCATGTTACAGCTGCTTTGTGTCTGTCACTTGATTAGTTCTGGGTAAACTTGTCCTTCACATTCATGTTACAGCTGCTTTGTGTCTGTCACTTGATTAGTTCTGGGTAAACTTGTCCTTCACATTCATGTTACAGCTGCTTTGTGTCGGACCAACTGGCACAGGCAAAACTCTGACCATCTTGGACAAGTTAACCAGAGGCTTGTCAGAGGAATTTTTGCCAGAGTTTATCAACTTCTCTGCCAAAACATCAGCCAACCAAACACAGGATTTAATTGATGGGAAACTGGATAAAAGGTAGCTTTTGGGTTGGAAGCCATTGTTTTTTAGTGAAGTAAGTTAGAGAATGTTACACTTTTATTAATTTAAAAAAAACATTTTTGAATAGACATTGATGAATGAATATCTCTGACTTGAAGGCGTAAAGGTATCTTTGGTCCCCCTATTGGCAAGTACTCTGTCTACTTTATTGATGACTTAAACATGCCAGCCCTCGACACTTATGGCGCACAGCCCCCTATAGAACTTATAAGACAGTATATGGACTTTCAAGGATGGTATGACCGCAAAGCTATTGGTCAGTATCTGATATTACTTGATAACAAACATTAGTTCTGTTCTAGTTCATTCATAATTTTTTATGTTTTAGTCTGAAGTTAACATATTCAATAGAAAATAATTCTTGAACTTGTTTTCTATAACTGAAGCATTTAACTGTTGTGCCACGTAGTTTTGAAGATTTATTTTATAAATATACTGATAAATATACCATGCAGGTGAGTTTAGGACCCTGGCTGATGTGAACTTTATTGCTGCCATGGGACCACCTGGAGGGGGGAGGAACCCGGTCACTGCCAGACTGCTGCGACATTTCAACTTTCTGGCCTTCACTGCCATGGGGGATTCCAGCCTCTTCAAGATCTTCAGAACCATCTTGCAGTTCTGGATCAGTAAGAGAAAATCTGTCTGTCTTCCTCTGACATCAACCTTAGATTTTATGGCTTGTTTCTGTAATAAAAATGTAACTTTCCCTCCTTGTCATTGTCCATGTCACTAAGTAACTGTCCCTTCATGTCATCAGGTAACTGTCCCTCCATCGCCAACCTGTGTGAGCAACTGGTCAACTCCAGCATCAGCATGTACAACACCGTCCAGAAACAAATGCTGCCCACACCTGCCAAGTCACACTACACCTTCAACCTGCGTGACCTCTCCAAAGTCTTCCAAGGCATCCTGATGGGGGACCACGAGGAAAACAAAGTTTGTTTTCTTTAACACTCATGGATGGATGTCACTACAGACTCACTGACATCATGTCACTATATCCCTAGACTGTGATTGACATCATGACACTATATCCCTAAACTGTGACTTACATGTCACTATATCCCTAGACTGTGACTGACATCATGTCACTATATCCCTAGACTGTGACTGACATGTCACTATATCCCCAGACTGTGACTGACATCATGTCACTATATCCCTAGACTGACTGACATCATGTCACTATATCCTTAGACTGTGACTGACATGTCACTATATCCCTAGACTGTGACTGACATGTCACTATATCCCACAACTGTGACTGACATGTCACTAGATCCCTAGACTGTGACTGACATGTCACTATATCCCTAGACTGTGACTGACATGTCACTATATCCCCAGACTGCAGCTGACATTCTAAGGTTGTGGTACCATGAATGTTGTCGTGTCTTCCAAGACCGACTTGTCAATGATGAAGACAGGCTGGCTTTTGAAAATTTACTGGGTGAAAAAATGCTGCAAGATTTTAAAGTCAAGTTTGAAAGTGTTGTGGTCAACCGTCCAGTCATCTATGGGGATTTCTTGAACTCAGATCTTGACCCAAGGCCCTACACCTTAATCAGAGACCATTCCCAGGTGAGTTTAGTCTGTCTTTTGGGACACCCGAAGTATTTTTATCAGACCATATGCTTTTCATTATGTTCTGTAATAACTTTGTAAGAGGCTTTGAGTCCACCCATCTGTGATGGGTATTTGATTCATGTTAGAGAAAGTAAAGGCATCTAGGTATAGTGCTAACCACACCATCCCTTTATATGCTGAGTTGAAACATATACTCAACATCAGGTCGGTAGTGGATTGCTAGGTCTAAAGAAGTGCTTTACTTAATTTCTGTGAACATTAAATTGTTTAGAAAAAATATAACCCACAGTTTATGAAACAAACCATGGTGGCTCTCTATGTTTGCTGTGACATGAAACATTTTTTGTAGGCCCAGAGACACATGGAGGATTTTTTAGGGGACTTCAACCAGGCATCCAACAAAAAGATGGAGTTGGTCCTGTTCATGGATGCCGTGTCACATGTCAGCCGCATAGCACGCATCCTGAGACAGCCCCTGGGCAATGCTCTGCTGCTGGGGATGGGGGGAAGTGGGAGGCAAAGCTTAACAAGGCTGGCTGCGCACATGTAAGTAGTCAGGCTGGTCCCACACACCAATTTGAAGATTTTTATTTAGACATCCCCTCCCCTAAAATATAGAATTTATATACAAAATTAGTATGACTACTATTTTTCAGCTCTGAATACGACTGCTATTTTCCAGCTCTGAATACGACTGCTATTTTCCAGCTCTGAATACGACTGCTATTTTCCAGCTCTGAATACGACTGCTAAGTTCCAGCTCTGAATACGACTGCTATTTTCCAGCTCTGAATACGACTGCTATTTTCCAGCTCTGAATACGATTGCTTTTTTCCAGCTCTGAATATGATTGCTTTTTTCCAGCTCTGAATATGATTGCTTTTTTCCAGCTCTGAATACGATTGCTTTTTTCCAGCTCTGAATACGATTGCTTTTTTCCAGCTCTGAATATGATTGCTTTTTTCCAGCTCTGAATACGATTGCTTTTTTCCAGCTCTGAATATGATTGCTTTTTTCCAGCTCTGAATACGACTGCTTCCAGATTGAGCTGTCCAAGAACTACGGAGTCCATGAGTGGCATGAGGACCTGAAGAAGGTCATGATGAAAGCTGGACTCAGGGAGGAGCCTGTGGTTTTTCTCTTCAGTGACACACAGGTAATGACATCACACAGGTTATGACATCACAGAGGTATTGACATCACACAGGTAATGACATCACACAGGTAATGACATCACAGAGGTATTGACATCACACAGGTAATGACATCATACAGGTAATAACATCACACAGGTAATGACATCACACAGGTAATGACATCACACAGATTATGACATCACATGAATGTCATTTAGTGTTTCTAGAGGACATTACCCAGGTAGTGATATCCCTACTCCCTCACCTGCCTAAAACAAAAACTTTTTCCTGTGCTCATTTTCCAAAATAACAAATCTTTACCAAACTCAACTTCAGAAGTAAGATATTGGTTTAAAGATTTAAAAAACAACAGTCTGAAACAAAACAAAAAATTAAAGGGTGATACTAACAAAGTTTTGTAACTCTGTCCTGAAAAGATCAAGAACGAATCATTCCTAGAGGACCTGAACAACATCCTGAACACAGGAGATGTGCCCAACTTGTACGGGGCTGAGGAGAACGAGAACATCTTTAAAGAGATGAAGCCCATAGTTCTAGAGGCTGGCCTGCAGCCCACACGGACAGTCATGTTCTCCACATACACCAAGAGGGTCAGGAGCAACCTACACACTGTCATTACCATGAGGTAAACCACACTGTCATTACCATGAGGTAAACCACACTGTCATTACATGAGGTGACCCACACTGTCATTACATGTGGTAAACCACACTGTTAACCCACACTGTCATTACCATGAGGTAAACCACACTGTCATTACATGAGATAATACACTGTCATCACCATGAGGTAAACTACACTGTCATTACATCAGGTGACCCACACTGTCATTACATGTGGTAAACCACACTGTTAACCCACACTGTCATTACCTTGAGGTAACCCACACTGTCATTACATGAGGTAAACCACACTATCATTATATGAGGTAACCCACACTGTCATTACATGAGATAATACACTGTCATCACCATGAGGTAAACTACACTGTCATTACATGAAGTAAACCACACTGTCATTACATGAGGTAATACACTGTCATTACTATGAGGTAAACCACACTGTCATTATCATGAGGTAATACACTGTCATTACATGAGATAATACACTGTCATTACCATCAGGTATCCCACACTCTCATTACATGAGGTAACCCACACTATCATTATATGAGGTAATACACACTGTCATTACATCAGGTAACCCACACTGTCTTAACAAAACCGTACTTCACACAAACCATTGAACCTACAGCAACATAAAAATTTTGACAAGATAAATCCTAGACTTGTTCCCCCACCCCCAGCCCACTTGGTGAAATCTTCCGTTCCCGCCTGCGCCAGTTCCCTGCCTTGGTCAACTGTTGCACCATTGACTGGTTCAGCCAGTGGCCCACTGACGCCCTCAAGTCTGTGGCCCTCAGGTTTCTCAACGACATCGGAGATCTGGAGGCCAGTCCAGAAGTCATGACTGGTCTGGTGGGTATTTGTTGACTGGTCTGGTGGGTATTTGTTGACTGGTCTGGTGGGTATTTGTTGACTGGTCTGGTGGGTATTTGTTGACTGGTCTGGTGGGTATTTGTTGACTGATTTGGTGGGTATTTGTTGACTGATTTGGTGGGTATTTGTTGACTGATTTGGTGGGTATTTGTTGACTGATTTGGTGGGTATTTGTTGACTGATTTGGTGGGTTTTACAGGCTTTTATTTAACTTGCTTTCTCTGTTGACAGTCTGTCTACCTATCATCATAGATCTAAATGGGGGAGCAAAATTTCGTGCACTTCTAACTGACAAATTCATTTCAAAGTTGGCACCTGGGTCAAGACTTCATGACAATGAAATCTGATATCAAATTTGACTTAATTGGATGACAAATTAATTTTTTATTAATTAATTAAAATTTATGCTGTCTCACTACTACTATTCTGCTCATTGTTATGTTCATTTGATGTGCAATAGTTTGCAGTCATGCAGCTCTATTGTATTAAAAATTTCAAAGTACTGAAAAAAAATTGCATAAAATATGTTTTAATCACAAGCTTTAATGTAATAATGCACTAAAAAGAAGAAAAATAATTATTTTCTTTAAATATATAACAATACACTAATATTTAATATATTACTATAAAGAAAAGTGTGGGTCTCTTCCTAAATATTATAAAAGTATTCCAAAGATAATACAGTGACCCACGCTTTTCTATATAGTAATTTAAATAGTAGTGTATTATTATATATTTCAAGAAATTGATTTATTTTCTCCATTTGAGTGCATTATTACATTAAAGCTTGTTATTTTAAAAAAAAGTTCTGCTATTTTATTTGTGAATTGATGAGGTGTGTATTTGTCCATGCTGTAGGTGACCATGTGTCAGATGATCCAGGAGTCTGTCAGCGTCAACTCTATTGCCTTCCTGGAAGAAATGTCTCGACACAACTACGTGACACCAACCTCCTACCTGGAGCTGCTGGGCCTCTTCTCACAGCTGGTCAGCAGGAAGAAGGGGGAGCTCACTCTGGCCAGCACAAGGCTCAAAACTGGCTTGGATAAAGTAAGGCTGGCCCTCCCTAACCCCACCATAAAGTAAGGCTGGCCCTCCCTAACCCCACCATAAAGTAAGGCTGGCCCTCCCTAACCCCACCTCAACAGTAGAGGTACATTTAGGATAAGGTACTGACAGGTTTACAGTTGCTGTGTTGATGTAAACTTGTACTAATGTTTTATCCTGCTAAACAAGACTTACTTGCTGGTGTGGGGATGTTTAAAATGTTTGCAGGCACAACTGAACTGTCCCAGATTCTTTTATTTCTAAACTTTTTCATGCACAAAACAAAAAACTGTATTGTAGATACACTTTTAGTTTTTTATTTTAAAAATTGTTTTCCACTTTTGTTCTTCTCTAAGGAATATCATACTTGTCTCCCAGTCAGGAATATCATACTTAGTCCCCCAGTCAGGAATATCATACTTAGTCCCCCAGTCAGGAATATCATACTTAGTCCCCCAGTCAGGAATATCATACTTAGTCCCCCAGTCAGGAATATCATACTTAGTCCCCCAGTCAGGAATATCATACTTAGCCCCCCAGTCAGGAATATCATACTTAGTCCCCCAGTCAGGAATATCATACTTAGTCCCCCAGTCAGGAATATCATACTTAGTCCCCAAGTCAGGAATATCATACTTAGTCCCCCAGTCAGGAATATCATACTTAGTCCCCCAGTCAGGAATATCATACTTAGTCTCCCCAGTCAGGAATATCATACTTAGTCCCCCAGTCAGGAATATCATACTTGAGTCCCCCAGTCAGGAATATCATACTTAGTCCCCCAGTCAGGAATATCATACTTAGTCCCCCAGTCAGGAATATCATACTTAGTCCCCCAGTCAGGAATATCATACTTGTCTCCCAGTCAGGAATATCATACTTAGTCAGTCCCCCAGTCAGGAATATCATACTTAGTCCCCCAGTCAGGAATATCATACTTAGTCCCCAAGTCAGGAATATCATACTTAGTCCCCCAGTTAGGAATATCATACTTGATTCCCCCAGTCAGGAATATCATACTTAGTCCCCCAGTCAGGAATATCATACTTAGTCCCCCAGTCAGGAATATCATACTTAGTCAGTCCCCCAGTCAGGAATATCATACTTGAGTCCCCCAGTCAGGAATATCATACTTAGTCCCCCAGTCAGGAATATCATACTTAGTCTCCCAGTCAGGAATATCATACTTAGTCTCCCCAGTCAGGAATATCATACTTAGTCAGTCCCCCAGTCAGGAATATCATACTTGATTCCCCCAGTCAGGAATATCATACTTGTCTCCCAGTCAGGAATATCATACTTAGTCCCTCAGTCAGGAATATCATACTTAGTCTCCCAGTCAGGAATATCATACTTAGTCCCCCAGTTAGGAATATCATACTTAGTCCCCCCAGTCAGGAATATCATACTTAGTCCCCCAGTCAGGAATATCATACTTAGTCTCCCAGTCAGGAATATCATACTTAGTCTCCCCAGTCAGGAATATCATACTTAGTCAGTCCCCCAGTCAGGAATATCATACTTAGTCCCCCAGTCAGGAATATCATACTTAGTCTCCCAGTCAGGAATATCATACTTGAGTCCCCCAGTCAGGAATATCATACTTAGTCCCCCCAGTCAGGAATATCATACTTAGTCAGTCCCCCAGTCAGGAATATCATACTTAGTCCCCCAGTCAGGAATATCATACTTAGTCAGTCCCCCAGTCAGGAATATCATACTTAGTCCCCCAGTCAGGAATATCATACTTAGTCTCCCAGTCAGGAATATCATACTTGAGTCCCCCAGTCAGGAATATCATACTTAGTCCCCCCAGTCAGGAATATCATACTTAGTCAGTCCCCCAGTCAGGAATATCATACTTAGTCCCCCAGTCAGGAATATCATACTTAGTCCCCCAGTCAGGAATATCATACTTAGTCCCCCAGTCAGGAATATCATACTTAGTCTCCCAGTCAGGAATATCATACTTAGTCCCCCAGTCAGGAATATCATACTTAGTCAGTCCCCCAGTCAGGAATATCATACTTAGTCAGTCCCCCAGTCAGGAATATCATACTTAGTCCCCCAGTCAGGAATATCATACTTAGTCCCCCAGTCAGGAATATCATACTTAGTCCCCCAGTCAGGAATATCATACTTAGTCCCCCAGTCAGGAATATCATACTTAGTCCCCCAGTCAGGAATATCATACTTAGTCCCCCAGTCAGGAATATCATACTTAGTCCCCCAGTCAGGAATATCATACTTAGTCCCCCAGTCAGGAATATCATACTTAGTCCCCCAGTCAGGAATATCATACTTAGTCCCCCAGTCAGGAATATCATACTTAGTCTCCCAGTCAGGAATATCATACTTAGTCTCCCAGTCAGGAATATCATACTTAGTCAGTCCCCCAGTCAGGAATATCATACTTAGTCCCCCAGTCAGGAATATCATACTTAGTCCCCCAGTCAGGAATATCATACTTAGTCCCCCAGTCAGGAATATCATACTTAGTCCCCCAGTCAGGAATATCATACTTAGTCCCCCAGTCAGGAATATCATACTTAGTCCCCCAGTCAGGAATATCATACTTAGTCCCCCAGTCAGGAATATCATACTTGAGTCCCCCAGTCAGGAATATCATACTTAGTCCCCCAGTCAGGAATATCATACTTAGTCCCCCAGTCAGGAATATCATACTTAGTCCCCCAGTCAGGAATATCATACTTAGTCCCCCAGTCAGGAATATCATACTTAGTCCCCCAGTCAGGAATATCATACTTAGTCCCCCAGTCAGGAATATCATACTTAGTCCCCCAGTCAGGAATATCATACTTAGTCCCCCAGTCAGGAATATCATACTTAGTCCCCCAGTCAGGAATATCATACTTAGTCCCCCAGTCAGGAATATCATACTTAGTCCCCCAGTCAGGAATATCATACTTAGTCCCCCAGTCAGGAATATCATACTTAGTCCCCCAGTCAGGAATATCATACTTGAGTCCCCCAGTCAGGAATATCATACTTAGTCCCCCAGTCAGGAATATCATACTTAGTCCCCCAGTCAGGAATATCATACTTAGTCCCCCCCAGTCAGGAATATCATACTTAGTCCCCCAGTCAGGAATATCATACTTGAGTCCCCCAGTCAGGAATATCATACTTAGTCCCCCAGTTAGGAATATCATACTTGATTCCCCCAGTCAGGAATATCATACTTAGTCCCCCAGTCAGGAATATCATACTTAGTCCCCCAGTCAGGAATATCATACTTAGTCCCCCAGTCAGGAATATCATACTTAGTCCCCCAGTCAGGAATATCATACTTGAGTCCCCCAGTCAGGAATATCATACTTGAGTCCCCCAGTCAGGAATATCATACTTGTTATATTCCCCAGATTCTAGTGACAACAACTGAGGTGGCCAAACTACAAGAAGAGTTGGCCGTCATGAGCCCAGAGCTGGAGAAGGCTGTCAATAATGCTGTTGTTACCATGGAGCAAATTGCTAAAGACACGGTGAGGTGACTGGCATGTATAAGGGTGTAGGTTAGATCAACTTTACAACCCTAACCACTTGGGTTACCAGCTGAGTTCCCCCTACCACCCTAACCACTTGGGTTACCAGCTGAGTTCCCCCTACAACCCTAACCACTTGGGTTACCAGCTGAATTCCTTCTACTGCCCTAACCACTTGGGTTACCAGCTGAGTTCCCCCTACAACCCTAACCACTTGGGTTACCAGTTGTTCCCCCTGCCACCCTAACCACTTGGGTTACCAGTTGTTCCCCCTACAACCCTAACCACTTGGGTTACCACCTGTTCCCCCTACCACCCTAACCACTTGGGTTACCAGCTAGGTTCCCCCTACCACCCCAACCACCTGGGTTACCAGCTAAGTTCCCCCTACTACCCTAACCACTTGGGTTACCAGCTAGGTTCCCCCTACCACCCCAACCACCTGGGTTACCAGCTGAGTTCCCCCTACCACCCCAACCACCTGGGTTACCAGCTGAGTTCCCCCTACAACCCCAACCACTTGGGTTACCGGTTGTTCCCCCTACAACCCTAACCACTTGGGTTAACGGTTGTTCCCCCTACAACCCTAACCACTTGGGTTAACGGTTGTTCCCCCTACAACCCTAACCACTTGGGTTAACGGTTGTTCCCCCTACAACCCTAACCACTTGGGTTAACGGTTGTTCCCCCTACAACCCTAACCACTTGGGTTACCAGTTGTTCCCCCTACAACCCTAACCACTTGGGTTAACGGTTGTTCCCCCTACAACCCTAACCACTTGGGTTAACGGTTGTTCCCCCTACAACCCTAACCACTTGGGTTAACGGTTGTTCCCCCTACAACCCTAACCACTTGGGTTAACGGTTGTTCCCCCTACAACCCTAACCACTTGGGTTAACGGTTGTTCCCCCTACAACCCTAACCACTTGGGTTAGCGGTTGTTCCCCCTACAACCCTAACCACTTGGGTTACCGGTTGTTCCCCCTACAACCCTAACCACTTGGGTTACCGGTTGTTCCCCCTACAACCCTAACCACTTGGGTTAACGGTTGTTCCCCCTACAACCCTAACCACTTGGGTTACCGGTTGTTCCCCCTACAACCCTAACCACTTGGGTTACCTGTTGTTCCCCCTGTCTTTCACCAGGCTGTGGCCGAGGCCACCAAGCAGCAAGTCCAGTCAGAAGAACAAATTGCTTCAGCCAAGGCCATGGAAACTGAGGCCATTGCAGCTGATGCACAGAAGGATTTAGCCGAGGCTCTACCAGCACTGGTAAAGTTTTGATCACACAGCTCTGGTAAAGTTTTTATCACACAGCTCTGGTAAAGTTTTTATCACACAGCTCTGGTAAAGTTTTTATCACACAGCTCTGGTAAAGTTTTTATCACACAGCTCTGGTAAAGTTTTGATCACACAGCTCTGGTAAAGTTTTTATCACACAACTCTGGTAAAGTTTTTATCTCACAGCTCTGGTAAAGTTTTTATCTCACATCATTGGTAAAGTTTTAGATTCAGTTGACCACTGGTCAAGTTTGATTGATGGCAGCAACCAACACCTGCTATAGTTTGATGTTTAGCCTGCTGCCTCCCCTTTTAACTGACAACCTTCTCTCCCCCCCCCCCCCCCCCCCAGGAAAGTGCCCTGTCTAGTCTCAAGTCTCTCAACAAAAATGACGTGACAGAAGTGAGAGCCCTGCAGAGGCCGCCCCCTGGGGTCAAGCTGGTCATGGAGGCCACCTGCATCATGAAACAAATTCAGCCAAAGAAAGTGCCAGGAGACAAGGTAGGTGCTAACATTATCAGCCCAACCAGTTGTGACAGGACCCAACCAGTTGTGACAGGACCCAACCACTTATGACAGGACCCAACCAGTTGTGACAGGACACAACCAGTTGTGACAGGACCCAACTAGTTGTGACAGGACCCAACCAGTTGTGACAGGACCCAACCAGTTGTGACAGGACCCAACCAGTTGTGACAGGACCCAACCAGTTGTGACAGGACCCAACCAGTTGTGACAGGACCCAACCAGTTGTGACAGGACCACGCCACTAATTATAAGAGTGGCAACACGGCCACCACACTGACATGGTCTCCCATGATCCACAGCCAGGTACAAAGGTAGACGACTACTGGGAGGTGGGTAAGGCCCAGCTCCAGGACCCACAGAAGTTTCTGGACAGCTTGTTCCAGTATGACAAGGACAACATCCCAGCTGAGGTCATCAAGAAGATCACACCCTACATCAATGACCCTAACTTTACACCTCAGGCTATTGCCAAGGTAAGATCACACCCTACATCAATGACCCTAACTTCACACCCCGGGCTATTGCTAAGTTAGGTTTTCTGTAAGTTTATTGTGTACCTGGCATCATGCTATTGAACATGATCTGTGCACTAAATGTAAAGTTGACACCTGTACCTTCATCATCTCACCTGTTGTTTGTATTGTGTATCTAGGTATCCAAAGCCTGCACATCAATCTGCCAGTGGGCCATCGCTATGTACAAGTACCATTTTGTGGCCATCACTGTGGCCCCCAAGAGGGAGAAGCTGAAACAGGCCATGGATGAGCTGGCGGCCACTGAGAAGGTTTTAGCCATTGCTAAAAAGAAACTTTTTGACGTGGAGAGTGGGGTGGCCAAGCTACAGAAACAATACAATGACAGCATGAACAAGAAGAAGAATCTAGAAGACAAATGTAAACTTTGTGAAGGGAGGCTTGACCGGGCCGACAAGGTGGGTGGGGCCATTTGCTGCAGAAATTATTTATGACTGCTTACAAGATTTTGTTTTTGGTCATAAATTTTATCAGTTAAAAGAATCTTACACTCAGCTGGGATACAAGATTAGGTCAACTCATTTTTTCTTCTTAATCCTAATTCATCAGTTCTTAAATACACTTACTTATATCAGTCAACATCCATCCACAGCTGTTACTTTAACCATACCCAGCTGTTACTTTAACCATACCCAGCTGTTACTTTAACCATACCCACCTGTTACTTTAACCATACCCAGCTGTTACTTTAACCATACCCAGCTGTTAATTTAACCATACCCAGCTGTTACTTTAACCATACCCAGCTGTTACTTTAACCATACCCAGCTGTTACTTTAACCATACCCAGCTGTTACTTTAACCATACCCAGCTGTTACTTTAACCATACCCAGCTGTTACTTTAACCATACCCAGCTGTTAATTTAACCATACCCAGCTGTTACTTTAACCATACCCAGCTGTTACTTTAACCATACCCAGCTGTTACTTTAACCATACCCAGCTGTTACTTTAACCATACCCAGCTGTTACTTTAACCATACCCAGCTGTAACTTTGACCATCCATCCACAGCTGTTACTTTAACCATACCCAGCTGTTACTTTAACCATACCCAGCTGTTACTTTAACCATACCCAGCTGTTACTTTAACCATACCCAGCTGTAACTTTGACCATCCATCCACAGCTGTTACTTTAACCATACCCAGCTGTTACTTTAACCATACCCAGCTGTTACTTTAACAATACCCAGCTGTTACTTTAACCATCAACAGCTGTTACTTTAACCATACCCATCTGTTACTTTAACAATACCCAGCTGTTACTTTAACCATCAACAGCTGTTACTTTAACCATACCCAGCTGTAACTTTGACCATCCATCCACAGCTTATAAACAGTTTGGCTGATGAGAAAGATCGCTGGGGTGACTCCATAAAAAACTATGAAAGATTAATCTTCAATGTGGCTGGTGATGTGCTGATATCAGCAGCCTTTGTTGCCTACCTCGGACCTTTCACAGTAAGTTTACATGTACCAGCATTTGGCTCCTACCTCAGTCCCCCAGGTGTAGAAACTTTACCTTGAACATCCAGTAGCCATTACAACTGTGTGGTCAGTACAATGACCAGTAGCCAGTATGACTGTTTTGTCATTACAATCACCAGCCAACATTTCCCCACATCTAGTAGCCATTATAACTGTGTGGTCAGTACAATGACCAGTAGCCATCAGAGATGTTGCCAGATGCTATCCGCCAGGCTACCAGTAGGTTTAAACTCCAGCTGAACAAACATTTTCACTAACTAGCTTGATGTGCAGTCTTTCAATATTAAGAACATTCTTAAATAAATGTCAACATCCATCTAACCCAGGCAGATTACCATGTAAACATCCATCTAACCCAGGCAGATTACCGAAGTCGCATGGTGAGCCAGTGGAGCAAGGCCCTGATAGAAAACAAAGTCCCGTCTACACCTGACTCCAACCTGCTCAACACCATGGGTGACCCCGTCATGATACGGAGCTGGCAGATTCAGGGCCTGCCTGGGGATAATTATTCTGTGGAGAATGGTGTCATTGTCAACCTCTCCAGGCGCTGGCCTCTCTTTATAGACCCCCAGGGACAGGCCAACAAGTGGATCAAAAACATGGTAGGTGGCTGCTCTTTATTGGACCAAGCAAGATGATAAAATATCTTGTTCAATGGGATCTAATTTTGTACTGTTTTTTAACTAGAATCATTTGTGTACCTTTTTTGTGTAGGAAATAGAAAATGAGATGGAAGTTGTGAAACAGTCCAGCAAAGACTTCATCAGAACATTGGAGAACTCCATCAGGTTTGGCAAGCCTTGTCTGATGGAGAATGTTGCCTCAGAACTTGATCCTTCCCTGGAACCAATCCTACTCAGACAGGTTGGTCCTGGGGGTCAAATTGTAACACTCATGCTCAAATGATATTTTCTTTCACATAAACCATGATGTTTGATTTGATTCTAGTTTTATTTCCAAGTCGTCTGCTGACAATATTGTCCATTCAGGTCTTCAAACAACAAGGATCTCTTGTGATTAAAATTGGTGACAACATCATCCCCTATCATAAGGACTTCAAGTTTTATATGACCAGCAAACTGCCCAATCCTCACTACACACCTGAGGTTTCCACTAAAGTCACACTCATTAATTTCACACTGTCACCCAGGTAAGACATTCATTTATTGTACACTACCATCCAGAGAACTATCTAATTAATTCTACATAATCACACAAGCAAGTTAATTTGACACTATTACTCAAGTTAGAAAAGAAAATTGAATCTTTTGTAAATGAAAAAGATTTTGTTCAATAAATTTAAACAAGTGTTATAATTCAGTAATATAAATGTTAAATATTCTTCATAAAAAAAACTAAAATTACCCTCATGAACCAGATGGATAATATGTCAGATGAAGTAGAGTTAATTAGTTTCTGTTTGTTTGGCATATGATGAGATAGTGTGTTCAGTTGTTTGCCCAGCTGTCTCTGAAGGACATCCTCCTGTCTGGGTACCAACTGTGCTACATTAAAGTCTTCTAAAAATGTGACATCTACTTCCTCCAGTATTTGAAGAAGTTAGGACAAAATATTTCCCACTTCTCCAAAATTTTTGTTAACTAAAGCAAGAGTTAATTAGATTGGTTACAACCCTCCTCCACACTGGACTGCAAGACCAGCTTCTGGGTATTGTTGTGCCAAATTTTGTGTTAACTAAACCAAGATTTAATTAGATTGGTTACAACCCTCGTCCACAGTGGACTACAAGACCAGCTACTGGGTATTGTTGTGCCAAATTTTGTGTTAACTAAACCTCCACAGTGGACTACAAGACCAGCTACTGGGTATTGTTGTGGCGGAGGAACGTCCAGATCTAGAGGACTCAAAGAACCAGCTGATTGTCAGCAATGCCAAGATGAAGTCTGAGCTGAAGGAGATTGAGGACAAGATTCTCTACCTGCTCAGTGCCTCCCAGGGCAGTCCAGTGGACGACATTGAGCTCATTGAAACACTGGACGCATCCAAGATCACTTCACAGGAGATCCAGGCCAGTGCCTCTTGAATCACCTAACAAACTTTTATTGACACATTTTAACTGCATCCCACAATCCTTGGGTTTCTTACACATTTGAACTCTAGCTTTAAACTTTGATTTTCAGACTAAAGTGACGGTAGCCGAGACGACAAAAAATTATTGACACATTTGAACTCTAGCTTTGATAAACTTTGATTTTCAGACTAAAGTGACGGTAGCCAAGACGACAAAAAATTATTGACACATTTGAACTCTAGCTTTAAACTTTGATTTTCAGACTAAAGTGAAGGTAGCCGAGACGACAGAAAAAATTATCGACACATTTGAACTCTAGCTTTAAACTTTGATTTTCAGACTAAAGTGAAGGTAGCCGAGACGACAGAAAAAATTATCGACACATTTGAACTCTAGCTTTAAACTTTGATTTTCAGACTAAAGTGAAGGTAGCCGAGACGACAGAAAAAATTATTGACACATTTGAACTCTAGCTTTAAACTTTGATTTTCAGACTAAAGTGAAGGTAGCCGAGACGACAGAAAAAATTATCGACACATTTGAACTCTAGCTTTAAACTTTGATTTTCAGACTAAAGTGAAGGTAGCCGAGACGACAGAAAAAATTATTGACACATTTGAATTCTAGCTTTAAACTTTGATTTTCAGACTAAAGTGAAGGTAGCCGAGACGACAGAAAAAAATATTGACACATTTGAACTCTAGCTTTAAACTTTGATTTTCAGACTAAAGTGAAGGTAGCCGAGACGACAGAAAAAATTATTGACGAGACTCGCAGCCAGTACATCCCAGTGGCCTTGAACTCCCAGATTTTGTTCTTCTGTGTGGCTGACATGGGCAAGATTGACCCCATGTACCAGTACTCACTGGAGTGGTTCATTGCCATCTTCTTAAGTTCTATAGCCCAGGCTGAGAGGGCAGGTTGGTTGACTACATTTTACTTTTCTCCTCAATAGCAATCTTGTCATGTACTCACTGGAGTGGTTCATTGCCATCTTCTTAAGTTCTATAGCCCAGGCTGAGAGGGCAGGTTGGTTGACTACATTTTACTTTTCTCCTCAATAGCAATCTTGTCATGTACTCACTGGAGTGGTTCATTGCCATCTTCTTAAGTTCTATAGCCCAGGCTGAGAGGGCAGGTTGGTTGACTACATTTTACACTTTTCTCCTCAATAGCAATCTTGTCATGTACTCACTGGAGTGGTTCATTGCCATCTTCTTAAGTTCTATAGCCCAGGCTGAGAGGGCAGGTTGGTTGACTACATTTTACTTTTCTCCTCAATAGCAATCTTGTCATGTACTCACTGGAGTGGTTCATTGCCATCTTCTTAAGTTCTATAGCCCAAGCTGAGAGGGCAGGTTGGTTGACTACATTTTACTTTTCTCCTCAATAGCAATCTTGTCATGTACTCACTGGAGTGGTTCATTGCCATCTTCTTAAGTTCTATAGCCCAGGCTGAGAGGGCAGGTTGGTTGACTACATTTTACTTTTCTCCTCAATAGCAATCTTGTCATGTACTCACTGGAGTGGTTCATTGCCATCTTCTTAAGTTCTATAGCCCAGGCTGAGAGGGCAGGTTGGTTGACTACATTTTACACTTTTCTCCTCAATAGCAATCTTGTCATGTACTCACTGGAGTGGTTCATTGCCATCTTCTTAAGTTCTATAGCCCAGGCTGAGAGGGCAGGTTGGTTGACTACATTTTACTTTTCTCCTCAATAGCAATCTTGTCATGTACTCACTGGAGTGGTTCATTGCCATCTTCTTAAGTTCTATAGCCCAGGCTGAGAGGGCAGGTTGGTTGACTACATTTTACTTTTCTCCTCAATAGCAATCTTGTCATGTACTCACTGGAGTGGTTCATTGCCATCTTCTTAAGTTCTATAGCCCAGGCTGAGAGGGCAGGTTGGTTGACTACATTTTACTTTTCTCCTCAATAGCAATCTTGTCATGTACTCACTGGAGTGGTTCATTGCCATCTTCTTAAGTTCTATAGCCCAGGCTGAGAGGGCAGGTTGGTTGACTACATTTTACTTTTCTCCTCAATAGCAATCTTGTCATGTACTCACTGGAGTGGTTCATTGCCATCTTCTTAAGTTCTATAGCCCAGGCTGAGAGGGCAGGTTGGTTGACTACATTTTACACTTTTCTCCTCAATAGCAATCTTGTCATGTACTCACTGGAGTGGTTCATTGCCATCTTCTTAAGTTCTATAGCCCAGGCTGAGAGGGCAGGTTGGTTGACTACATTTTACTTTTCTCCTCAATAGCAATCTTGTCATGTACTCACTGGAGTGGTTCATTGCCATCTTCTTAAGTTCTATAGCCCAGGCTGAGAGGGCAGGTTGGTTGACTACATTTTACTTTTCTCCTCAATAGCAATCTTGTCATGTACTCACTGGAGTGGTTCATTGCCATCTTCTTAAGTTCTATAGCCCAGGCTGAGAGGGCAGGTTGGTTGACTACATTTTACACTTTTCTCCTCAATAGCAATCTTGTCATGTACTCACTGGAGTGGTTCATTGCCATCTTCTTAAGTTCTATAGCCCAAGCTGAGAGGGCAGGTTGGTTGACTACATTTTACTTTTCTCCTCAATAGCAATCTTGTCATGTACTCACTGGAGTGGTTCATTGCCATCTTCTTAAGTTCTATAGCCCAGGCTGAGAGGGCAGGTTGGTTGACTACATTTTACACTTTTCTCCTCAATAGCAATCTTGTCATGTACTCACTGGAGTGGTTCATTGCCATCTTCTTAAGTTCTATAGCCCAGGCTGAGAGGGCAGGTTGGTTGACTACATTTTACTTTTCTCCTCAATAGCAATCTTGTCATGTACTCACTGGAGTGGTTCATTGCCATCTTCTTAAGTTCTATAGCCCAGGCTGAGAGGGCAGGTTGGTTGACTACATTTTACACTTTTCTCCTCAATAGCAATCTTGTCATTTGATACTGGAATAGCATTTGGGGGAGGATAATTCAACAGCTGATTAAGAAAGTTGAGCAGCTCATGTTGCTTATAACTAAATAAAGCTATGTAGAGGGAGGATAATACAACAGCAGATTGTGAAAATTGAGCCTGTCATCAGCAACAGTCCTGTGTAATAAAATGTTATACAATAAAAGTGCTTTCTGTCAATAATATGTTAAAACATACTAGATGTTCTGTCATTGGATGCCATATGGCCTGTATCAGTTACCTCTGTATGTCCAAACTGTAACAAATGATGTAAATGTATTCTAGCCAAAATATCTGTGACATCTGTAACAAACTATTTTTGTCTAGAAACCCTGGCAGATAGAGTTGTGAATATCAACGAGATGTTCACCTATAACCTCTTCCTAAACGTGTGCCGCAGTCTGTTTGAGAAACACAAACTTTTATTTGGACTTCTCATGGCTGCCAGAAAGGAGATGGAATCTGGTCATATTGATATGGTGGGTCACTCCACTGTGGTGTATGGTCACTCCATTGTGTTGTATGGTCACTCCACTGTGGTGTGTGGTCACTCCTATATGTTGTGTAGTCACTCCTATATGTTGTATGGTCACTCCTATATGTTGTATGGTCACTCCTATATGTTGTATGGTCACTCCTATATGTTGTATGGTCACTCCTATATGTTGTATGGTCACTCCTATATGTTGTATGGTCACTCCTATATGTTGTATGGTCACTCCTATATCTTACCGCAACTCTCTACAGATGGACTGGAGATGGCTGATTGCTGGTGGTACTATAGTACCCCAACAACTCCCTAACCCTGACCCCAGCTGGATATCTGTTCGCTCATGGAATGACATCTTGACCTTGCCAACTCTGCCAGCATTTGGAAACTTTGCCACAGATTTCGAGAATCACTTGCAGGAATTCAAGGCCATATTTGATTGTGCTGAGCCTCAGGAGTAAGTCATTGGTGAGACCATCCAGGTCTTAAGCTTTAGTGAGACCATTCTTGTGCAAGCCCCCTTTAAATCTGTTGTTTACATTTGATATTTCTCCCAGAATGCCACTGCCTGGTGCCTGGCATGAAAAACTGGACAAGTTCCAGTCCATTTTGGTGTTGAAAGCTCTCCGGCCTGACAAGGTGACCAATGCCATGCAGATGTTTGTGGCCACGACCCTGGGTCAAAAGTTCATTGAACCCCAGACAACAGACCTGGCTGTGGTCTTCAAGGACTCCTCCACCACCTCCCCCCTGGTCTTTGTGCTGTCCACAGGGACAGATCCAGCAGGCTCGCTCTACGCCTTTGCTGATACCATGAAGTTCTCCAAAAAACTTAGCTCCATCTCACTAGGGCAGGGACAGGTAAAGTCATTTACATCTGGCTAGGGCAGGGACAGGTAAAGTCATTTACATCTGGCTAGCATAGGGCAGGGACAGGTAAAGTCATTTACATATGGCAGGGACAGGTAAAGTCATTTACATCTGGTTAGGGCAGGGACAGGTAAAGTCATTTACATATGGCAGGGACAGGTAAAGTTATTTACATCTGGCTAGCCTAGGGCAGGGATAGGTAAAGTCATTAATATCTGGCTAGTCTAGGGCAGGGATAGGTAAAGTCATTAATATCTGGCAGGGACAGGTAAAGTCATTAATATCTGGTTAGGGCAGGGACAGGTAAAGTCATTTACATATGGCAGGGACAGGTAAAGTTATTTACATCTGGCTAGCCTAGGGCAGGGATAGGTAAAGTCATTAATATCTGGCTAGGCTAGGGCAGGGACAGGTAAAGTCATTAATATCTGGCAGGGACAGGTAAAGTCATTAACATCTGGCAGGGACAGGTAAAGTCATTAATATCTGGCTAGGCTAGGGCAGGGACAGGTAAAGTCATTAATATCTGGCAGGGACAGGTAAAGTCATTAATATCTGGCTAGGGCAGGGACAGGTAAAGTCATTTACATCTGGCAGGGACAGGTAAAGTCATTAATATCTGGCTAGGCTAGGGCAGGGATAGGTAAAGTCATTAATATCTGGCAGGGACAGGTAAAGTCATTAATATCTGGTTAGGGCAGGGACAGGTAAAGTCATTTACATATGGCAGGGACAGGTAAAGTTATTTACATCTGGCTAGCCTAGGGCAGGGATAGGTAAAGTCATTAATATCTGGCTAGGCTAGGGCAGGGACAGGTAAAGTCATTAATATCTGGCAGGGACAGGTAAAGTCATTTACACCTAACACACCCCTAGCCTAAGAAAGAATTCTGTGAACTCGATATGTTAAATTAGCACCTAGTTTTGTTTTGCTTCAGGGTCCCAGAGCTGAAGCTATGATGAAGTACGCCATGGAGAAAGGCGCCTGGGTTTTCTTCCAGAACTGCCATTTGGCCCCCAGCTGGATGCCGGCCCTTGAGAGACTAGTAGAGACCATTGATCCTGATGCTGTAAGTTGACAACTTTTCCCTAGTTAACTGATGCTGTAAGTTGGCTACTTTTCTCTAGTTAACTGATGCTGTAAGTTGACAACTTTTCTCTAGTTAACTGATGCTGAACTAGATTTGAAAGTAAGCTTGAAGTAGACACATACAGCATGTAGAGCGAACTCTGTCCTGTCCAGGTACACAAAGACTTCCGCCTGTGGCTGACCAGCATGCCCAGCCCCCACTTCCCCGTGTACATCCTACAGAACAGCTCTAAGATGACAGTTGAACCTCCCAAAGGTATCAAGGCCAACCTGCTCAGGTCATACATGAGCTTCAGTGACAAATTTTTCAAGCAATGCCCAGGGAAGGTAACTCTCATCTTTTACTCTTGATACACATTTCTTCAGGTCAAGTTCTATTTGTTTAGTCTAGTGCATTGACATTTTTTGGACACCTGCAGCCAGACAGCCACCGACAAACTGGTATACCTTGACCTGTGCATGTTTCAGGTGCGTGTGTTCAAACACCTGTTGTTCTCCATCTGCCTGTTCCATGCTGTTGTCCTGGAGCGCCGCAAGTTTGGTGCACTGGGCTTCAACATCCCATATGAGTTCACAGACGGTGACCTGAGGATTTGTATAGACCAGCTCAGCATGTTCCTCATGGAGTACAATGAGATTCCATTCAAGGTGGGCACAGCCTGCTCAGTGTGCTAAGTCTGGGTGTAGAAGATGACCACAGGTCACTTCAGTTTTCAAAGTTTGCAGCCGTGGTTGTGTGTCAGCAATTGTGTATGTGACATGGTCCATGATTGTGTGATTGTGCATGTGATAGTCAGCAATTGTGTATGTGACATAGTCCGTGATTGTGCATGTGATAGAGTCAGCAATTGTGTATGTGACCTAGTCCATGATTGTGTGATTGTGCATGTGCTATAGTCAGCAATTGTGTATGTGACCTAGTCCATGATTGTGCGTGTGCTAGAGTCCATGATTGTGTGCAGGTGCTGCTGTACACTGCTGGCCACATCAACTACGGAGGTCGTGTGACGGATGACTGGGACCGTCGCTGTCTGATGAACATCCTCGGTGACTTCTACTGCTTCGAAGTGATCAGTAGCAGCCACTTGTACTCGGAGTCAGGCGTCTACAGGCAGATGGGGGCAGAGACTGACCTAGTTGTAAGTTGTCTACAGGCAGATGGGGGCAGAGACTGACCTAGTTGTAAGTTGTCTACAGGAAGATGGGGGCAGAGACTGACCTAGTTGTAAGTTGTCTACAGGAAGATGGGGGCAGAGACTGACCTAGTTGTAAGTTGTCTACAGGCAGATGGGGGCAGAGACTGACCTAGTTGTAAGTTGTCTACAGGCAGATGGGGGCAGAGACTGACCTAGTTGTAAGTTGTCTACAGGCAGATGGGGGCAGAGACTGACCTAGTTGTAAGTTGTCTACAGGCAGATGGGGGCAGAGACTGACCTAGTTGTAAGTTGTCTACAGGCAGATGGGGACAGAGACTGACTTGGTGTAGTTGTAGTTGCCTCAGGGTGTCTCAGCATCGAGGTGTTCATCTGTTGCAGGCATACCTGGAGTACATAAAAAACCTGCCCATCAATGACAAGCCAGAGATTTTTGGTCTCCATGACAATGCCAACATCACCTTTGCCCAGAATGAGACCTCATTGCTGCTGGGGTACCTGGTCGAGCTCCAGCCTAAGACAGCAGCAGGGAAGGGCATGACAAGGGAAGAGGTAGGGCAGCAGGGAAGGGCATGACAAGGGAAGAGGTAGGGCAGCAGGGAAGGGCATGATGAGAAGAGGTAGGGCAGCAAGGAAGGGCATGATGAGAAGAGGTAGGGCAGCAGTGAATGACATGTCAAGGGAAGAGGTATGGGGCATCACTCTCGAACAAAAATTACTTTATATTTAAAGTAATTTCACTATTGTAATTTAAGTATTGTTGTTGAAAGATTCTGTTATTTAGGCTAAACACACTCTAGTACAGTTGTATCAATAGGTGATGGAGGCAACAGCCAAATCCATATTAGAGAAATGTCCAAAACCACTGAACATAAAGGCTGTGATAGATAAGTACCCAGTCATGTACGAGCAGTCCATGAATTCAGTGCTAGCCCAGGAGGTCATAAGGTTCTTTTTTTTCTTGTGTTGGTTGGTTTCATCTTATCAAGTTTCTTGTGTTGGTTGGTTTCATCTTGTCAAGTTTCTTGTATTGGTTGGTTTCATCGTGTCAAGTTTCTTGTGTTGGTTGGTTTCATCTTGTCAAGTTTCTTGTGTTGGTTGGTTTCATCTTGTCAAGTTTCTTGTGTTGGTTGGTTTCATCTTGTCAAGTTTCTTGTATTGGTTGGTTTCATCTTGTCAAGTTTTTTGTGTTGGTTGGTTTCATCTTGTCAAGTTTTTTGTGTTGGTTGGTTTCATCTTGTCAAGTTTCTTGTGTTGGTTGGTTTCATCTTGTCAAGTTACTTGTGTTGGTTGGTTCCATCTTGTCAAGTTTCTTGTATTGGTTGGTTTCATCTTATCAGGTTTCTTGTATTGGTTGGTTTCATCTTGTCAAGTTTCTTGTGTTGGTTGGTTTCATCTTGTCAAGTTTCTTGTGTTGGTTGGTTTCATCTAGCAAAGATAAAAAATGTCAGTTGAAGCAGTGTTTAACGCTAGCAAAGATTAAAAAAAAAATGGCAGTTGAATCAGTTTTTAACACTAGCAAAGATAAAAAAAATGTCAGTTGAATCAGTTTTTAACACTAGCAAAAATAAAAAAAATGTCAGTTGAATCAGTTTTTAACACTAGCAAATATAAAAAAAATGTCAGCTGAATCAGTTTTTGTCTCAGATACAACCGTCTGCTGGCTGTCATCCACCAGTCCTTGCAGGATCTGCTCAAGGCACTCAAGGGGCTGGTGGTCATGTCACAGAAGTTGGAGGAGATGGCCAACAGTTTGTTTGTCAACACAGTCCCGGCCATGTGGGCCAGCAAGGTCAGTGGGTGGGGGGGGGGGGGGGGGGACGGCTTGACATTCTGATTATCTCTAGACCTAACCATCTTTATAATTTTAACTCTAGACCTAACCATCCATATATTTTAAGTCTAGGCCTACCTATCCTAACATATTTAACTCTAGAACTAACCATCATTATATTATAACTCTAGGCCTACCCATCACTGAAGCCCTTGGCTGCATGGGTCGTTGACCTGATGGACAGAATAGTTTTTATAAACAAGTGGGTAGCAGAAGGGATCCCAAAGGTAATTTAACAAAATGGTATATGGCCTTTTTGTCACAAAATGATTTATGGCATTTTTGTGACAAAGAAGTTAATTATTTTGAGACATAATGGTTGGTTGGTTGTCGCTTACATATTTTAAAGTGGGCTTTTCTCAGTTGAGATGATCTTCCACAAATTTTGTTGCAGATAAAGAAAAAATTTGACTTCTTTATGGTTTCAAAATGAAACAAAGAATGATTTTCACAAAAATAAAACTTGAGAAAAGTTTTTTCAATGAGGCTCAGCTTCGTGCTATTATTCTGCTACTTAAAAATATTTTAATACTAGATCTATGTGCTTTTAATTGTAGTTTTAAAAATCAATATAAAATGTCCATGCTCAATAAATCCCATTAAATTTAAACAATTACATTTTTTATGTTTCTATTACCATATGGCCCAAATTTATTATTTTGCTTAATAATTGCCATTATTTTTCACATTAATCAAATTGATTTTGTAAAAAAAAAATTTTTGTAAAAAAAATAGGTAGGGGCCTACAAATAATACAAAATCAATTTCTCAGAATGTCTGATTTTTCAAATTCCATTGTAACTAATACTTTAACTATTCAACAAAATGCTTAATAAGAAAAAAGTCATTTACATTTTGTAATTTATCTTATGGGTACATTAAAAAATTTTAAAAATATCTCCTGCCAGATCTACTGGATCTCTGGCTTCTTCTTCCCTCAAGCTTTCTTAACTGGCACATTACAAAACTATGCCAGGAAAATGGCCATCTCCATAGATACCATCAGCTTTGATTTCACTGTAAGTTTTACTGCTACATCTACTGGGTTCTGTGTGAGTGTGTGCTGTTATGTGAGACTGAAATAATTCTATTTACTTGTTGACTAATTGGAGTCATGGAATATCATGAGGGGTGGCATTAGTGACATGTGATGTCATGTAGTTGACACCTCTCACCAGGTGATACCCAAAGAATCCATAGCAGAGGCGCCAGAGATAGGCTGCTACATCGAGGGCTTGTACGTGGAAGGTGCATGCTGGAACTGGGAGCACCAAATCCTGTATGAGTCCAACCCTAAAGAGCTGTACACGGACATGCCACCCATATGGCTGGCCCCTGCACAGAACAGGAAGGAGCCAACCAAGGGGGTCTACTTCTGTCCAGTATACAAAACATTGACCAGAGCAGGTAGGTGGAGCTAGGCTAGGTGTAGAGCTAGGCTAGGGCAGGTGTGTGAGGCTAGGGCAGGTGTATGGAGCTAGGCTAGGTGTAGAGCTAGGCTAAGACAGGTAAGTGGGCTTGCACCAGTGCTGTGGCGCCTGTCACCCACCAGTGCTAGCATCAGATTCCATGTTGACCCGCCCAGACATGTAACAAGCTAACTATCCCCAGGTACACTGTCCACCACCGGTCACTCCACCAACTTCGTGTTCACTGTTGAGATTCCTTCCTCCAAGCCGCAGCGCCACTGGATCAAAAGGGGCGTGGCACTAATGTGTGCCCTCAACTTTTAGTTGGCCGCAGATGGTGGTGAGCTCAACATGAGCTCAGGTTGTGTCTACTATGTCCGTGAATGAATCTAAATAATGTTGCATATTCATTAAATGACAACAATTATTTTGTCTTTATTTATCTTTCACTGTGTGATTTGTGTTTCAAACAATGGCCTTCACCAAAACACATTTACTACCTGGACCATAACCACTTGGACCATAACCACCTGGACCATAACCACTTGGACCATAACAACCTGGACCTTAACCACTTGGACCATAACCACTTGGACCATAACCACCAGGACCATAACCACCTGGACCATAACCACTTGGACCATAACCACCTGGACTTCAATTTCCTTGACAAAAATCTCTCATGACAAATAAACCCTGGACAGACACCCTTCCCCCAACCACATATACACAAGTTTGGGTTTATACAAAGAAAAAAACATGCTGTGACAAGAATAAGAATTACTAAAAAAAAAAAAAATATGTAAGATTTAAAAAAAAAAATCATAATAATTATCGAATACTAACTTAAAATACTTAAATATGCAAGGCACATCTTTATATTACTAATTTTCTAAATTTCCCCAATAGACAGGGTGGGATAGGTCCAAGTTGTGTCTTATGTGAGGAGGTCTCTAGTCTTGGAGGTCATCCATAAATGACGTCACACTCGTAGGGGGGAGGGGGGTCGTAATTTTGTGACGATGTGTGGGGGAGGGGGGTTCAGATGTTGCGACACCACACTTTTGCATTATAAAAAAGCAATGTTAGAAAACAAATTTTAGACGTTATTTCGCGTTTTAGATCACTGTTTTAATAAATTGTAATAGTTTAGACAAGATTTTAGAAAAATATCGATGTTTTTAAAAAATTCAACTGCAATGTTGAAGGGAGTTGTAGGTTAAGGTGTGACGTCATTTTAGGGGGGGGGTCTGGCTTTTTGTGACGACGTGTGACGGAGGGGAGGTAAAAATCGTCAAAAAAGCGTGACGTCATTTATGGATGACCCCTTGGGCCTATGTAAGGGTTGGAAGCAGGCCTCGATCTGGCAATATATAGACAGTGTTCATTATTTAGCCAAGGGTGGACATAGGTAGGCCTACATATAGAAAATTTTTACCCTAAATTCTCTGATATTTTGTCCTATAGGGGCTTAGAAGAAACCATGTATATTTCTAGTAACTTCCAATAACTTCAAACTTTAACCTAAATATAACCACAATCTATGACCTTAAATAAAAAAGCAAGCTGCCTAATTTGACTAGCAGTGGTGTGCAATTAAAATCTAGTGGACTGACATAACCTACATCTTTCTGGTACTTCTGCATCGACCTATATTTCAAATGTCTGTAAGTCACGCCGACCAAATAAAGTCAGACAAGATCGTCCACTACCTCAAGTGTCCATTAGTCACACACTGACCAAATAAAGTCAGACAAGATCGACCACTACCTCAAGTGTCCATTAGTCACACACTGACCAAATAAAGTCAGACAAGATCGACCACTACCTCAAGTGTCCATTAGTCACACACTGACCAAATAAAGTGTCGTCAAGTAAGATTGTATCAAGCAGGGGCTAACCTTTAGCTGGATGGAATTACCGCCCTTCACCGTCTGCCACAAGATCGAAATTTCTCGAAGATAGCCCGTGCCATAATCGCCTTTGTTGTCGGGGACTTGGCTAAAGCTGTTACAGAGCAGATCGAATCAGGTGATCGATTCATATTTGTTTAGAAAGGGAAAAGTATGCTCAGCTATGTTGACCAAATTTTTAAACTTTCTTTTTCTCAAACTGTACAGCTATATTTTTAAAACTGATGAAACGTTTGACGATTATTTCACCAAAGTTTTAAAACTCCATAAAGAAATATTTGACCGTTATTTCACTAAAGTTTAAAACTCCATGACGAAATATTTGACCATAATTTCACCAGTAAATTTCCTTCTGTCCACGTGAAGCACTCTACGTCGTAACAAACTTAAGGAGCGGCTTTAATATAGCGCTCATAAATCTTTAAAATTCAAATTACTTTCGTCAGCTAGTCAATTTAATTGGTTAACGTTCATTGCTATCCAACTAGTGGTTTAACAATGGAATAGCATAATGTAATGCAGGACCTACCCAAATAGCCGAGACTGGTTAGACTTTAACCACTTAGGGCTAATTGGGTCATTTAGTTCTAATGATGGCACCGTTTGTCTGGCCAAACACGCCCATCCCAGGACAAAAATAGAAAAAAATACTTTTAACAGTTAAACTAGTGCACCCCGCCCCAGAAAACTGTAAGAGCGACCCCCTGCCGAAAGTTTCAAGTGCCCACCTTCTCTCTCTTCTCCTCCCCACCCCCATGGAGAAAAATGTCTGAAAGAAACACTTTGCTTAACTAGATATTGATTTTCTAGCTGCTCAGGACTGTTGGCAACACAACGCCAGCAGTTTAAAATTCTACAAGCGCCCAACAACACAGCAGGAATTTGGACGACTAAAGCAACAACAAAAAAAGCTGTTAAAAAACAAGTAAACTTCTCAAATTGAACAAAATATATAAGGACGCAGCATATAACTTACACATCACACTTTTAATGAAAGTAATCTGACGAAACTTTTTCCTCCGCTATCAGCAGATGTAAAGAGCTTAAAACTTCAACGATTTGAACCAAATCCGTGCGACATCTGGCGCGCCTGGCTGTTTGAAAGAGGCTCCATATTAAAATGTAAATGTATCGAGGCTTCTAAAAACTCGGAGATTGCCTTACCACTATCGCTATGTTTGTTTGCCATCGACCGCATACTGCACAGCAGTTGTAACTAAAGCCGAAATCAATGGTGACTCTCATCAATAAACGTGCCCCACCCCCGGGGCTCCTGTGCCCACCTTCACCTCACGGATTTAAAATAGTAGAGAGAAACTTAGTGGGCATATGCATGGTTTAGGGTTAAGACTTGAAACAGCTGGCCAATTGACTGAGAGAGAAAGAAAAAGTCATCAAAACTCTTTTCCAAATATATTTTTTTGCTTTTCGTGAATGACGAAAAATGCAGTCTTGGTTTCAAGTGACTTGGTCTCTCTGGCCTACTTGATAGCGGACAGTCATAGTAAATACCAGTCTTAACTTCGGTGGGGAAAAAATGCAATAATGTTTCTGATGAGTGTGTCGAAAGGCATTATATTGACCACACTATCCACTTGCTTGGTCACCCATTCACTGCACAACACATTCATAGCCCTGGTCAGCATAATCCCACACACACCTGGTCCACACAATCCCACACACACCTGGTCCACACAATCTCACACAGACCTGGTCCACACAATCCCACACAGACCTGGTCCACACAATCCCACACAGACCTGGTCCACACAATCCCACACAGACCAGTCCCACACAGACCTGGTCCACACAATCCCACACAGACCTGGTCCACACAATCCCACACAGACCTGGTCCACACAATCCCACACACACCTGGTCCACACAATCCCACACACACCTGGTCCACACAATCCCACACACACCTGGTCCACACAATCCCACACAGACCTGGTCCACACAATCCCACACACACAATCAGTACCATCACAAGCTGTAACCACGCAATCCCACACAGAAAGCCAAAACCTCGCAAGACTTAATACCAGAAAAAAAATATATAATCTACTATGGCTATCGACGATACCACCACAGTGTAAATAGTTGAACCTACATGTAATAGGTTTTCTCAGCTTGATAAGGCCAGTACACCGGTAAGCTGTAGGGGTGGGGGAGGAAAGACAGTACCTTCCTCGTCAATTACTATTTGACCCGAGGCACCGTCTTACAAGTTCGGGCGAGTTGCGAACTTCAAAATTTTTAGTGGCTACCTATACTTGAATCAGTATTGTAATCACCCCCCCCCCCCCGGAAGTTTCGCGTACCACTCCCCTGACCAAAATGTAAGAAAGAAACTGATCGGAAGTTGAACCTCCTCAATCCTGGCTTCAGCCATCAGCGTTATCACATTTTCATAACCGGTCTATTTATAGCTCGCTCCAAGTATTGTTTATTTCGGCGAACGATAGAGGAAATAACGTGCTTAGAAAATAAATCCTGTCACATCCGATATATTTATACTCACTGTGTTTATTTCCTCGACAGTATGTGAGAGGGCATAAACGCGTGCATATTTCCTCTACAGTATGACCAAATGGTCTGAGTACAACTAAAAACACGTCTACATAAAATGAAGATCTAAACGTCAAGAGATTCAGATTTCATTAATCCAATCAAAATTCTTAATATTAGTTAATTACAAGTTTCTTAGGCTAACCTTAGCCCATACACTAACCCTAAGATGTAATGTGTTAATAAATATAATATTAATGCAATTTGCACTAACAAAACACACAATTAAGACAGGTTTGAACCCGAAAACAATATCTGATGGCCACCACACCCTCGATTCTGACACGGAGCGCTTGAAAACAAAGTGTAAATAATAATAATAATAATATCTTAAATTAAAACAACTCTCTTATAATTCTAAATATAAGTTAAAACACTTCTTCTATACCCTAATTCTAACATTATGTATGCCTATAACTATAAATAAAACTTAAATAAAGCGACCGGATATGAAGGGATCTAATTCACGTTGCTTATTTCCTCTATAATTGGGGGATATAAGCACTTCCATATTCCAGTATATCAAGGTGTTATACAATCAAATATTCGATTCATTCAAACTATCTCTAAAATTAAACATCTAGGTCAAGCAAGGTGTCTAAAAAGTTGAACCGAGTTCTTGCAACAATTTGCCGACATTGTGCATTGTGTCCGTTCCGTGTGGGCTGCCGTCCGTCGCCGTGTTGATAGAATATAGATCTGAGATCCAGCAGAAGATCAATACATTTAGAACAGACGTACAAAGACATTGTGGTCTCAGGTAAATTTTAGGGGGGGGGGGGGGTAGATTCCGTAGATGGTACGGTTGGATAAACCAGGGGAGGGGTTCTTTTAGCGGGAGGTAAGGAAGGTTGAGATAGGTTGGAGGGGGTTGAAAAATGAGGGGGGGGGGGGGGGGGGGGGGGTAGAGAGT